CAGCACAACATTCTTCTTCCCCCAAGGCTAAAGGCCCGCCATCCTGTGAGTTTGAAACCGATGATGTAATGAATCACGTGTTATAACTACGTAAAATCACACCTACTCGCGGTTACTTCGGTACGCAATCCAGCAAAATATTCTCAGTCACTGATTGATGTTTATAATTTAACAATATTGTAAATAAAAAAATTTTTTTTGAAAGAAACAATGCTCCAGAATAAAGTGGACAACTAACTAGCTTACCGCAATCCAAAAAAAGCATGAATTTATGGGGAAAAAAAAAATTTTCACTTCTTAATTTGTATCTGAATTTTTCAGACTGAGTAGTTTTGTTGGTTTTTTTATGGTGTGGCTAGGGAAGATTTTTGAACTAGACACAAGAATTGTAAAACATAAACAGCATAGTCTATAAATAATACGAAAGAGTTTGAGGTTTGTGAGTACAAAAAGGTGAATAAGTGCGCACGTCTGCTGGATTAAGATATGACATTTAAACCCAAAATATGAATAAAACATAAATGTGTTACCCCAAATTGACACTTGTATATAAAATTGTACATAAATAAATGTTTTGCAGATGATCATTTGCTTTTTATGCCCCCGGGCATATAGTGATTGAACCGTCCGTCCGTCCGTCCGTCCGTCTGTCCGTACGAGGTTAACATAGAACGGCAAGTTGGATTTTTCTTAAGTTCTACCTGTACCAATCCAATGGCTTCTAAGTTTACACACTTACTAATCAATACAAAGTACATGATCTGGGCAAGTTACATAACTCTGGCTTTCATATTTACCAAGTTATTGCCCTTTTCAGCACTTAGAAAATGAATAATAGTTAACCTAAAACGGCAAGTTGGAAATATCTTAAGTTCTATCTATACTAATGGCTTTATAATTTCCGCACTTACTTATCAATACAAAGTACATGATATTGCCAAGTTATATAACTGTGTCATCCATATTTCCCAGTTATTTCCCTTTTTTCACTTTGAAAATAGGGCCTTGTCTGGTTAACCTATTTCGGCAAGTTCGATCTTAAATTTCACCTAATTGCTTAATTTCTTTAATGATATCTTTCATATTTAGTAGGTGGATACCTTTGATGATCCTCTAATTTTGTGGAGTAAGCGGTCTCTAGGGTCAAGGTCAAGGTCACTGGTTTAAAAAATAAATATAAACATTTTTGCTCATACAGCCTTTATATTTTAGTTGATGTCTTAGTTTAATACAAACATGCCAAGGGAGGTCCTCCTTATTTTGGTGTAGTAAGGGGTCATTTGGGTCAAGGTCAATGTTATCAATGTCAAGGTCACCAATGTAAAAAATAGATTTTTACATTTTTACAGGTGTATTGACCTTTTTCTATAGACAGATGTTATTAATAATTGATAGAAACATAAACTTTGATGGAGTTAGTGGTCAGTTGGGTCAAGGACACCAGTGCTAAAAATAGATTTTTACACACATTTGCTCATACACCATTTACAGTGTAGCAATACCACGTGACATTAACGTCATTTTCGGCATCATTTCCAGGACAAATGTTGCTCGATTCGGAAAAGAAAATAGCCGTAAATATTTCATTTCTGTACCAATTTCTTTGGGATATGCACCAGTCTACGGGGAAAAATATAAGCTTTCCACAGAATATTGGATCTTTGTCAGTTTATAAGCCGTTTTATCAAACACTTTGCATAACCTTGGAAGTTGCTTGTATTAGAGCGGGCTTCAGTTGCAAGCTATTTCGTTTTCTGGCATTATTTGGTCTACGCCATGATTAATAGGTCAGGTTTACATCAACCGGGGGTACAGACAGCAAAATCCTACCTTAATATGTTTATATGTTTATTATTTATGGCGTAAAGCTTGCCTTTTTCTTCAATTGTCAATTCTGGCACCAGTTCCAAGTCGAAAAAAGGACTACAGTTTAAAGCAGATTTTAGAATCCGATGCAAATGCAAAGCAACATGCCTACCGTTCTCTTTCTATAATTATGCTAACCATGAAAAACATTTTATTTACTATACGATTTACATAAACACAAATTAATATTAATGATTTTTACTCGCTGCACTATAAGTGATTTTAAAGGTCGTAAAATTATTGTCTGTATTTGTAAAGAAATTGATTTGCTCTTTAATCATTGTTCTTTCACGGGAATGATTTTGAAAAATCTATTAGTGTCATGTAGCAATACTAAACGTGGAATATTCAAAATAGAGAGAAAACAGAAACCCTAAATATCGCCCAAAACGGCAAAATTGAAAATCTTGCAGGCTCGGTTTGACTTAGCTAGCCTGTCCAATGAACGTGCACATTCAGGATCACTTCCTTTTGTGGTTACGCCTCAACGCGGCAATTTTAAAGTCAAATGTTATTCTTTTGTAAAGAGTTATTTATACGTATAACCATATATATATTTGGTAAAGGACCTGTAGCAATGTTTTAGTATATGATATATATACAAAGTGGCACTCGTTGATAAAAAATATTTTTACATCCTGTTTTAATACCCACGGTAACCGTTTTTCGTGAACTGGATATAACTTCGTTCACTTAAGAACACTATTTATTTTATTATTGCATTTACTTGTTGATAAACTGCATATCTGACAAATTTAGTTAATTATATCAGTCAACCAGCTTTATCAGAGAGCTCACCAATATACATTGTATAAAGAGAGGAGGGGAACGGAATATCTATGGTTTGAAAACATTTAAATCGAGTAGAATTCTTTAACAATAATGTATCTTTCAACTGAATAAAAACGATAGGGCTATTTGGGACTATTTCTTATCGATGTGGTCATTGGCTGTAAATGCATGGATTATTGCACGCGGCATGACCTGCAGATGTCCTCAACAGGATTTTTGTAGCATTTTAAGATTTAAAAAAGGACCACATATTAAAATCTAAAACATAATGCATATGCCAAAAAAGTGAATTATCTAATATGTAAATAAAGAAGTAAGTCATTTGACAGTTGAAGGGTAAAAATTGAATATACTCTTCAAATGAAATCGTAATTTTACTTAGCTTATGTTAGCATCAGTGTCATACGGACTCCAGTCATAGATCTTGCCGGTGTTGCTATTACAGATGTTAATGTAAATATTTATATAATTATTGCTAATCATTGTTATTTCCGTCTTTTTGAATGTTTTGTTTCAAGAAATTTGACTGATCGATGGCCGTTAGTTTGTAAAATCATTTATCTGTTTACTATTTTCTACTTTGTTTAATTAACATGGCGTCCATTCTCGTTCTTTATTGGCGACTCATAGCTATTTTGGGCATTTTTGAGAATCATAAGTCATGCAACTAAGTAACAATACTATCATGCTTACACGGCAAAGTTCCAAGTTATATGTAATAATATTTAAAATTGTTCTACACAAAAGTAAAAGAACAAAATCTGACTGATGATGAAAGTGCTTATAGTTTAATAAGCATAAAATGTTAACGTCATGTAAATGCGCGTGACAATTAGATTCATGATTTTAATACCGATACATGTGCATAGTACTTCAAATTGTGATTTCGTTTATCAAACTCTATAGAAATTTATAATACGACAATTCCAGAAAAAAATATAAACTTTTAAAGTCTCTCTTTTGAGAAGACAGAAGACAGAAGAACCTATTCGTCATATTCACGAGTGACAGTGTTTGTCAGTTACTCTTTACAAAAAATAGACTGAAAGAAATACCTTAAGCTTTACAACACTCACGATAAAGTGTTACCCTTTCCGTAGCATACAAAAGTTTTTTTTATTTTAACTCTTTCTCTCACTGAGAGCACATATATTTCTTATCAATTTCGCCAGTGTGAAATAGAATAAAACACATTTTACTACATAAGATAAGATGAGCAATACTTTAAACATCTTCAAAACGAAACCAAAATATTATTTTTCGACAGGACTAAATCTACGTGATTTGGCGTGCACTATTTCGATACAAGTAAGTGTTGTTACTTTAAGGAACAATCAGTTTTTTCACAATCTCTGTGAAAGATCAACAATGAAAAACTAAATTGTAGAAATAGAACGGTAGGCATGTTGCTTCGCATTTGCACGGATTCTAAAATCTGCTTTAAACTGTAGTCCTTTTTTTCGACTTGGAACTGGTGCCAGAATTGACAATTGAAGAAAAATGTAAGATTTATGTAATTCATAATAAAAATATGAACATATTTATGTAGAGTTTTGCCTTCCGTACTCCCGTTTGATGTAAACCTGACTTTTTAATCATAACGTAGACCAGATAACGCCAGAAAACGAAATAGCTTGCAACTGAAGCCCGCTCTAATACAAGCAACTTCCAAGGTTATGCCAAGTGTTTGATAAAACGGCTTATAAACTGACGAAGATCCAATATTCTGTGGAAAGCTTATATTTTTCTCCGTAGACTGGTGCATATCCCAAAGAAATTGGTACAGAAATGAAATATTTACGGCTATTTTCTTTTCCGAATCGAGCGATATTTGTCTTGGAAATGATGCCGAAAATGACGTCATAGTCACGTGGTATTGCTACACTGCTTTATTAAGTGACAGATATATTTTATATTTGGTAGGATGATAACTTGCATGGTATTCATCCTTTTGATTGGGGTAGGGATCAGTGGGTCAAGGTCACTTGTGCTAAAAATAGATTTTTTCACTTTTGCCCATACAGCTTTTATTTATTGACAGATGTATTTCATATTTGCTAGGAAGATAACTTGCATGGTATTCTTCCTTTGGATGGATTAAGGGTCAGTTGGGTCAATATCACCAGTGCTAAAAACAGATTTTTACACTTTTGCCCATACATACTTGTGTCATTTTTCTGTCCATAACTGAGTGAATGGGTAAACATTTTTTGAAATATTGCTACTGACAAGAATCTGAGCCGGGGGCATTTGTGTTTAACAAACACGTTCTTGTTTTTATATATATTCCCTGATACATAAATTTATTCGCAAGATCGGTTTTAAAGATAATTACAAAGAGAAATGTTTCATTCTGGTAATATATTATACATGTATATGTGTGACAACAATCTGAATACAATATAAATATAGAATGCAAATATTCACGTGCGCAAAAAAGGACAAAATATCTGAAAATTCAACGTTATTTAGGAAAATAAGTATTCAACATATCTTTGTGCGAATATCAACTCGCCAGTAAATCATCGTAATTTGATTTCGGGACTATTAAGAATGATATTTTAATTGTTTGCTTTGAGGTAGTGTCGGTTACCTACCTTTAAGTAATGCAATGTTACTGAAACTATAAATGAGTTTGATTCGGTTTTTCAAGTTCAAACGCTTGGTTTGTTTGGACTTTTTCTTTTAGTGAGTCAATCTGGAGATCTGTGTCCTTCGGAGGCTTATAGAACCATATTGCACAAAAAAAGAACAACATCGAAAAAAGTTTGGTAACCAGTCCGAAAATAAAGTAGTTCCGGCTGACTTTTGAAATATCATAGAGCCAACATGACGTATTTTCACCACACTCGGTTTGCCAAATCAAACACCCGGCGTCTGTTGCAACTCCCATGATCACTGCACCCGGTACTGTACCTAAAAGGAAAGAAAATATACAACATCAAAGGTATCGCAATGTCTGTTGCTGAATTAAACTCTAACATTAATACAAGCAATCATTATTCCTTAACAAAAATTATAAAAGCATATCAGCAGATTGATTCTTTAATGAGCAAGTTGTGGGATATCAAATACATCTACATGACACTGCTTGGCAATCAATTCTGATTATAACTTGCAAGCGTGTTGTCAGGGAACTGTTAATAAAAGACATGATTTATATGCAGATTTAAAATGAAAAAAGAATCAAAGTTCTACAGGACTATTAATTTAAAAGACATAGTGTGCAAATAAGAATTTGTAGAATGGGTCAAGCCTCTCAGTAAAGATGTCATAATGGGGCTAGACTGAACAGTTAGAGGAACGTATGTTTCTAGAAAAAGAAGTAATTTTGATGGTATTGTGTCCTCGAATGGAGCATTAGGTACTATAACTACCCTTAAACGTGTGTTTCTGTTACTTTTAAATCCATTTGACATGTTTAGATTGTTTTATAAGGAAAAACGTTAATATTTTGTAAAAAAAAAACAGTTTGATAAAAATATTTCATATATTAAGTCTATTTACTCGTGAGTTCTATTTTAAAGTTAAATTAATAGCGTGTCAATTAATGAAGAAATTCTATGTGCATAAAATATATTAACTCAAACATAAATTTGTCCTACTTTAAAGCAGCATGCTTCCAGATTCATGCTAATTTTCATGAAAATTTTGAAAATGTATTTAAAAAGTAAAACATTGTGAAGCGAACAAAGAAAGTAATTTACACGTTGCAAACGGCACTTACAATCCACGTTGATTACCAAAAAGAGGTTAAAATAAAGTTAGTAACGCACTATAGGTATAGTGATTGATACTACAAAATCAGTCATTAATCGCACAAAACATGTGAATAATTAATTAAATATTTAATCTTTTTACTTTTCTTAAGATCTTAATACATTTTTCTAAAGATTGTCACTAAAGTAGCAAAATGTAAGCAAAGTAGTATTTTCACTCCCATACAAAATACTAAATCACTATTATTGTGCTAATGGCCTAAATTGCAATAGAAATAAAAGATGGTTCAGGTAATTGGTCAATGAGTAAATTTTTGGAACCTATATAAATACACTAAAAATTTAAAAAAATAATAATAAAAAAAGTATTTCTGGTGCATAATGGGCCTTTAATATCACTACTTACCAAGCAGTCGCACAAGAAATCTGTTTGAACCACACATGATAGTTCTATGATTTTCGTGAATTGACCTGCAACAATAAAACACATTTTTAACAAGAAATTCATTGACGTTTATATCAAATATTATAATACTGTCTCAAGAATTTTGTTTCTATTGTTATTTACTTCATGATAACAAGTTTCTGCTTACAAGATAAACAAAATAAGTTCGGAATTTATTTTTATAACTATGGCAGACACAAGTCCAGGTCTAAAATAAAATCGAATAGAATCGGAAACACCTTTCATAAAATTGATACTTTAAAATTGAATTTGTGTAAGTCATATAACCTCAATGTGGATTGCAAAATATACCTGTATCTGCAAATGTTGGTAAGCCTTGATCTTACAAACAGCTGTGTAATTTTATCAGAAAAAAATACTTGCCTTAAAACGGACTGTTCCGCCGGTACGTCGGCGGCTATCGTCAAAAATGCGTAAAGGAATATCAATATTATAAATGCATAAACCATCGGACAACTTTTTTCACAAGTGCCACCTGTAACTTCCGGTTCCGTCATGTTTAGTTGCTTTGGAACACACGTGCAATTGGAATACTGGGACTGAAAAAAAAACGGATTTAAATGTAACACATTTACCTTTAACTTTCTGCAACAAGAAGTGGTTAACTTTTGTCACCAGTATAGGGCCAGACCTTGTCTGCAAATTCGTGCAAGACTGACTGGACATATTACATTTGGTAGCTCAATATTCTGATTTTGATATTAAAATTCCTTTATTAGTCCCCTACCGGTTTAACCGGAGGGGACTTTAGGTTTACCCTCCGTCCGTCTGTCCGTCTGTCTGTCTGTCCGTCTGTGTCTGTCAGTCCGTCAGTCCGTCCGTCCACAAAACTGGATCCCGCGATAACGCAAAAAGTACTGAAAATATTTTTATGAAACTTGATATATGGATAGATGGCAGTATGGAGATTATGCACGTCTTTTTTTTTCTTCCTATGTTGAAAATTCTGGTTGCTATGGCAACAAATAGTCTGAAAATATGGCAAATTTAACACATAAACTGGATCCAGTGATAACTCAAAAAGTACTGAAAATATATTTTATGAAACTTGAAATATGGGTAGATGGCAGTCTGGAGATTATGCACATCTTTTTCTTTTCTTCCTATGTTGAAAATTCTGGTTGCTATGGCAAACAAAATAGCCTGATTTCAAGATTTCTTATTTAAATTTTTCAGCTTTTTTTCACTATATGTTCTTTATTTCTTAAGGTGTTTTACTTCAAAACTTTAAATATAAGTTTCTGGTCATCAACCACATCATATGTGACAAGGTTTATAACTCTAGCACAAAAATATCAATATTACCTCCCTTGAAACTTAGATTTTTTTAGGGGAAAAATGTTGTCTTTTTTAAATAAACTTCTTTATTTCCTAATGTATCTACTTCAAACTTCATATATATGTTTCTTATTATCACTCGACATTTTTGAGAAGGTTAAAATCTCTAGCAAGACTATTTCCAGAATTATGTGTCCCCCTTGAACTTAGATTTTTTTCGAGAAACTGGTATTTTCACTCCAACTTCTTCATTCCTTATAGGATTTACTTTAAAATCCCACATCGTAATAATATGACAAGGTTGTATAAACATAATTTCCTTACTAAGCATGGAAACTTAACACATTACTGTGATATAGACAAACTTATTTTATTATGTTTTGTGGTCGATATTTTCAAATACAGACTTCATCCTCAAATTCATTATAAATGGCAATACACAGGAGTGTATGACAATTAAAGAACTTTTTGAGGGACCGGTAGGGGACTACTGTATTGCCCGCAATACTATCAAATGCTTGTTTTCAAACAGACTATTCAGCCCATAAAACAAATTCAGGGGGTTAATCATTAATAAAATACCAAAATAACTTGTTTTAAATGTACAAAAATATTAATTGAAAATAGCATCGTTGAATAAAGGCGGATAAAAATTAAATTTTGCAAAATGCGTACTAGTATTTGATTGGTTATTAAATGTTGGCAGCGTTATTTACTCGCTTACCTCATCAAGGAGAAATCAGATAAGTGATCAGAGGTCGCTGGTTCAATCCTTTGGGCAAGGCATAATATCTCCATGACAACTGATGTGCTATATTTATTTTTCTCACACCGCTGATCCAGAAATCATGCGGGTTTAGTGGTTGGTCACTTAAGGAGCAATAACTGATTACTGGTTAGTTATCTGGCAAAGCCCAAAATGTGGATCGACCCCCGAGATATGACCAAACACGTGATAAAAATCGGCGTTAATCAAGTAGAACAAACAAACGGACAAACATGTAGTTACTTTTGATTTAGATGTGTTAAGTTGTTGGATACAACCAGCGAAACATGGTGAAAAATATTGTCTGCCTGTGACGTCACACGACAACTCGGGAGGCTTCTCAGTGGTACATTCGAGAATCCATAATTGCAGTCATCTAAACAGTGAAAATCTTTTGTACTGCAATTGAACTGGTATTATGCTTGGTAATTTTAGCTTGCTTTCAGAAATAAGTAACTGTATACTGTGGCGGCCGCTCGACAATTGAAGTTTTACTTTTTATGCAAAATCGCAATATGACTTTTACAATGTTCTGGTGACTAAAAATGCGACAAAAAATGAACAACAAACATATCTGCGTTCTCACTGAATTACAAGATCTGTAAAAATAAAATGCGGGGTGGTGATGGCTAAGGTAAAGTTCACTGCATTAAGCTTTAAAACACCAATTATATCCCGTACGTTGTAAGATACTTTAGAAATTATATGAATACTTTATGCAGACTGTTCGATTTTTAAAAAAAACATCAAAGTGTCTGGAGCCATTAGCTTGAATGAAATTACATAATATATTTATACTTATAATGTATAAAATTTAATGTTACATTTATATTTTTAATATCAATAAACTTCTAGCTTCCTGCACTATTGAAGTATAATAAATGCTGTATAAACTAATATATCTTGTAGATACAAAAAAATATACCTATTTTCATAAGGTTTATGGACACCTGCAAGTGTCGTCTGCCCACATGACATCCACATCGAAGGAAGGCAAAAAATACTTATGACGCATGCGCCGAAAGAAAACTTGAGCATGCCATTGACCTTTAACCTGAAACACCGGCAGATGATACCTCCAAATACAATACCACCCGCTAATCCAAGCACAATGGCTGCCCCTGTATATATATATATATGAAAAAAAGCATACATGATATATGTTTGATCGCAGCGCCTCGAAATATTATTATGTTTGCTAAAATGTATACATGATAAAATATTTTATAACAAGCCCACCACTTCTAATTAATAAGATAATGCAATCATTTTTAGGGAGGGAGTTGTAATAACTTATCTTTTTAACATTTTCTTCATTCCATAAACCTTCTATTTCTTTGTTAAAGTATCTTAACATTAGAATTTATGAATAACTGATATTAAAAATCTAAGCAACTCTCGACAGCTTAGTGTAAATTCCATGTAATCTACGTGATCAAACTTTTTGAGGCCCATCATACGCCGTTTAAAGATTATTTTCTAATAAATACAATGTCTTAATCGTATGACAGTTCTTTTAAAATATTATTGTTACATCAACACTAAACATATTCAAACGTGACGGATTTATTTAAGAGTCATAAAATTCTATTTAGCATCATGTAGAAATACTATATGTTAGATAGAGCCTTATACATGTAATTAAATCTTATCCATCAAAATAAAACGTACCCAATAAAAGTCCAGATTGTGATGAAGATATTCGGAAAGCATTTTGTAAATATTTGGCACCAAACACACTCAGGCCCGTAATAAACATTGACTCGGTGATCCCTGCAAGCGTTGTAAAAAGAAATGGCGGATTTTGAACTAAAGCCCATAACACTTTGTGCACAGTTTTTAACCTTGGTCGGCTAGGTTCCACGGCTTCGGTAATTTTACTTGTACCCTTATGTAACTGCGAGATGCGAGATTCTCTAACATCTTTGGCACCTAGAAATGACAAGTTGGTTTGTACAAAATGTGAGTACTACTCGTGGCAACATCGTCCAGCTGACACCTGACATTCTAGCTTTATTGGTATTTGAGTCAAAGTTTTCCTACAGTTGAACAAATATGTCTATTGGTTTAATGGGAATTAATTTTTCACAAACACTGTCAATGTAACAGCTATTTCCCATTTTCGATACGAAAATACAACCTGTCAACATGTATTTTGTTATATTTTACATGCATGCACACTGTTATGACGTCACGGACACTCGTTTTACAGTTGAAAAATCTCCGAAAAAAAGCTTTTATCATTGTATTATGACAAAAACATCAAACCACCTACTTGGAAGCTCTGCACCAAAACAGGACATGAAAAGTGCGGCAAGTACAAACAAAACAGCAGACAATATAGGTCCTATCCACCAAGCACCGACCCACCGTGAGTCAGTCTCCACCAGTGTTATACTGGAAACATATGATGATATGAGAACTCTGCTTATTTCAATATCACTTGTTCAAAATGAACGAAACGTTTTTGAAGGTTCGTCCGTTTCTACGAGTCTCAAAACAATAATAATAAAATATTTACAAGCTTTAACAAAACTATTATTATATGAATGTATCTTTTTGTATGCACAATAATTTAGTGCTTGCATCGAGAAATGTATGTGTTGTGCAATTTTTATGGTTTTATCATAAATCTGATGCTCAAATGAAGATTTATCAATATTGTAAGTTTAAAAAAAAAACATTATTTACATATATAAAATTATACTTAAATGTATGTTACGTACTTAATTACAATATACAGGATCTACAGTTGTGACATACAATATACATTATACAATAGTATATCATAAACAAAGATTAAAATGTACTTTACATGAATGATTTAAGTGCATACTATATATGTTTGTTTGTTTGTTTGTTTCATTTTACGCCTTTTCCCAACAGTATTTCAGTCATATAGGCGGGTAGTTTCCTAACCATCGTTCCTGGAGAGTTACACCAGTACTAGACTACCTTCCCCCGGGCTAAACTACCAAAGCATCTCCCGAGAATCGAACCCATGCCAGAGAGGTTTATGGATTAGAAGTTATCGACTCTAACCCCTCGACCACGGAGGCGGTAGGCTACGAGTAAACATCGTGTAAAAAAAATGGAGACACTGTTTGATCCCGCCCACCCCCGCCTCCCCCCAAAGGAAAGAAAAAGAGTTGAACTAAAAGACTATTAAATTGCATTAAGGTATGTGGGTATGAAGATGGGTATACCTCTTTGTGTCCACCTTGTCAACGTCAACATAAATATTAAGAAATATTCCGCCAACAATAAAACCAATTCCTGGTCCTAGAGCAGCAAATCCGAAATATATACCTGAATAATAAATAAATCCCCGTATATTTTATTACAATGAAAAATGCAGGATATTCACAATCAATATAATTGAGCCGCGTCATGTCAAAACCAACATAATAGGTTTGCGACCAGCATGGATCCAGACCAGGTCCATGTTGTTCGCTTGCAAACCCTATATCAAGTAGCGAACAGCATGGATCCTGATCAGACTGTGCGGATGCGCAGGCTTGTCTGGATCAATGCTGGTCGCAAACCCATTATGTTGGTTTTGTCATGGCGCGGCTCATTAATGTTTAAACAATAGGTACAAAAGCGTTGTTCTCTAAGAACGTTAATATGTCTGCCGATTTCTATTTAAAGTTTGTAGTTAGAACATCTAAACTTAAAAAAGGTTCTTTATAAGCAAATGAAATATAAATATATATCCTTAATTAATAGATATAAATAGATATATCACTGAATAATACATACATGTATATCCCTGATTAAAATCCGATAATAAAATCAAATGACTAAGAATATTGATATATTACGTGTACTGATATCATTTTTGGAGGAAAGAAGCAGCTGATGTATAGGACTTTTCAGTAATTTAAGTTGGAGAAATGAGCGATATATTACGCACAAACCATTGTTGGATTGACAATCAGGCATTACAATTGCTTCACGCTTACCTAGATATAAAGGTGACATTAATGACGTCACACAGTCGTCAATGTAAGCGGTCCCGACTGTATACAGTGTGGCGCCGCCAACACCGAATAAAACGTTACTTAACGCAAACAACCAGATATAGTTCTGCAAGCCCGATGCCTCGCACATTTCAACTGTTGACGTGGCATTGTCACCTGCAATATAAAATAATTAGTTTAAGGCCTACTATAAATGATTGTAACAAAATGGTGCCAAAGCTTCGATGTTTCCCATCCTGCATTTTCCGTGTTAGATTTCCCTGTGTAACACGGGATGTATTTTCAGTGTTGCACTTACCGAAATGTTGGAAGTAATACAAAATGTTTTATAAACGATAATTTTCGAAAACCTCATTTGTATATAAACCAGGTATAAGTGCTATTTCTTGAACAAAAGTAATATGTAAATGGTCCCTTATTACAGGTTTCACTGTAACCTATATTTCTTATTTATTCTAGACCTACTACAAAGTTATACAAAGTTAAAGGAACTCCACTGCGGTCTAAAATCTCAAAATTTGAATTTCTTACATAGATCAACTCAGGAATTTTAAACGGAAGGATATGCACAGCATAAGTAAAAATATACTCAATTTGAAAATCGTATATTTGTTTATTGGCCGATTTGATTGAAAAAGCGTTGTTGTTTCACAATTTCACAATTGGAAAAAAAGAAGTGATCAAATTATCTGAAATTTTGCACACTACTTCTTGGTCAAGAACTACATCAAATGGAATATCAATCTTGGAAAATTCTTGTCAAATAAGCTCAGTGGAGTCCCTTTAAAGAATATTATATATAGTGTCTACATCAGAGCTATGTAAATGCTAACATTAAAGATGTAGTCTCGAATTATTCTAACTCTAAACTTTGATGTATGAACTCACTGTAAAAATTAGACTAAATTTCTTACTTATTCTATCACAGACTGATATTTTGTTTTCTCCCCATTTGTACAACCCAGTTGTGAAGTGAGGTATTGTCATGGTTACCGAACCACCAATCATAAAAAGTGCAGACGCTGTCAGCCATCTTGGTTTATGACGTCCTGAGCCAAGGTAACTGTATGAGTAGAGCAAGCAGCTTTTTGAAAACTTCGTGAGGAGATAATAAGTCACATATATAAGGAACTTTCCTAATTATAAAAGGTGGGAGAGGAGAAAACCCTGTGCCTAAGTTCAAATATGTGCTTGTGTTATAGCTATGATTAAGTCTTCTTAAGAAGCATAAGTTTCGCATTATTTTTCTAGATATACTTACTTCAATTACTAAACGTTGGACAAAATATTAATAAAGTTACAAACAATATAACTACACTATTTGTTTAAGGGTATTTATAAGAACATTTTTTTATTCAACGCCAACCTCACGCCCGTTTAACTCACAACGAGTGAAAAATGTCCATCGGTTAAAATGTTGTGAGCAACTTCCGTTCCTCGTTGTGAGCACCCATCTTTGACGTGTGACACGATAAACAAGGTGACTTTTTCATAATTTTTGAAGATTGCAGACATTTATGTAAAAATATCGGAATGCAGTTAGCTAGCTATGTGTTTTCCGAGTATGCACATGTAAAGATATTGTCCGTTGGTGGACAATTTGATGGAAATACCGTGCGACGCAGTCACTCGGGGTAGCTGGAAAGCTAGAGACAACTTCTCTTTGGACCTAATTAAACATTGAAAACGTCGATTCTGGTGACGTTTTGTGCATTCTTACCTAAAACAGATGCCCACAAGTCATCAGCGTAAATTATTATCTGAAAGTCTTCGTAGAAACGAAGATATACTTTATTTTGCTTTAATCCTCGTTGTGAGCACCATAACCTCGTCGTGTGAGCAAGACAAACGCAGTGCGTGTATGGTTTTAATATGTAATTCAAATGGCAAGAATACAATTTTCAATCTACCAAAAGCAATCAAAACGTTTTTGTACAAAAGTTTTTCTTTGCAATAGTTCTTCTTTTTCTTTTTAAAAGTTTTTTTTTTAAATTATTCTTCATATTCACAAGTCATCAGATTAACATAAAAACTAATCAGTTTATGTAAATCAGGTATTTTATTTCGTATACTCTAGTTTGGCTCGAGTGAACATCACGGGAGTTTATGAATATTTCAACAATTTCACAGTCTGTGTGATACACACATACATGTGTTTATCCTGAGCTGAAAACTGACCACGTTATGTAAAACAAGAACTATCACGGTAAGTTGACAATGCCCCTGAAGTGGTGCTTTGTCCTTAGATTTATGGACCAGATAGATTATTTGTTTTTGGACAATTAGATCTTCAATGTGAAGGTAATTCAATGTCAAGGTGAAATATATATAGGTCAGTTGGAAGGTCTTGTCCAAAGGGGCATTGTGTCCAAATATGAATTAAATCATCTAACTTATAAAGAAGTGATGACCAATCTTAAAGTTTTTGGATGTTCTAGAAGTCATTCACGGTACAAGATAAAAAAAAAACGATCAGTTTGAAGATCTTGCCTAAAGGGGTGTTGTTTCAAAATATGAGTAGAATCCGTTTACTAATAAGGAAGTTTTGACCAATTTTTAAGTATTTGGACAATTTGACCTTCAAGGTGAAGGTCATTCAGGGGTCAAGTTCAAATAAAATAGGATAGTTGAAAGGCCTTGTCCAAAGATGTGTTGTGCCTAAACATTATGCCAGGACATTATGGCCAATCTTAAATGTTTTTGGACAATTTGACCTTCAAGGTAAAGGCCATTCAGGGGTCAAGGTAAAAAAATACAGGTCCGTAGGAAGGTGCAAAGGGATGTTGTGTTCAAATATGAATCAAATTCATTTTCTAATAAGGAAGATAAGGCCAATGTAAAAGTTTTCAGACAGATTGACGGACGTACCAACTTTTGATATTTATGAGGCAAATCAGCTCAGAAACACCACCTGGACCAACGTCCATTAGCAAAATTAGCTCAAAAATAGCTCTTAATTTGAATTTTATGAGCTTTTGTTCTTTATTTAAAATACGGAATGAAGCTCATAAATATCATATATTTGCTCGGACTGACAGACGAACAGTTCAAAACTAATATGCCTCCCTTTGGGGTATGCACAACGTCAAGTGCAAAGAAATGCTGCTGTGCAAAAATGTTTTAATTGCTGTGGTATATTGAAAATTATATTTTCACCATCTGAATAACATATTAAAACCATACACGCACTGCGCTTGTCTTGCTCACAACGAGGTTATGGTGCTCACGAGGATTAAAGCAAAATAGAGTATATCTTGGTTTCTATGAAGACTTTCAGATAATAATTTACGCTGATGACTTGTGGGCATCTGTTTTAGGTAAGAATGCACAAAACGTCACCAGAATCGACGTTTTCAATGTTAAATTAGGTCCAAAGAGAAGTTGTCTCCAGTTTTCCAGCTACCCCGAGTGACTGCGTCGCACGGTATTTCCATCAAATTGTCCACCAACAGACAATATCTTTACATGTGCATACTCGGAAAACACATCGCTAGCTAACTGCATTCCGATATTTTTACATAAATGTCTGCAATCTTCAAAAATTATGAAAAAGTCACCTTGTTTATCGTGTCACACGTCAAAGATGGGTGCTCACAACGAGGAACGGAAGTTGCTCACAACATTTTAACCGATGGACATTTTTCACTCGTTGTGAGTTAAACGGGCGTGAACCTACCTCACAAAGATTCCAAAGAAGGCTGCAGAAAAATCATACGCGGAAGAAACTAGTCCCATCTGAGTACTGCGTAACAGAAACCTTCTCTCTAGTGAAGAGACAATTACGTTAAACATCCCGTTCACGACGAAACCTGAAAAAATTAAACTTACATTTTTATATATAATTCTGATTAACTTTTACACTGGTATCGGCAACTGGATCTACTTGTGCTGACCAAGTTGAGCCTGCAGCACCAGTGCCGTCTGGTAATGGTCAGCACTGTTCACTATTCAATCAGTATTTATTCTGAATCTTTCACTAAATGTTATGAATGTTTTTTATTTATTTATTTTTGTTGTTTTTACTGCTGATGTTTTTGTTTTGTTGTTGTTTTTGTTGTTGGTGTTGTTGTTTTTGTTCATACTGAAAGATTAACAAGATCTGTTATGTGATATGTTATACGCTATTACGATTAATACAGCCCAAAAGGAGCTACGCTACAATGCAAACTGCAAACACAATCAAGCGTTTTAAACAAGCATCTTTTGGAAAGACTAGTTAACATTTTGAGTCAGCCTGAATGCATTACATAAATAGATTTAATTATATTTGTCCATGACTTATACGAACTCGTATTACTCTTTTGGGTAAACATCTCACGATTATTACTTTTAAAGCTTATTATTAATGGTAATGTACTTTGTGTTTAATGAGTTATATTATTCAGGTTTTGCGAAATCAGAGTTTATCGTCTCGTAAAATGTTGAAATTGATAGTTTCAAAATGAGATTGGGTAGCTAAAAGTATGTTATTCATATGCAGATACTGGTAATAAACTGTGTAAACAAGAAAGAAAAGTAGAGCAGTATAAATCTGAAACTTTGAGTGCATCCACCGTTAAGTTGAGTGTCATAATTATTATATGGTATATTAATTATCGTATCATTCAGAATTAAGTTTTGTTTGGAATATATGGAATTCATACTAAAACAAAGTTTAATATGTCGTCTGTAAAATATGGGGAAGCCGGCGGCATTGATATATGGTCTCACCCCCCTGAGTTCTTTTAAATTTTGAAGAAGCCCAAGTTAAGTAATCTCTAGCTTGATTGGTCATAATTAATGTGTATTTATCGCGACTGTGTAATTTTTGTGTGTTATATGAGGACTTTAAAAGTTGTTTTTGTGTATCTCCCAGGCCTCAATTGTTGGCGGAAGGATCAAAGAAGTACAATCCACCAGCAGTCATGAGTTTTTAAAGTGGTGAATTTAAACAGTGTTGCAACAGAATGAAGATTTCTGAAAAAAGTAGATGACTAACATATTATATATCGGGCATTGTCGCGACGCAGTATGCTATATGCGGCAGTATGCCTTATGGATGGCATACTGCTGCAGGTTATATGGCATACTGCTGCACCTTTTAAGGCTTACTGCCGCAGTATACTTATGGCATACTGCGTTGAAAGGGGTTACGCAGTCTGCCATATGCATTTTTGAATGGCATACTGAAGCTCTTTGATGATATTTTGAAATTATCAATTAAAAGGGTTATTAAATGTTAAGGATTTTAAATGTTAAGGATTTTTAGTATTTTGCATAATAGAAAACATCAGAGAGAATCCTTTTTCAATATTTAGCGGAATAAAACGCTGAGCCAAACAGACCGACCAAACATTTTTATGCTCCCGAGAACATATAGTCGCCGCTTTGTCCGTCCGTCAAACTCTTGTCGGGAGCATAAGTCAAAAACTATTCAAGCTGTTATCTTGGATAGATCTCATTGTGGAGATGTGCAGTGCTCAAGAACCGTAACTTTCTAATATAATTTTTGAGTTATTGCCATTTGTAGTTTTTCATACTTTGCTCTAAAAATACTAGACATGTCAATTTTAAACCCAAGATGTGGTCTCGGGGAGCATCAACGGTTCTACCGGCACTTGTTAAAAAAAGTGTGAAGTGTAAAACTTATCTTACCACATTGAAAGCTTTTAAATGTATTGTCTTTAAATAAAAGAATCAATTTACAATTGTCATTCGATTGTCTGTTTTAAAGATTAAGGGTTTTCCTCAACCATTTTTACACATGCTTGTTAACAACAAGATCCTTTGAGATATTTAGCGTGGGAAGAGTTAAAACTGTCCTTCTTACATTTGTTTTGTGGTTTGATTTCTTTCTTATTAGGTTTTCCTTATTGTTTCCTGCATCTTATAAGAGTTTTGGGAAATTTGATTTTTGTCTTGATAACCGGAACTTTTAAAATAGAAATTACGTTAACAGTTTAACAACTGGTATAAAGCTACCTTTATTCTTTTTATGTTATTGCTTTTAAACACAAAATGTGACCTTGTGAAATGCGACGCACAGCAATTTTAAACATTTTAGCATGTAACTATGATATTATTAACTTTTGATGAAAACCATGAAACCATATCGGTGGTTGAATTCAACTTTGTGTAAAAAGTACATTACAGCTTTGGTTTAAACATATTTATTTTACGCTCGAATGCGTAACAAGTTCTTGCAACTTATATTAATCACTTTCGAGCCTGCTTCCTGGAACCAACCAGTACTGGTGTCATATGAAGAAACATGGACGTGACCCGAAAAGGGCTCGAACCCATGATCCATGGGTTGAGAGGCAGACACCTTAACAACTAGGCCACCGCTCCCCTTTAAGCATTACAGCATTACAGCTTTAAGATAGTCATTACAAACGAAGTCATATCGACCTATTTAAGGTGCAATAAAAACCTTTAGAATGTATCCAAAGAAAAAAAATAATAAGAAGAATGCATTTTGTTGGATATTACGTCAAAAAGATACTTTGACATTATATAGCGAATTCTCAGCTCCAACATAGAAAGTCATTTTAGATGAAAGATTTGTTAAATTGGTCCTGGTCATTAATACGTTTGGATATATGCCGAATTTACAAGATTATTTTGTAACAGTTACATGCAATCTGACTAAAGAAGTTGCAGGTATTTCTTGCATGTATGTCTGATTATCACCGTACTTTTTCGCCTTCATTGTTATTCAGATTTCCGAGAAAGCTTTTTTTAGCCATGCAATTAAACCGTCCTTTACAGATTAGCACCAGGTAAGTTTGTTAAGTTTGATAAGTATATTTCAATATTCCATTGGACCAAAGGGTCCATGAGGATAAACAGACACATGATAAACAGACACATAATAAACAGACACATGATAAACAGACACATGATAAATGGCATAGGCATAGGCATAAGACGAAGTATCAAAATACCGCTGTCCGTGGAAGTAAAACAAAATGTTCATTTTTGTTAGAAAAAAATATTTGATGTAATTTGAAACAAATAAACTGTAAATAATAGACTTAATTTTTAATGGGTAAGATTGTTTTGCTAGTTTACCTACTGGCTATAAATTATCTATTTAGTATTGATTTTCCAGTGACCTCATCGCTTTCAAAATGATGATAGTTTGCCTATGATTGGTTGTTTTAAAGGTTACGAGGTGACCATCAGATCTAAAGTGTGGTGCTAGAGCTTATTGTAGAGGTCATCAGACATCTTCACAGTGTTAGAAAATGATTGCTGGCGGCATTCATTTTTGCTTATCAAATTTAAGCTAATGCATTGCATTTAAGCGATAAATCATTAGAACCAGTATACAAAAATTGTTATGCGCATGCACCGGTTCAAAATACGACTTAACTTAAACTAAAAATTGACATTGAAGTGAACAAAACTAATCGATATTACTTAACACCACGAGCAATGGCTCATTCCGTTTTAATACTTTAAACTGTACAAATTAATTATTTTGTTCTTAAAAGGGGTTTTACTTTTACGTGTTCCGAAAATTAGTAACAGTGATAAGTATAGCTACACTATCACCATGCACTATTATTTGACCGAGTAAACCGTTTACCGAAATTTTGCTGCTCCTTTAACTTTTGAACCGGTATGACTTAATAACGCAACGGAGATTTTTTGGCACAAATGGCACAACGTTTTCTTAAGTTTGATTTTCTTCAAATATAATGGTTTCATTCTATTTTGTTAAATAATTGTAATTAATAAACATTCATTGTGTCTTTTATGCAAAAACATTTCCAATTATTTTCTAATTAAAAAAATCTTTTACAGCTGCAAAAAAGACCCTTCGCATGCCTCTTTTTCAAGAAGCAAACTTGTTATGATTTAAACAGCCAAAAAAGGAGCGACGCTACATTGCACACTGCAAACATAATCAAGCGTTTAAAGTCAACGTGAATTAGATATTTTGAATGCAAAAATAGATATAATTATATTTGTCCATGACTTATACGAACTCTAACTACACTGGTGGGTATCTTACTTTTTTAACGCTTGATGTTGTCGATGATGATGTTCTTTGTGTCTGATGAGAACTTTATATTATTCAGGTTTTGCGAAACCACAGTTTATCGTCTCGTAAAATGTTGAAATTGATAGCTTCAAGTTGTGATCGGGTAGCTAAAAGAGTGTTATTCATAATATTTTTTAACAAGAAAAAGACGTAGAAATGTATTAGTCTGAAACTTTGAGTTCCTCCATCTACGCCACTCGTGAGAATACTGTTAAAGGTCACTCGATGAAATAAAATTTTATCTTAAACACAAACAAACAAATATCCTTTATGTAATATTGGATCATATACGAGGGGTGATCCAGAAATAACCAGACTTACTCTCTAAAATACTTATTTTTTGCGATTTTTGCATGAAGTCTGTACCAAACATGATTCAGATCAAACTGATTCTGTTGGAAATTAAAGTATTATTCTTCAGATGTATTCCGTTGTTTTATGCGTAGTCATGGAAACACACTAGTGCCTGAGCGGGGGGAAGTCATTTTTCATTCACAAATTGCTATTTTATAGCTTATTTTGAACATATTTCGGACTTTGCATTTTGGAGCAAATTAAGGTCAATTTGACATGACGTCATTGACGTCTTTTTTATCAAAGTTTCAATGTATGTCATAACGTTTTCCGTTATCAAACAACAAACCGGACATCATCTCCGCTAGTGTCTTGACAATGGCGTCACATCAGTATCCAGAACTGCGCAAAATTATCAAATTTTGTTGCAAACTTGGTTATCCACCTACAAAAACTTATTAAATGAAAACATAGTCATCTGCAGGAAAGACAGTATCAAGAACACAAGTTTCTGAATGGCGAAGATAGGCAATATCTAGATGATGATTCAACAGAAGGTCTTGTACGTTTGTTGAAACAATCAAAGACGTCATTCTCAGCGACAGGCGTGTAACCATAGGAGATGTTTGCGATGTTACTGGATATAGTTACGGGACTGTACAGCGAGTGATCACGGAACAATTAAATATGTCTAAAGTCAGCGCCAGATCAGAAGTGTGTGGATGTAAACGGTGATTACCTAGAAAAATGACTGTCAGAATAACCTTTGGGTGACGTCAACGTCGTCAACGTTTGTTGGATGACTGCCCCCGCACACGCGGAACATATAGTGTGTTTCTATATAGGGTCAACGCACGTTTTTTCGTGTTATAACGTCTGCAGAGTCCCGAGGAACGGTTGGTGCCCAAGCCCGGTAGGTAAAACCGGGCTATAACAAGAGCGCGTGACTATGTTAACGCATGGTTTTGGCCCCGTTATAACATGGGCAAAAAAGGGAAAAATAGCCGATTTTATGCTATAATGTATATTAGTGTTGTTTATTGCCATAAATATATCTCAAACTTACCAGCTACATTTAAATATATTCCCCTAGTTTGTTGTCACGTATGACACTAAACTAAATGATATTAACATAAATAATAATGGTATAACCAAACTACCATTATGGACCGATCCACCTTAAGCTGCATTGTTAATGACAATGCTTAAAACTGACTTATTATAACTATACTTATTACAGAGGAAGTCGCCTTTTTTCTCGTCTGCTTTTTCTTTCAAACTTCGAAGTGAATTACTTTCTTTATTGAAAATAAGATGTAGTTTTCGATATCAAAACCAAATGTTATATATTGTACTACAGTAGCCATTTATTAGCCACATACACTTATCTTTTGAAATAGGGAAGCAAAAAGTTTTTAATGTTATAAGTATGTGTGGGTAGAGACAATAAAGTTTTTCTGTTATAAGTATAATTACGTAGGTAGTGTCACTAAAGGTTTTATAGTATAAGTATGTGTGGTTAGTGTCAATTTATTCACCAAGGCTACAAGTGATTCAGAGAAGAAGAAAATATCTAATGATGGATAAGAAAAATCCGAAATGATACGGAAAAATTGCCGATGATTGACGGAGAAGACGGGTATATTTTGGAACACTTGTTTGATAAAGTTAAATAAAATTTCAGTTAATCTTTATTTCAGTATATTATTTATAAAATTTTGATTAGTTTAATTTGGTAATGATTTACCATTTGTTTATAACCATTAATTTTGTATTATTTCTTTGATGAGGAAAAATGTGTTTCCTTTTAAAAGTAACGAAAAGTCTCTAGATTAAAGTGGTTTCGCTAATTTTATTATTATCTTTAAATTTATTGTCAATAAAATTTACAATAATATTGTAAGTTATTTACGACGAAATTCGATGCAAACAAAATTATTATTTATATACACATGCCGGAATAAATTCTGATACGATTATTTACAATCGTAACTTGTCGGCCCTTTCCGTCAGTCTTCGGTAATAATGGATTTTCTGATTGCGTTTATACAAAGTCCCCACCGGAAACTCAAGTGGGCTTAACAAGATTTATTTAGTGGAGAAATCCTCAGTTACTGGTTCTCTATGCATACAGCGTGCATATTGCATAAAATATCTTATTCCGGAAACCACGTTTTAAAGTGTCATCCGATCCTTAGATAATTAATTTATCAGTTTAATTATGGGCAGGGTGGAAAAGTGTACGTTTATCTTATTAAACATGTTAACCATCGAGTGAATAAGATTATTTTTCCACACAGGCACGGATTTGGGTGGAAGATGCCAATGTTTTCTCGAGTACGTAATAAATGTATCACATCAAAAACACAATGTTCTTAAAATGATGATTGAAGTGAATTTCGTAAAGAATGTTTGTATTTCCTGATCGCAGATCAGGAAATACAATGCTGACATTCAATCTCTACAACAGGGCTTCACGACAAACCTTACAACAAGTAGTTCTCAAAACAGCTGAAAAATAGCGATGTAAAAGAAAGAAATACATGTATTTTTATTTTGTAACAAGTATCCAACAAATTACAACGCATTCAAAGTTTAAAAGTAGCGTTGGCTTATAAAATTGCCAATAAATGCACAATCACAAATTACGCAGATGAATATCATTTTATCAATGGAAATTTTTGCAGTCTACAAATATTGTTTTGCGAATGCTCCGTTTCAACTTAAACGAAAAATTAACATCAGTGTGAACAAATCAGGTACAAAGAAAAATCGGAAAATATCATTTATGTTACTTAATGCTACCTGGATGTTTCATTCCGTTTTAATCTTTTAAACTGTATAAATCGGTTACCGTATTGTTTTCTGAATAGCGTTTTACTATTTCATGTTCCGATAAATAGTAAATGTAAACATTATAGCTACAATATCACCATGCACTATTATATGACCGAGTAAACCGTGTACCAACACGCTCGTTTGAGGTGTGAGAGGTCTCGGGTTGAAACCCCAGTTGAGGCAGCAATTATTTATTTTTTAAGTGTCTTTTTTTAACGAAGTACCGACGATATGCATGAATAAAGTTTGACTGTCATAAAAAATTAACAGCAATGATTTTTGATGCAACTCTACTCATGCAAAATTCCGTATGTTATAGTAAAAAATCGAAACGCAGTCGCTGAATCTCCGTGCCCTGTAAGATGAATTATAGTATATAAAAATAAATTTATAAGAAAAATACATAAAGATATACATTCGATTTAGATTGCATTGATCAGAAATACCACAGAGCTTGCAGCCCTTTGGTTTTATTTTGTAGACTGTCTTTATAAAGCAACAGCCATGTTTGTACTGTACAAAATAGATATGCCATAAAGCAACTGAAAATGATAACTCTTTAACACTGATTCTGCATTTTAGACAGTTTCCACTTTCTAAGTGATTACCATTCTTTATTTTTGGCTTAAAGTTTAAATAAAAATATTAAGTTACCTTGTATAAAAACATAAAAGCACATTACTGCCAGCATGGCTTTGGGTTTGTTGAACTTCTGAAGCAGACGTGGTCGGCAATTTCCGTAGCCGCATCGGACTTCAACGCCATCTTGTTCGTTACATTCCGTCACCTGCTTATCTTTTTGATCCATTCTTGTCTTGTATTTGTCAGTTATTGCATAAACTATTATAATTCAGTATTGTGTATCCATATAAATCTTATCCAAAGTGTATCCAACTCTCTTCTATTTGATTTATGATGTCCAATGAAATATATATTATGAAAGAATTATACCAAAATATACCTGCCACTAATCCTAAAGTGTGCACTCGTTTACAAAATGCACGCATACTTTCCTTTATTTACCCTTCTGCATTATGTTTCAAGATAAATGTCTGCATCGGTATTAACACTGAAAACCGCATTTATCGTTTAAAATATCGTATTTAACTACGTACGCAGGTTGTTATTTTCATTACAAAATATGTCTGTCTAAATATATAGTTTAATCTAAAATTAAAATCTTTGAACACAAATAGGTTTAAAAAAGAGGTTGAACAACTTGAAGCTATTGCTCAGTTATTGTACCGTAACTAAATGATGTTAACAAGTAACTTGTTTTTATAAAAGTATATGAACCGTAAAACGTTTCCTTATGACGTACTTGTTAAAAGTTCGTATCTAGAGATGTAAGCCTCCAACAAAATATAACAACTTTCTTCAAAGTCATCAAAAGAAAAAGTTTAATTAAGTACCATCATTTTTTTCGATTACTTAATGTATTTTTAACCTATGTTTTTGTATGAGTCAGTGGATTAATTATTACTTTAAATAGAGAAGAAAAAAATGTTTTACTCTATGGTATCACTTAATTAGAATATAGAACGTTATTTCCGTAACGTATATGTAAAACAATAACCGGAAATATTTGAATGATATCGAAACGTACAATCAAAGTGGATCGAAGTGTGTTAAAGCTACTGTATCAAATCAGAATGTTTGCGTTTTTTGCATGTTCGACACCACGCTGGTTTAGAGTGGATTGATCTATAATGGGTGAATAGAATTGAACTTAAAAAGAAGGGAAGTAACTCCTTATATGTATTGTTGTGCAGGTTCGCATTAATGACATAAAGCGCGGAATTTATGCGAGTACTTTCATACATGTATATTAATCTTTAAAGCCACATTGTGTCTCAGAAATGATTAGTTTCCTTCTTTAAAAAAGAAACACATAAGTTTTACAAGGTTTAAATGATGGTTTAAGAGCATGCTTTTAACATGCAATGTAAAATAATTTATCAAAAGTAGCAAAATGTAAACAAAGTAGTGTTTTGACTTCCATATAAAACAATAAATCACTATATCTATATATAAACGGATGAGATAAATGACTAATGAGTATCATTTATTTGTTAATGTTTTGTTTTTGTTGAAACTTTAACAGGAAATCAAAATAAAGAACTTTTGAGACAATGTCATTTTTTTTTTTGGGGGGGGGGGCGGAGGGGCATAATGGGCCTTTAAGGCGGATTGGTCTACTAATAGTAGCACATTATCCATAAATATTGATAAAATCAGTGGAAATGTATCACTTAGATAATATTATTATTTTAAGATATCTTTTAAAAAAGGATGTAATGTTAAGTTCTCAGGAATTTAATATGAACATTAACCCTTTACCTCATATATACGCGAAACAACGCACTTTCGACCCCCCCCCCCTTTTAGGCCTGAAATAGTGAAAATGTCCTATTTTTTTTTTTTTTTTTTTTTGGGGGGGGGGGGTGAAGGGGGCGGAGTCCCCCTCATCGCAAAGAAAATTTTGGACTTGTGAGAGGCTTAAAATGACCCCAGGTCGATCATAAGGTAACATGTAACCAACGCTGAAAAGCCTTTGACTCTATCTCAATCCCTTGAGAAGTTGCAGCACTTTGAAATAAATTTTGATGGAAGAAATCGAGGCAAAATAGTGATTTTTGGCAATTTTGAGATGTACCCTCGTTGCCATGGTAACGGGAAATTTAAGACTGAGCAAGTCGATACAAAGGCAATGGTCCAGTCAACATTTGTGCCAAGTTTGATTAGTATTGAAGCATTTTTCATAGTTTCATAGCAGTTTGAACTTGTAAGAGGAGGCTTTTCAGTGAAAATGGCCATTTTACACAATATGCTCATGGGGGAAAGGGTTAATATGATCAATAATAATATATTTCTAGAACAATATAATATCTCCTTTATATAGATATTTGATATCGAATCATGTATCTCACACTTACCAATCTATTTCAAGTAGAGAAACTGATAGCGAACAGCATGGATCCTGATCAGACTGCGGTCTGGATCCATGCTGGTCGCAAACGCACTATGTTGGTTTTGTCGTGACGCGGCTAATATCTGTCGTGGTTTGTTGTCATGTGTATGATAAAAAATATTATCAGATATAAAGGACCTTCCATTATGGACCACTTCACTTTAACGGCCAACAGACTATGGATAATGATTGACAGGTGCTCTCTAAGTGTGGACAAAAGCGTACGTGAAGTATTGAATCATTTTTTTATTATATGTTTTCGAATTTTTGAATTGTTTATTTCTGTATGGAAAATAAACACTGTCTCTAAGATGAGTTTTTTTTTATTTGAACAGTATGTTCTTCAGTCATATACTAGCGTGGCTATACAATGATGATAAAGTCAATAAGTGCTCACATAAAGCTTCCCCTCCCCCACCGCCCAATACCATACACACTCACATATATGTACTATCTGCAGTCAGTTATATAGTTCTAGTTCGCAGTAAATAGTTGCAGTTTAACTTAAAGGCACATCGTGCCTCAGAAATGCTAGCATTTTTATTTCTCAAAATCTTTTTTATTTTAATATCTTGTTACAGTTTTCAAAAAATTTCTTTCGCCGTATACATAAACTATCTTTCGCTGATTTTTGTTATGTTGGCAATTGGCGTAATCATATTAAATTTTTATTTTGAAAAGAACCCAAAATATTTTATTTTTTTTACTTTTTCGCTCCCTTTAAACAAAAATTTACGTATTTTCAGCACTATTTTTCCATTAAAAAATCTAACATTTTTACTCCATTTTTTAAAACCCATTTTTATGACAAAATTTAACATTTTTTGAAAAATTTTAAAAAAAATTTTAATAAATTTTTTTTAAAGGCCCAAAATTGTCCCCTTTAAATTACGTGATATTAAACGTGACAATAATCATATATAAATCAAATATCTTCAACTTTTATGATTGTTTATGCTGTAGATAAAGACAAAAACTGTCTATTGGATCTCTAGGGAAAAACTCCTTGAAAAAATTCTATATTCCTTGAAATAATCTGTGAAAGTAGAACAAGGGAAGTAACTTCTTATCCTTTCTCAACTTTGATTAGCATCGATTAATGTTCTTTGGTTAAACTTACTAATACAGACAAAAAAGTTTTAAGCGGTCCAATATTTGTTCAGATGAAAACAAATCTTGCCTGTTTGTATAATAATCTTGAAAGTATTAATGAAAATTCATTCTTAATAATCCCTTTTAATACTTTGCACATGTAATAGTGTTTTCCTCGGAATTCTTGATCGGTTAATTTTTTTCCTGCTCCGATCAAAATGTGTTCGATAAATGAACTATGTTTGGGTGTATTTTATATCATTATCATATGTAAAATTATATCAATTTAGTCATGTAAATTACATCATTTCTGTCATGTTAGTTTCATCAAAACTGTCATGTAAAGTACATCGTTACTGTAATGTAAAGTACACCATTAATGTCATGTTAATGATATCATTACTGTCATGTATTTTACATTATTACTGTTATGTAAATTGTATCATTACTTCAAACAAGTGACTTTTCAAACTGTTTTCCCTGTAGCCTGTTCTTCGTTCGATTGTGATAAGGAGTTGACAATACTTCCACGGCATCGTTGTTTTATATAAAACGGCATTTGTTAGCGTCACCCTCCCGAGTTGGTCAACCAATCATCCCCGGCAGCTAGGGTGACTTGACCTTGACTGGCCGTATACCTCCTCCACGACGCGCACGCCTCAGAGGCGATTTGAAGAAGACTAAATGTATGTAATAGCTGGCATGATTATACCGTATACTGGTGACAAAGGTAGTGGTAATCGCCCCGGTGTACAAAAAAGTTATGCGAATGCCTTAAGAACTGTCTGGCACTCTGTTTACTTATACTCGCGACCTAACGTAAACGAGGTTGAAACAAAGATGAACATGCCGATTTTAGTTCAAAATACATGTACATGCTGAAGGACAATATAAGTTGTTCACCGCTATTGAAGAACGTTATATTTTATTGATATATTGTAAGATTATTTTAATGCAGCTTGAGGTTTGTGATTTATAGAGATATTTAAACAAGGTTTGCTGATAAGATATTGTGTATGGTAAGGTCTCCTCAAGGTTAGACAGTTTAGAAAATATACAAAACATTTGTAACAATAGTACCCGGACATAATACAAATCGTACAGTCATTTCGCTGATAACATTTTTTATATCGAACATATAAAATAAAACTTCCTGTTTTATACTCAGCTGACATCGAAAAAAAAATTATTTGCTCATTTAATTTGCATGTGTTCCCTCCATTAACATGAGGGAACTTGGCTTACACTGGGTAGTTCTGTATCATCTGGTAAATATAAGCGCAAGAAAGCAGTAACAAAAGAAGTTGACGCATGTTTTAAACATACTTTACCCATTATTATAAAAAGTTGATTTTATTTTTATATGATCTCAGTCAGCAAAGCTTTTCTTTAATTTGATATTAAATGAACTGGATAAGAAATGATTAGTTAAATCAAGGCATGTCCGCGGACAGTACTGTTTAGCCGCAAAGCTCCCAACGAATATAGCCCCGAAGAGGCTATATGTGGCGAAAGCTATATGTGGCGTAACAGATCACGCTCCGTCCATTTTTTTTACAGTACATACATGAATAATATATGTAATGAAAGTTGAAAATGGAGCATGGTTCTGCAAATGTGCTTGTGAAACATACCTTTGACTGTAGACTTCGATCATTATGATTCATAAAAATGCAAAGGTACAAGGCATTTGATAGACTTAATTTGCAATTTTTTAATTAAATTGAAAGGTTCACCAACGCTTCGTCAATGCAAGAAATAACACCACAATTTAAGCTTTATATCTTTCTCATAAGAAAAACTGAAACTTCAGCAACAGAAATGAATTGTTCGTTTGGAGTGAATATGCTTTGTGGTTTTTGAGAAATAGACAACATACTCTAAGAAAAGGAGTAATAACTTTTCAGGGATGAATAACCTGCTCTTATCTTGATAGTAAAGAAGTGCTTTAAAAAGAGAACATTACTGAGCAAGAATGTCTTTCCGGGTTATCTGCTCTTTCGAAGTGCATTCCATTCAAAATTTTATAGTATATGTTGATAGATTGTTTTTTGTTTTGTTTTTTTTGATGTTGTTGTTGTTTTGTTAATATAATTTAACCACACATTCTGAAAATGGTAGCTTAGTTTAAGACAAAAGCATTGATATGCTTTAAAACCGACATTATAAAAGGTAGTAAGGTTTGAAAAAGTATACCAAGTTTGAATTGAGTATCTTTGACATTTGTTTTTAATACAAAATAACAAAAAGGTAAATGTAAATCATGGCCAAAAAATGGCAAAACTTTGAAAAAAAATGTTATGATAATCTGCCCTATTAAAATGGTGTATCATTTTGATAGTGAATATTTATAACAATATTAGATTATAAAGTGAAAAGCTTCTATAGTTTCTGAGAAATGAACCTTAACAAGAAGGTGAACCAACGCCGTCGAGAGAGTCATAAAAATAGCTCCATTTTTTTATTTATCATAATTATAATATTTTTATCTTATTCATTTTAACCGGTTGATGTTTAAGTCGCACCAACACAGTAAAGTCATATGGCGACTTTCCAGCTTTGCTGGTGGAGGAAGACTTCAGGTGCCCTTCTATGCATTATTTCAGGCACGACCCGGTCCCTGAGTAGAACCCCGGACGTTTTGTAAGCTGGACAGCTACCTCACATGAAAGAAACCAATGTTCTGGAGGGATTCGATTTCACAGCGGTGAGAGTCAAGTGGTTGATGTCAATGCCTTTTACCACTCGACCACTCGAATTCAAACAAAAAGATTTTTTCAGCATTGAATACCATACTGTTGTTTTTATAAATGAATTTGAAGATTGAGGATACTACATGTGTAATTTCAAGTGCGATGAGCATTTATAGTAAAACATTTAAAGAAAAAAAAGAAACAAAAAACGATTTACCGAGAAAATAGCCAGCACGACTTAACTTGATTACAAGCCACAGATTGTCTTGTTATTTAGCAATATTTGTAAAGTTGTCTTTGACCTAGCACTTCGTAGAATAGACAACAACATACATGTTCATTATTTCGCACCAGCAGAACTACACCACCGAGTTAAAACAGCAGAATCGAAGAACCCTCGGTTGTGTTTCATAGGAAGTCTGAAATCAGTTTTAAGACCAAAACTGAGACAATTTTGCAATGTCCTTTCTTATGACTCCTACGGTATGGCTACTTCAGTTTCTATATATAGCAATGCTGATGAATATTGACAGATTGCAGGATGAAGCGCGTTAACAGTATTCTAAGGACAATGCGCCTTATGTCTTAGAATACACTTAGGTCTTTCTATGAAAAGGATAAAAAGAATAAGCCAAGTTAGTAGCCACAGCTACGGGAGGTCGAATGTTTAAGAATAAATCGGATATAGAATTACAACGATAAAATGCGAACGCTAAATTTGGCAACTTAGAATTGACTAGTCAGATGTCATCTTAATAGAATTTTAATAGTTATATAATCAATCTTAGCTGTATGCAGGCGTTAAACATATGTGAGTCACAACATATTATGTATTACAACCACTCCAAATATATTGATTATTTAATCTTTGAGTTTTTATGCATATGACAAGAAACCATACCCTAAATGTTGAGATTTATAAATTAGTCATATTTTCACATCTACGCAAATATTTGCTCGGATTAACTTAGCTTAAGCGTTTACAAGTATCCAAACAGATGTTGATTACTCAATCAAAAAGTACGTACATACCATGAAATCTGTTCAATATTTAACGTTGGCGGAATGAAAGTCGGATACGCTTTGTAAACACACAAAAAAATAATATATCTTATATAGTAACTTTTATTAGTTATGTCATACTTTTATTTCTCTTTTCACAATCCGTTGAACACACGTACACATTCCAAAATATATCAATTAAAGATCTCAAATAGTAGTACATAAAACACGCTGTTTTTTTATCAAATACCTTGAAAACTTTTAAAACTGGGCCCTCTGAAAGCCAGAATCTTCTGAAAACCGGAATTTTCAGAAATCCGGACGATTAGAATGTTCTACAAACAATTGACTATATTCATAAAAAAGCAAACAAACAAAACTAGTGTTAAAAAAATCATAAACATGTTTTTTCGGTCTGTTTCATTAAATTTAGAAGCTACTGTCTTTCTCTGCTATCGACCTGAGATAACATAAACAATGAACTGGCAAGTTCAAATGCATGGCAAATTTAATTAATATAAGTGACCTTAATGCAAATATTGTCACAACTTTAAGAATGGCGGCAGTTTCAACAGCATAATTGTATTACAAGCATATTAATAAACGAGTTAATTTCTGTTTAAATATACATACATTTTAATGAAAGACAGTATATTTTATATACATGACAATTATTTTCAATCTTTTACTGGTCCTTTATTTCTAGTTTATAACAAAAATGCAGTAATTAAAATAACACAAAATTACAAACAATAAAGCCCTTCTATCGTTGATAAATACATGTACATGTAATCGTAAAATGACAAAAATACATATATACAAAGTACAACAAAATATGCTGTAATGTTGTCAAAATAATTCCGAATACTAAAACATATCATAATAATAATAAATTCGCTATAGACCAGATTCTATATGAGGTTATTATATAATACTGTGAATGAAAACATTATTTTTGTAATCTTTCAAACGCCTGCAATAATTAAAATTTTCGTGTTTTTATCCATTTTATCACATACCCTCGCCGATTTTGCGTCTCCGTAAAAATGATATTGCACGGCCGTGCATATATTTTGACGTGACGTCATTTGTGTTATAAAGACGCGCTAAATGATGCGTTTAAACTATAGGTGGTCAATGAAAAATGACTCTTTCTCACTTTAAACAGTCTTTATTTTGGGTCTGTGATACATAGAATTTTATATTCATGTAGGTTCATTAATGAATTTAATGAACTCGTTGAAAAAAAAAATTTTGCTCGTATAATATAATTTGATTGAACTCTTTCAATAAATTTAGTATTGCACCAACACTTATTTAATACCCTCTATATATTGTTCCAAAACTATTTTTGAATGATAATTGGTGCTAAATAAGTTGAGCTTTTACTTTAACCCTTACAAGAAAACTTAAATCATTCTATGTATAATCGTCGTACTTTATTTTCATTTCATTTGTTATGCATAAATGTTGATACATTTAACACCTGGGTTTCAAAATATAACATTCATTTTATCAAAACTTATAACTTTTATCTTTTTCTGTTTGGCTAGTGAAACATCAAAAGCGTTAACCAGTTTACAGGCAGGGTATTAGGTGAACTTATTTACATAAGTAGTAACAAGTAATGAAAAATAAAAGCAAGTTTTCTTTTCGGAAGGAGAAAATAACTCTTAACATAAATCTTTAATATATACTCTCATATATATATCTCATCTGTTACAACTGTAAAACGGTGGCACAAAACTTTGACCCATTCATTTTAAAAATTCGACACTAATTATAACAAAAAATACTAATATTTATTTTGTATTTGGTCTTATCAATATGCTACATAACCGAACGCAAGAAATTGACGTCAAAGACATCTCGTTAATGTAAAGTATCAATCAAGAACAAATCAAAAACAAATCAAGAACAGCGTTTATGTAAGTAGTGTAAGTATCTTAGGCTTCATATCAGATAAACATACATCCTGTATGACCTTTCTTTCTTAATATAAGGAGTGTTTATTTAACATAATAGAATGTATTTAGATCTACTTTTACAAACACAAATTTCCTTAAAATAACATTGACAAGATTATTTTCTATCGTGATTGTTATGTACAATTGCCAGTGTATTATGTTTATTTTTTATCCTATTTGAAAAATTTAGAAATAATTTTAACAAAAAGATCGTCTGTTAGGCGTCAACGTCTTGCTGAAGATCTCCCGCCAATTCGTCAGGTGGACGTAATTCTACCTGAAAATTATGGACCTTTCCTTCAGCCTTAAGTTTCTTTTTATACACAGAAAAACAGGCACCAAGTGCAAGCGCCATCTTTCGAGCATTTTGTGTAGAATCGGCAATGAATGCATGACATTCGGTTTTCTTCTTGTTATATCCCAGTTCATTAACAACAATAAAAGTGAACACTCTCCAATATTTCATATCTTGGACACCATATGATATAAAATCTATAGGATGTAGTCCAAAGTTCACCCCTTGGTTGACTTTATTTGACGGGTGTTCTCTGACGTCGATTCCTTTTGACGAGAATACAACGTAACACAGAGGAAGCTCAACTCTGTCCATTGAAACGAGATCATCCTTAACTTTGGAGATGAATTCATCGACTGGTCCGCGTACATGTTCCAATCCATATACACCCTTCGTTTCCATATGTCCAATGTACTTTGCAACAAAATAAATTGGAAGTCTGTCAATCTTAATTCCACGGAATTTCGATAAATTAGTGTCTCTTGAACCTTTTTCTTTTTTCTCAAATTTGGTTAATTGTTTCAATCGATTAAACAGCGATGCCTTTTTACTACTTTTTGTAAGCGGCTTTTTGCCATCGTCTTTACTAGAATGAATTGTGACACTTTTTGCTTTGGCACCTGATTTGCTGTCTTTATTTCCATCGGAATCGTCACCATGGGAACCAGTGTCGTCTGCATCAACAGTTGTCATTTCCGGTATATCCGAATCTGGTTCGAGATTCAAGTCATCAAGATTATTAATAGCATCATCTACAGTCGTATCCGGTTCTATTTTAAAACTAGAATCCTCAGTAATCTGTACTTCACCAGACGCCTGAGAACCAGTAGCAGACGACAAACTTCCGTTTTCTGCGGAATCTGCACCTTGATCAATATCCGACATTTTGTGTAATATTTCCAATCTCGAATGGTTCCTTTCAATTATAATATCTCACTTTTACTTTTTCATTGATCCACATTCCTTTAGCCTACCTATTTTTCATATCTTCAGTAATCCATATAACTTTAACAAATCTATAGTCACTCGTGTATTTCTAACCGTATCCACTATTCTTACATTAGAAGTCACAAATCCCTTTAAAAGGGTATTATGTCGGTTTAGAACAGATTGTTAATGCCTAACAGTTGTGAAATTACAACTGATATCGACCGCTTTTTATGTTCAATATAATCGTTATTGAACAGTAAACAAATACCACTGTTGACTTGAGTCACCAAAGAATGTAAAATTATGAATGAACCAACCTATATATGTACACTCTATCGGATGGTTAGATAAGTATAATGCACTAGTATGTATGCGTTACATATTTAGTCATCCCCGGGGGTGCGTCCGTAATGAACCGAATAGTATTGTCGCGAGATAAGCAGCATGATTGTTGTCTATATAAGCGGCCTGGTTATAATAATCCTGTCTCAACCTAAAATGAGAAATATATTTACATTAAATACAACTATGACAAAATTCAGCTTAAACGAAATTCATAAGGTTTAAATGAGTGACATATTTTCATAACTATAAAATTGTAAAAGGTAACGCATGAGTTAATTACAGGTTTCATACAGCCAGAAATTTAATACCTTTAAGGTGATGGATTAATATACCTCTGTTTTTACATCATTGCCTATTCCTGGTATGATAATATTGAATCTCATCAATTACACGTGATAAACTCACTTAAGCAGTTGTCAAGGTGACACACTCGCACGTGCAAGAATTTAGCTTCGCTTATTCGTATAAATCTTGTAAAGATTCAAATATTTTTTTTGTTCATACATTTGAAAGACAACACATCTCACGTCTACTTGAAATGTTATCAATTCATGTGTTTATTTCCGTTTGAATTCTTTGAAAGATTTAACCATTTAAAAAGAATGACGGTTAATACATAAAGCTTCTTTTAAACTTAAAAGATGTACGTATTATTTTTCTGATTGGACATTGATAATACTGTTAAAGCCCTGCCAATCTTTAAAGACAATGTCATTTGATAAAACCATTCATTATATACTTATACATGAAATATTGAGAAATATTGATGGAATAAAATGCATATTTTCATTTTCCGTATTTTCATTGTAAAAATTTATTTTTCACTGCAATGAAACATATTTCCGTATTTTCACTGGTGTCTTGCCGAACTACTTCTTTCTAAATTTTTCCAGTTCACAAAATTTAAGGGAAAGTCTTTCAAATTGTAATGTCAAAAAAAATGTATATAACAAACAGAAAACTCAAGTTTTTTTCTATAAATACATCTTGTGGTATGAAAATTATGATATTTCACTCGTGACTACCGCCACTCATAAAATAATTATTTTCATACCACTCGATAAAAATAAGTCGTGTATTTAAAAAAAACTTGAATATCTTCTATATACGTAGTCGTGTCACGTCTTTAAATCTAAACATTTAACAATTACATAATCAATTACAATTACCATGTACAAACGATTACAAAGACAATTTTTAGCTCCCATAAAAATGATTAATTACTTTGTGGTTTAACATTAAAGAGAGTAAGGTATGAGATGGGCATAATGTAAACATGTTGATGTTACCTTTATTTGTATTTATCATACTTTACATAATTTAAATGTCAACTTTGAAATTACCATATTTAAAAGTGTGTTGTACGTTATATATAACCGTACTTTTGAGAGATATCTGAAAATAATATAAATGGCGGTGTATTCAGAACTTTATCTTTACTTTTATCACTTCCTTCTTAAGAAATAAGGCTAGTAAATGTCAGAAAAAATAGATTTCATTGTGCAAGGAAGGAGATAAAAGATAAAATGTTCCCGACAGTTTAACCAATAGCGAAGTTCTATGATCTTAATATTAAGGACATACTTAGTCTTATCTAAAAGGATGTAATGTTATCTTTTCGTATAACATTTGTACATTTCACCAATGATGTTGACCGTAATCTATTTATTTTTGTTTGCCTCATAATCTACTATTTTCCGGCCTTCTAAGTATACCCGATCTCTACAGGACGTGTTAGACCCGGTCCTATTAGTACTTCGTGTATTTTCGGCCAACTTCGTCATTTTCCGTATGTTAAAGTGACGTAATAAGCGCTGGTTAGCTTCAATAGTACATTAAAATTTCATTTGAACTATTATATAGCAAATAATAAGACATGTTAACCAATAAATATTTATTCCCTAATAAAAATATAAATATTAAGTATATGTCACGCCGCGCTATTTTAGGAAAAGTTCATGCGTTCATGAACAGGCAAACACACGCTTATATTATTTAATTTCAGGATTTCGTGCACACTAAAAAGAAATATTTCTATGACAACTAAAACTTTTAAGATAAATTATCCGCTCAGTGTAGGATAAAAAATGTGACAATGATCATTGTGTTTTGTTCATTAGAAACTTGTAATTAATACGGGTATCATTGGCTTTAAGTTTCGGTGTATGACTATGGTTGAATAGCCAGTTGTTGGCAGTTATAACATAAATAATGTAGGGAAACTGTTTGTACCCGTGCTTTAATCTATCTTGTAACCCAATACAGCAGATTTAATTTCATATACACCTGTCCCGAACAAAGACGATAGTTAGCCGATTTTTCTTAAACAAAATCAGAAAACTATGATACACTTTTCCTACTGGTGGGACCAGATTCCTCACATGCGACCAGTGCAGACCATGGAAGATCGGACGTGACGGATTGCTCTGCACTGTTCAGTCAATAAAGAATTAGAATTTTCCCTACCAACCTTGAATGGTTTTGTTAATATGAAAATGTACAAGGTCATACAAAATATACATATAAGGTGGTGTGCGTAAAATACATAATTATGATTGACGTAAAATATCCTTAAATTCCATTAACGTAGATAGGCCAAACTTACAGTTCGAACACGCAAGAAGGTTAAACTCTTATTGAATCCGAATATAATATTTCCATATTTTAGAAACGAAAATGTTTTATAGATATCAGTAATTTAATGGTATATTATATTCAAATAAGATTGTGAATCTTTAACCTCGAGCAATTTTAAATTAGTAATTCAAATACAAAAATTGGAAATGAGGTTAAGTAAATGATTAACTCTTTTACAGTTAATGCATGCGTTTCATTTAATATTAACAGTACAAAAATCTTCTTACCTTTGATTAGTATATCAGAAAATTGCCTGACATAGTTAAATTACCAGTTCTGTCAAAACTTTGTAATAAACCGCGATATTTAATCCAAAAATTGGCCTTAAACTTGTAAATACCGGAATATAAACACAGGTTGTATTGTTAGACCCAGCGGTATTTTCACCTGATGAAAATCTTTTGAAGTGTAAAACTTACCTTTGTTGAATGTCGATCCGATGGCGGAACGACATAAAAGTTATCGACCAGTCTAATCGAGTCAGCGAGGTTTAACGATACGGAACAACGACGAGACGAAGACGGACGGAAAGAGCCGAGGCTTGCGACATGGAGTGATCGGGACAAACAACGACGAGCCGAAGACTGACGGAAAGGGCCGAGGCTTGGGACTGGCTAAGCGCCGCCTTATCTTCAGCTCATGTCCCAGGTTTGATTTTTTTTATCAAAATAAAGTGCAATTAATAAATATTAAAAATATTTTTGTCGTCTTCTTTTCATATAAGTTAAATTCAAATTTCTTAAAATGACAAGTGACTAATTAAGGATGACATGTCTAATAAAACTGTCATAATGATTTTATAAGGAACAAACTTTCAATTAGATCGGTCTTAAGAGAGTTATTTATTAAGTTTTGTGAAACTGACATTGAAGGAAGTCCTAACAGTTTTTACTTAATTAAGTTAGAAATGGAATGTCACAAATTCATGTGAAATTTTAAGTTTTCATATTATATTTATCCAGACATTGAGGATTTTTTTATTTCTTTTAAACAGTCGGTCGTCTGCAATTGAATTCATGTGGGTGTAGTCCATATTTAATGATGTTCCATCCGGCCCATTAAGGCACAAAAAGCAGTTTTCGCTGTAGATGATGGACTCGGACAATGTCACCAGTCATGTTTGAAGCACACAGTGGTGTTGATTTTCCTCCGCTCCGTGCAATATACTTTGAGCTCAAAATAGGTCACTGTACTTCGAGATCCGGTGTGAAAACTATCAACACTAACTACAGTACAAATTTGATTTACTTGGACAACCCAACACTCATGACAACAACAACATATTGAATATTTTAAAGTTGTACCTTGATCTGTTCATGACAATAACTTATAAGAACACTTACAAAATTTGTAATAACCCACGCATAATCCAGCTCTGGATATTTAGACAATATAGACACATGATCGGCCTTAAAAGTGCTGCGGTCATGGACGGACCAGCCGCACCGCCGACGATAGCCTTGTACTGTAATATGCCAGACAAAGTTCAAAACATATGTATAGTAAATTTAACCAATTATCCTGTCTTTGTAATTAAGCAGATAAAACATCTCTTGTTAGTGGTTACAGCTGATAACCGTATGATGATACCCAGTGAATGGGTGTCGCCAAAAAAAATATAGCCAAAAAATTCACAATACAAGGGAATTAACACGAGTTTTTAGGTTGAATTTAATGATGTGAGAGTTATCATTCTTTATCATCCTGACTGCCATTGAGAATAATTTCCAAGTGCCGAGAGGAGTTAAAACACTTCTTTTAAGATTTTGAAGGAAAAGAACTTTGGTTATTTTACGCTCTATATCTTAATATCATCTAGAAGTTTAAATTTGTATTCCTTTTATACAATTATGATGCTTTACTTTGCTTAATGTTATTTCTTTTCAATGACTATTTTATATAATATGTATATCTTCGAACATTCGGAAGCAATAAAGATGTATATATATATATATTACAAGGAAAGTTATATTGATATAGCAACATTACATATTGAGGAATTGTTTTCAAATCAGGCGGATCTTTTGCAGCGCTGGACAAGCGATGAAAGCTACATTTAAAATGAACAAATACCTATATAAACTTGTTAATATTTCTACTTTACATAGATTTGATCTTTTTTATAAACTAGTTAGTCCTATACTTAATTATAGCAGCGAAGTCTGGGGTTTTATACATGGTAATGCAATTGAAAGTGTACACATGCAATTTTGTAAACGCACGTTAGGTATAAAAAACAACTCGGAATGATTTTATTATTCGGTGAACTTGATATATATATATTTCAAAACGATGCGCTATTATAACATTTTTAGATACTTGGTTAAAAAATTACATACAATTAAAATAATATTATGAATATAACCCAAACAAAACAAAAAAGTGTTCATTAGTGAAAAGTCTTTTAAGTATACATGTATTATGTTTTTATGATGCAAAGTGTTGGTAATACATGTACAGACTTACTTTTATATCACGTGAAAGACCAATTTCTACGAAACTGATCTATTAGAGTAGATAATTCAAGCAGAACTCTGAATTCTTTATTAAGTATCAGCCATATCTAATTATTATCAATGTTGAACGGTTTTGTAAGGTATCTTCTCATAGAAGGCACATAGAATCAGGTAGATGAAATAAAAACGAATAATACACATTTAAAAAATAGAAAATGTTTTTCTTGTAACGCCTCGGAAGACGAATAACATTTGAGCCGCGTCACGACAAAATCAACATAGTGCGTTTGCGACCAGCATGGATCCAGACCAGCCTGTGCATCCGCGCAGTCTGATCAGGATCCATGCTGTTCGTTTACCAACTCTATTACAAGTAGAGAAACTGATAGCGAGCAGCATGGATCCTGATCAGACTGCATCGATGCGCAGGCTGGTCTGGATCCATGCTGGTCGCAAACCCATTATGTTGGTTTTGTCGTGACGCGGCTCATATCATATTAAACTGTAATGAGGAAACGTCTGATACCGGCATATTAGTGGAGACGTCCAAATGTGCCAAAATTTATAGAATTATTACATTCTGAAAATGTATGTTAGGAAAAATTTGTAAACAGTGCTTTTGTACTAAGAAAAGAAAGATTATATACCAATAATTTGTAGATATTATTGTTAATTATTGTTAAGTTGCATTATGCTTTTGTGTCAATTTTGAATTAGAATAACTTTTTTTCTTCCTTTCTTTTTTAAATTAAGGTCATACACCAATATGATTTATTAAATATTACTGATAAGTTCCAGAAGGTTACATGTACATCAATTTTGTTTCACAAGTAAAGTCTCTATATATAGCATTGTTTTCAATAACTGAACACTTTAGATCAGCGAATAAGTATGTAAATGTGTAGCTAAAATGTTTATGATAACGATTATGCGTCTTCTTTAAATTGAACAACTTTGTAGCTTAATTTATCTAGTAATTGTGATGTTGTTCATGTGTTTTGTTTCGGCAAGAGCAACATACACGTACACGAATATGTATAGATGTAAATTTATATTACATAATATACATGTGCATAGATCATCATGTATTTTGTCAAATTCATTCAATAAAATGTATAAGGTTTACATCTCCGTTAGTTTTGATAGACAGTGCATATTTATTTAGCATTATGTTTAAAGTTGAATGCCTTTTGTTTTGATAGTTATTTTAAATTATATACAATGCTTTGTATACCTTCTCCACTTGTAAATGTTATTGCATATGTATGCTTTACACTGTCTTGCCATTTATCATGCGTCTGTTTATCCTTGTGGACGATTTGGTCTAATGGAATATTGAAAATAAACTTATCAAACTTTTGTATTTATAAATTGTGGGTTCATATGTGTGTTAACGTTTGTTGTTATTTTTAGCTTTTGTTGCCAGTATAATGTTAGAACAGTGCATTATGACCAGGTTCTATTCTGTTGGTAGCTAATTTCTTTATTTTGACATAGAAATCTGAACTATTTGAAATTCAAGGAAAGGACACTCCATTACCCATAATCAGTAGGCTAGATGTGAAGGGTCGCCTCTGTTTGCGCAACTCTCACCCTCTTTACTTTTATAAATAACTGGTAAAACAAGTGATCCCACGGAAGCCTTAAAATAGCAAAATTACATGGAAATTGTAGACTCCGTTTGATTGAGTCCGTACATGAAGGATAATGGAAAAGTGCAACATCCCCACGCCCCTTAGCACCGGCTTGAGCGGTACTCAATTCTTAACACTATTTGAGTACTCCCCGTACTATCGAGTACCACGTGCCTCCCCTCTAGTTCCCAGCCAGCTGTCTGCAGATTTCACTAATGACTAAGATTTATGTGCTAAAATTACAAATGTTTCAGTTCAGTTAGTTTGTTGCTGGTTTACCTCATGTACTACGAAATGTGTAAGCCACAGGTGCTCGTCCAGTCTTGGTGCCCATATAAAAAAATGAAGTTTAAAAAAAAAATGAAAAAAAAAAAATTTGAAAAAAAAAAAAAAAAAAAAAAAAAACATCAAAAAATCATCAAAATGACTATTTTGGGTTGAGTGTAAGAAAAAAATATTGAAAAAATTTTTTTTTCTACGAAAAGGTCACCTAGTCGCCGTAACGCTACAGCACGCTGTGGAACAACCACAATGTCGAGTTCTGTAACAATAAAACATATTTTGCTACTCTTTACACATTGCGCATTTAGAAAATTGTTAACATTCTTCATTAACCTTACATACAATCTTAAATAACTTACATTTTAACTCGGACACTCCAATATGTTAAAATTTTGCATTGTCGGCCATTTTGTCGAAATCGAAAGTACAAAACATACACCGTACTGTTTCGCTGTTCTGCAGGTCCCCTACGACTACGTTCGCTGAACAATAGACAACAGTAACCAATAAATTGATGGTTACTGTTGTCTACTGTTCCTCGCACGTAGTCGTAGGAAACCATACGATGTATGTTTTGTACTTTCGTTTTTGACAAAATGGCCGACCATCAACGGAATCTTGCAAGATTTTAACAATTTGGAGTGTCCGAGTTCAAATGTAAGTTATTTAAGATTGTATGTAAGGTAGATGAAGAATGTTAGCAATTTTCTAAATGCGCAATGTGTAAAGAGTAGCAAAATACAGAACTCGCAATTGTGGTTGTTCCACAGCTTGTCCTAGTAAAGCTCCGTAGCGTTACGGAGACTAGGTGACCTTTTCGTAGTAATGGTATATAGGAAAAAAAAATTCAATTTTTTTTTCTTACACTCAACCCAAAATAGTTATTTTGATGTTTTTTTTGTTTTAGTTGTTGTTGTTTTTTTTTTTTCAAATTTTTTTAAACTTCATTTTTTTTATATGGGCACCAAGACTGGACGAGCACCTGTGTTTAAGCCGCATCATATTATTGAATGATTGAGCAGGCATGATGCAGTGGACATCTTTAATACCATTTTTTATTTACTGTATAAATGGATATTTTACAATTATCTCAGGTACGTACATTTTTATTACATAAGTTATTATAATTTCTGAATCATTTAAAAGCACATTTGTTCATGCTCATCTGATAGAAATCTAGATGTAGATTAAAAGAGTAACAGAACAGCAATTTTTGAAATGTGTAGTAAATTGCAGCGTTTACTGATTAAATGAACGGTTTAAATTAGATAAAAAATATGTGGGTTTTTTTTTAAACATCTATGCTTTAATATATTGTAAAGTAAATGGTATATATGCAGGGCATATCGATTATCTAGGTCGAGTAACCGGATATACACAAGTCGAAACTTTATACAAGTAAATGCTCTGATTAGCAGCCGCCTATATTTTTTATCTTATCTTTATAAAATTTATGCTGAACATTGAAAAATCATCAATGGCGCATTTAAACCTCAAAACTGAAACAAAACATAACTATATGCACCTTATTGACAACTTTTTTTATTATACTATGTAATTTTTACCTTCATGTGACCTTGATACATATTTCATGTATGGCTCACTATACACGCCAAAATTCCTATGGTGGCTAATATACGCCATTTCGTGTCTTCGCTCTGCACGAAGACATCAGCCACGATACAATTCCGGCTCGTTATTGAATTTGTATACACTGATTATAAATCTCAGTGAATGTTTAACTTCTATTTCACGTTATATCATACATTATGTTTTGAATATCTGATTACCCAAAATAGGTTTATATATAAAATGACATTAACAAAACACTGTAATGAGTAGTTGGGCAGAAGTGCTCACCAATAGGTTATCTCCGAAATACATAGAATGTAAGAATGAATGACAGTTAGTTGCAGTTGTATCACATGGGTTTTGCACTGAATAATTGGGCATACAATATGCCTGTCCTATCTGTAGAATTCCACAATTAAAACAAAATGGTATAATTATGCCTCATGTTTATTCATGGAATCCATTATTTTGATTTGAACATTTCACTTTTTAAAATAATCTATATTACACATTACAAATTTATATGACTCAACATCTCAACTTTGAACATATTTTTGACGCTGTCCAGAAATGCATTGTCGCCACCAAACAGCTCACGACGTATTATTATTTTTATTATATAATAAATAAGAATATAAATATAATAATAAGAATGTTCGTTTCGGATGATTTATTTTCTATTACATATATGTTATGATCGATTGATAAAATGTTGAGGTAAAGAAAATCATTAAAGCAAAAGATGTTATCTACCATGCCCACAAGTTGCAATTGAATTGTGGATATGAATTGCGCAATATAACATTGCAATGCAGTTTATTTTTTTCAGTGACCACATCCTTCTTCCGTATCCGTTATGCACCTGTCACTTGTACCCAACAATTAACCTTTTATAGTTTGAGCTAGACTAGAAAAGTCCTCACCTTGTTGACAGTCAATGTTTACCAAAAATTTAGATGCTTTCACAGTAGGAGTCAATAAGCATTGGTGTCTGATTTATTTTAATATTTTCAATCCAACTGCCCATTTTGTTATATAAATCAGGACAACTGACCACATGGCATTACCAAATATATATGTATATATTTGTAATTGTTATGATGGTGTGTTCGAAACCTTAATACTGCCAACAAGGTTATGAAGACCGCACCACCGCACTTTTTAAAAAAATGAAATTACGTTATATATGCTTGCCGGTTTTGTACAAGAGGTAGATTATGCTTTGAACAACATATCTAGCGTGGATTGCACGTGCAAGATAGAGAGTCAGAACGTACGCATACGGTTTACAATGACTTTGAAATTTAACTTTAGATGACAAAAATTAAATATTTATGTGTGTTTCTATTAACAGGGTTTCAATTGCAATATGAAGAATGTGAGGTTGGAACGTCTCTGATATCGGATAGCAATGTGACGTACCCGGTATATGATTACAATCCAGAGAGGCCCGACATAGTTCATCTTGAAGATCCAGCCGGTTATATATTATATTATTATTATTATTGTTATTATTATTGTTATTACATGTGTTATACTGTGACCTCTTAGTTCACGTTACTTAACGCTTTGAAACCAAAAAGAAAACAACAAATAAAACAGTGGTACAAAATTGTCATAAACTATAACATATAGGTATTTTCTGCTGTACTAAACAAGGAAACAACAATATATTCAGTCAAAGTCAATTTTAATGGACCAAAAGTAGACCATATGTCGGCCATTTTGAAAACAGTATGTCATCATTTAAATCGCGGTAATGGTGTTACATTTCAGTTTTTTCATGGTTCGGTTAAACTTTCTACATATTACTTTGCTTGATTTTATAAATTAAAATTATCCTTACTTTGTAACTCAAAATTTATTTTTTCAACAAATAAGATCATTTATAAAATGATAATTGTTTCAGACCTACACACACATTTAATGGACTATTGTTGATTTTTGCAGAAATTTGTAAAATGTTGTTCTGTTTTACATAAACATCTAGAGATTTAAAATATTTTTCACAAAAACTTTGTTGTATATGTGTATGAATAAAAAATGTCAATTCTGACCAATTTTCACACTGGTCATATGAACATATGCCATTACCGTGAAATAAGTGATGACGCGGAATTCGTGATGTTGAGTATATTATATGCAAACTGTGTTTTGAATTATTTTCATAATGGGTTAAAAGGAGGGACCGTTACATGTTTTTGTCTTTGCAAATAAAGTGTCTGTTTGCCTTCAACATTACTATAATCACTTACGTTTCACTAATGGCCAAACGCAAAACATGGTCTATCTGTATGGCCTAACGAATGCCGTTTCCGTGCACAAAAATTAATTTTATATTATCAAATTATATTACATTATAATTGTTCTGCAAACGCTATTTTGTTTTTATTGTCATATAAAATAGCTACATTTGAAATATTTTACCGATTATGCATAATTGTTTATTTAAGTATGACGAGTTTTGATTGACATGTATAATGTAACTATCTATCAGGGGTGTGGAGAGCGTTTTTCCAATCCACTAATCAGTTTCTTGTCGTCGACTTCCGGTCCTTGCATATCGTGACTCAATTTAAAACATGGGGTAGGCTCGGAGAAAATGAATATGTGAAGCAATACGCCATAGAATATTCTACAGACAATAAAGATTGGATGGAATACACAAACGAATTTGGCTTCCCTGAAGTAAGTTGTTGTTCTCCAAACTTTTCTATTTGTAACCGTATTGTGTGGTAAAACGTATTCCTGGAAACAAGACATTCAAATTATTCATATGAAAAATACAGAATAAAAAAGGATTATTTCATCTTATAATTGACAGCATTGCGGTGGTTTTAGATTTTTAATAATTAAAAAATACGTTATTTTAAAAAGAAATTATACAGGTACAATTGTGGAGTGAGTAGTAAACTGGTTAGCTTCTTTTTTATATCTTAGGTTTTCAAAGGGAATAAGGACAGTGAAAACGTTGCTGAAAACACATTACAGTATCCTATTATTGCACGTTATATAAAGTTCAAGGTTGTCACATTCAGAAGAGCTATATCAATGAAAGTGGATGTGATGGGATGCCCGTATGGTAAGTAAAACATGACACATGTCAAGATAGGATACGTAAGGCGGTATGGTTAGTATTACTCGGAAAGTCTGAGGGGGGCCGAAGGCCCCGTGAGGGCTGTAGCGCTCTTAGATAACATGTATGACGTGTATCAATTCAAATGAAATCAAATTAAAAGTAAATGAAAATTTCAAAAAAATATATATCCTATACCTAATGAGGTGTGAAAAAATCCTTAGTTAACTGGGCGCCGCCATATTGAAATCCTTTTGAGCTAAATATAGATATCAAAGCGCTTTAAATAACTCTAAATAATTTAGACTATTACTAGCGTCTGCTAAATAACACTTCCGGTGAGAGAATTATGTGCAAAATCAGAAAGTAAACATGCATTTCATTGATTAGAACGATAGTAACGATTATAAATATAGAAAGTTACTTTAACATATCCTTTTTGATAAATTAGCACATTAAATATAACATTAAAACAACAACTGTGATTAGAGATTACCAAAAAATGGTGGACGGGTTTTCCAAACGCCGACGCATGCGCAGTGGTCCCCCTTTACATTCGGAGATTTTCGGAATATTCCGAGCGCTCCGACGATAGGTTGAACATCACCAATTTATTTGTTTTGTTTACGGTACAAAATACCTGAAAAAAATATTTGGTTTACATCTACACTAAACATGTCATGCTCAAATCATAATTCGTAAGAGCTTTCCGCGCCATAGGTAGCACCTAATTTCATATTAGATATATACTAAACAGATATTTCATTCAAATAAACTATTTATGAATTATATTTTAAAGTTTTCAACATCAACCTTTATTTACGCTAATATTGTCTAGAAAACAACATATGATAAATATATAAATACAACTGGGCTGATTTATTATTCAGTACCATTTCCTACATAAACTGTGTACACATTGTCACACCTATCTGTTCGGACTCATCGGTCATTCGCACTGTACCTTTGCCCTGGCATGTATGTAGCTACTAGTACTGGTAAACTGCTTGATATAGCTTGCCCAGGAACAATATTAATGCGGTGGCTGATCTGTATTCAATGGCTTACTGCCGTGATCCGGATGGTAAACTACCAACGAACTCACTCATTACTTTTCTTTGCAGAACCAGATTCTATACAAATAGCAAATGGCGGCCATATTGTGTATCACGTGGACAGCCCACAATTCAACACCACTGACGTCATAACGCTTCGCTTCCGTACTACACATGAAAATGGCGTTCTTTTTTACGGAAGTAGAGATAGTGAATTCAATGACGTTATACTCCTAGAATTGAGACATGGGGAGCTCCATTTTAAAATAGAATTGAGTATGTACGCGGGTTTCTTTTGTCTTAAATTACAAAATCCTTTAATGGTATATTAATTTATGTAGATCCTGTGTAAATTTTAATCTTAGAATCTTTCAGGTCCACTGAGTAAAATAGAGTAAAACATAATCCCTAAAGAAAGCCGAACACGACAAGATTAAAAATGTTGCAGACTCGGTTTGATTGAGCCTGTCCATGGACGGTACTGGAAAGTGCAAGTTACTGTCCAAGCCCCCCTAGCACCGGCTTAAGCAGAATTCAACATTTAAACACGAAAAATGGTGAATTTTGAATTTAGAAACATCCGCAGATGTTTTAAAAGCTCCTATCGTATGAAGCGAAAACAGTTTGAGCCGTGTCACGACAAAACCAACATAATGGGTTTGCGACCAGCATGGATCCAGACCAGCCTGCGCATCCACGCAGTCTGATCAGGATCCATGCTGTTCGCTTGCCAACCCTTTTACAAGTCGAGAAACTGATAGCGAACAGCGTGGATCCTGATCAGACTGCGCGGATGCGCAGGCTGGTCTGGATCCATGCTGGTCACAAACCCATTATGTTGGTTTTGTCGTGACACGGCTCATTTTGAAAAAAATGTAGATCTATTTAAAATATGTCATTGTCTTGAGATCAGTATGGACATTAGAACTTATTATAAATAAACAGATACAAAAAAAAAATGTTTAAGGTTCACTTGGTCGACACAATGAGCTCCGTTCATAATTTTGAACTTTTAAGGTACATCAATTTAGTCACCATTCTAGTCGAGTAGGTCTGTAAGAGTCGTAGCAAGTCCAGCTTGGTGTATAGGCTGATGTTTATAAACATCTTGAAGAAGTGACACAGACTGCCATGCATATTCTTTTATATACTTTCACGTTCCCATGACATATACATCTCGAGACATAAATAACAGTGTGTATACCTGTCTCATGTATACTTGAAAACGTATAGAAAATTGGATAATTAACCTAATTTTGGTCTATTTTTTTTTAATTCTTCTTAAATATTTTTAGCATTTGGATATGATAAATTTGTTAGTTGTTGTTGTTGTTGTTTTTGTTGTTGACCAATGGACTACATGTTCTTTCTCTTTGTTATTGAAGTTATGTGTTTTATTTGTACCAAGTTTTATTTCAAGTGTCCCCAGCGTCACCGTCAGGTATAACCGATGTCAGCGGAGGAAGATTTCTCAACGACGGAATATGGCATGACGTCATATTTACACGTAACGGATCTAGGGCAAAACTCATAGTAGATCGAAGAGAGATAGAATTTATGATAAAACGCCGTTTCATCAGATTTAAGCCAAGTGGAAAGGTTTGAGTTTATTTAAATAAATACATGACTTGATTTGCAGTTACAAACTTTTTTCTATTAAATGACCAAATAATATATGAAGGAACTTAGCAATGTAATTTGTCCTAGATTTGTTTGAAATTGATTGAAATTAAAATAAAGGGGAAATAATAAGCCGTTGTAAAGATGCTTAGGAAACGGAAATATTTGAGCCGCGTCACGACAAAACCAACATAATGGGTTTGCGACCAGCATGGCTCCAGACCAGCCTGCGCAAACGCGTAGTCTGATCAGGATCCATGCTGTTCGCTATCAGTTTCTCTACTTGTAATAGGTTTTGTAAGCTAACAGCATGGATCCTGATCAGACTGCGCGGATGCGCAGGCTGGTCTGGATCCATGCTGGTCGCAAAGCCATTATCAAAGCTCAAATATTTGATGGTGTGACTAGATTCTCTTCCCGGCGTGTTCGTATTGCATTGATCTCCTGTAAACATGTGTGTAACAGTATACACAGAAATATGTCTAAATTTTTACGATAGTAAATCACATCTAGCCTCTGATGAAATTTTATAATTTCATTTTTATAAATTCGTTGAACACAATCAATTGATGATACTGATGTATTTATTAAATTTATTTCTTTTATTCCATTTACTTTTTACAGATCTTTATCGGCGGGGTTGACAATCCTTACAGGAAAGGTCTATCTATAAACAGTGAGAACTTTAACGGCTGTATAGATAGATTCAGATATAATGGCATCAACATAATAAGAAACGCCAAGGAAAAAATACCAGGATATTCACCTTCTGGACAAATTGCTTTCACATGTTATGTAAGTTTTCTTACTACATGTACCTTCGTTTTTACTTTCTTTATTTTTGGCCGTATTCTGGTATTTTACAATAATACATTTCCATGTTACGGAAAATTGTAATTAAAATTATTTTTTCTTTTCTGAGATTATTATTAAGAATTTAATTTACATGTACAAATGTATATACATATATACTTTCATAGGTATTTTAGTTGAGCGAGATATTGCAGTTGTTTCAATCTTGCAGTTATATAGGTAAAGTTGTATACACTGTATTTATGTATCAAGGAGAAAATTGACCAGCACTATGTACAAAGCAACTTCTTTGGAATATCTTATTCTGTCGCTTCGGCTTGGAATGTTACTCTCGACCTCTCTCATCCGGCGGAAATCCTCAAGATTTGCTGACCGGCTCGGAATAGAACGCACGACCTTTTTGCCTGGCTAGAATAAGAATGGGCGATCTTCTGCTCTTCTAGGAATAGAACGGAGGAGAAGCTAGGAGAAGAACACTTTTGCTCTTGGCAGTCTCCGAATAGAAAGCACGACAATTAGCATGCATGGCTAAGAATGCGCAACCTTTCGCTCGTCTAAGATCCATTGCTTTGTTACGAATTGTACACGCGACCTCTCGATCGGCCTGAGAAAGAAAGCGCGGCCTCTCCCTTGTTTGAAATTAGAAAACATGACCTCTCGATAACGGAGCGCAACCATTGATACCTATTGTAGATCAATAATTCTTTGTATTTTCCAGCTGGAAGCGGAAGAGTGTTTTACCTTCACGACAAATAGTTCCTACCTTTTGTATGAGGTAGAAGCGGAAGCAGACATACGTGTAGGTTTTGAATTTAAAACAAACCATAAAAATGCCAACATCTTCCGGTTACACGAAGGTGACGATTGGGTAGTCCAGGTAAAGTGTTAATAAATCTTATACATGTATAAATAATTTTTGATTAATTGTGCGTATATTTTAGATACATTGTATATTCTATTTTCACGTAAATAAAACAGTTAGATACGTATACTCATATATATTTAAATTTATTTGAGGATGGTTTATATGTCGTGACGTTTATTTTATACGAATACCTTACACTAGAAAATAGCGAAAAATGTCAAAACAAATACCGGAAGTAAGAATTTTTTTTCAAAACAAACTGTGTGATTCATACAGTTTAACAAAAATACGAACGATGATATAATACATGTAGTATATTTAATAAACAGTGGAATATATCATGTTGTGTAATAAATAAACAACAAGATAACATCACATTGTACCTGTACAGTAGTTATTATTATCATGAAATAATCAGAAAGTTTGCTCAGATTAATTTGATTGGCACTTTTAGGGGTCACTAGAGCTAAAAAGAAAAAAAAAACTTTAGACATCTTCTTCTTCAGAACTAATTGATGGATGATCATCAAACTTTGTCTGTAGCATTCTTGGGTAGTCTTTTATCAAGTTTGCTCATATAATTTTGATTAGCTCCTTTTAGGGGCTGCTAAAGCTAAAAATGGAAATACCTTTAAACGTTTATTTCTAGAGAATAATTGATGGATGATTGTAGCATTCTTGGGTAGTATTTTATCAAATTCGCTCATATTGATTTGATTGGCCCCTTTTAGGGACCGCTAAAGCTAAAAATAGAAAAAAACCTTTAAACATGTTTTACAACAGAACTAAGTGATGGATGATCACTAAACTTTGTCTGTAGCATTCTTGGATAGTTATCGTCAGAATAATAATCAGAAAGTTTCTGCGTACTATTCAGTGGTAATTACGATATTGTCTTTTTATATATTATTAGCTAGAAACAGACGGGACTGGCTTCTTGCAGTACACAGTAACTTATAGAGGAGGCGTGTATACAGACACTGTTAAGAAAGGTTTATAAGCTATTCAATATTCGTTTTTTTCCTCTGTGCATTACGCTTGTCTCAGACGGACCGCTTACTCAAGACTCACTGATAGCGATCCTAAGATTACTCAAGACTCACTATAGCGTTCCTTATATTACTCAAGACTCACGGATAGCGATCCTTAGATTACTCAAGACTCATTGATAGCGATCCTTAGATTACTCAAGAATCACGGATAGCGATCCTTAGATTACTCGAGACTCTCGGATAGCGATCCTTAGATTACTCGAGACTCACTGATAGCGATCCTTAGATTACTTTAGACTCATATATAGCGATCCTTAGATTACTCGAGACCCACTGATAGCGATCCTTAGATTACTCAAGACTCACGGAAAGCGATCCTTAGATTACTCAAGACTCACTGATAGCGATCCTTAGATTACTCAAGACTCACTGATAGCGATCCTTAGATTACTTAAGACTCACTGATAACGATCCTTAGATTACTCAAGACTTACTGATAGCGATCCTTAGATTACTCGAGACTCACTGATTGCGATCCTTAGATTACTCAAGACTCACTGATAGCGATCTCTAGATTACTCGAGACTCACTGATAGCGATCCTTAGATTACTCGAGACTCACTGATAGCGATCCTTATATTACTTGAGACTCACTGATAGCGATCCTTAGATTGCCATAGACTCATGGATAGCGATCCTTAGATTACTCGGTCGAGACTCACTGATAGCGATCCTTAGATTACTCAAGACTCACGGATAGCGATCCTTAGATTACTCGAGACTCACTAAAAGCGATCCTTAGATTACTTTAGACTCATATATAGCGATCCTTAGATTACTCAAGACTCACTGGAAGCGATCCTTAGATTACTCGAGACTCACTGATTGCGATCCTTAGATTACTCAAGACTCACTGATAACGATCCTTAGATTACTCGACACTCACTGATAGCGATCCTCAGATTACTCGAGACTCACTGATAGCGATCCTTAGATTACTCAAGACTCACTTATTGTGATCCTTAGATTACTCGAGACTTAGTGATAGCGATCCTTAGATTACTCAAGACTCACTGATAGCGATCCTTAGATTACTCAAGACTCAATGATAGCGATCCTTAGATTACGCAAGACTCACTGATAGTGATCCTTAGATTACTCAAGACTCACTGATAGCGATCCTTCTATTACTCAAGACTCACTGATAGCGATCCTTAGATTACTCGAGACTCACTGATAGCGATCCTTAGATTACTCAAGACTCACTGATAGCGATCCTTAGATTACTCAAGACTCACTGATTGCGATACTTAGATTACTCAAGACTCACTGATTGCTATACTTAGATTACTCAAGACTCACTGATAGCGATCCTTAGATTACTCAAGACTCACTGATTGCGATACTTATATTACTCAAGACTCACTTATAGCGATCCTTAGATTACTCAAGACTCATTGATAGCGATCCTTCTATTACTCAAGACTCACGGATAGCGATCCTTATATTACTCAAGACTCACTGATTGCGATCCTTAGATTACTCAAGACTCGCTGATTGCGATCCTTATATGAATCAAGACTCACTGATAGCTATCCTTAGATTACTCAAGACTCACTGATAGCGGTCCTTAGATTACTAGGTTAAAGCATGAGACTAGTAATCTAAGGATCGCTCTCCGTGTGGATTCAAACCCTGTTGTTTCCTTGAGCAAGAAACTTTACACTCATTGCTCAGTACTGGTTGGTTCCAGGATCAGATTCGAGTCTAGAAGCTAAAAGCTTACTACACAATCGAAGTAAAATAAATTCTGTGTAAATCAAGACTAATTGATGTAATTTTCACAATAGGCCGCGTCATCTGCTTTAGGACATCCGTGGCCAAATTCTTTAAGCTGATGTATGGAGTAATTCACGTAAGACATGTGAGCGCGTTCTCCATAAACTAAGGTTGAAAACAACCACATAACCTAAATTATAAAACAATATTTCTATATTTGCCCTTAAGATTCAATTTACCAGCAAAAAGGATGTTAGTATTGCATGTAGGAATTTCACATCAATTCCAGAGTACAAAATCATTGTATTTTGTGTCAAATTTACGGAATGCCGTTAGGGCCATTGCCTATGAATGGTTTGATCTGAAACGCGATACTCGACAGCACGATGATGAAAACGCGAAATCACGAAACTACGATGGTGAAAACGCGACAGTACGATGGTGAAAACACGATAGTTTATCGCGTTTTCATCATCGTAGTATCGTACTGTCGCGTTTTCATCATCGTACTATCGCGTTTTCATCATCGTGCTTTCGCGTTTTCACCATCGTAGTTTCGTGATTTCGCGTTTTCACCATCGTACTATCGACTATCGCGTTTAAGATCAACACATTCATAGGCGATGGCCCTAACGGCATTCCGTACAAATTACCTTAATGTTTTGTCGACGATGCTGGCATGTACGCGTAATTTTTATCACAGAAATCACGTGATTCCCAGCCGTGTCACATATTGCAATATTTACCATATCATTTACCATATCATTTACCATTCTTTCAGTTGATAGAGATGGTAACATCAGAGAATATACAGATGGATTATGGCATACTTTTAATATACATGTCAATAAAACAAACATTAATACTACTGTTGATGGGTATTCTAGATTTACCAACAAAGATATGGACATGCCTACTTCGCCACTGGAATTTCTGTTTGGTAAGAAATTACATATTTAGTCATTAACCTACTGGTGAAATCTGATTCAACACATGCGGCAAATGGAGACAAAGTTCTGATCTTGGTCTGGGCTGTTCCATTCGCTATTCAGTAAATTTAGAAATTTACCTTATTTGATAAATGGTTTTTGTCCACATTAAACGGACACGTCAATTCAAGATATTCAGTGTGAATTTCATTCGTATCAAGCTCCGGAAAGGCGGTATACGGTGTCATTTTAATATGTCTCGTAAATATTTTTCTTTCGATTTATAAAGGTTTATTTCAGCAAGTGCAGAGAATGGATCCATTATATTAATTTTAGTATCTAGCACACACGTGTAATTTTTTCAGTGTCTGCTGTGTATTGGTATGAATAACGTGTGTCTCATTTCCAGGGACAGACAATATATCCAAACCTAGCTTTTTTGGATGTTTACGGAACATAAACATTGGATCAATGCCAGAAAACAATCGACAATATCGATATCGTAACTTGGTCACTACCGGTCCCTGTGTGATTAAAGACAGATGCACTCCAAACCCATGTGAACATAATGGTAAATGTGTACAAAATGGAGATGCCTTTGACTGCGACTGTGGTAATACTGGATACATAGGGGCCTTCTGTCATATATGTAGGTATATAATGTGTTAATTACTTCATAACTTAACTTTTGTAAGTAGCATACATATACAGGCAAACTTGTTCGTTTTAGAAGACTTCCGAATTACTATCACATACAAGACATTGTACAATTAACTGATTATGGCTGTCTGGATCTTTTTGTTGTTGTTTCTATTCGTGGGTGTGTCTTAATTTTTGTTTTTAATGGGTTGCTGGTTAGGATAATGGGGTAGGCGCGTTAATATTTAATATGTCATTTTTCCTTAACGTTAATGTTGGAATTAGGACTTGCTGCTATGTTTAAACCTTTTACCGGTAATACATGTTCAACTGATTCACCGAATAAATAGATGGGTAGACATTGATTGATTAATTGACATTAGTTGATTGATTGACACCAATTGATATATATCATGAAATTCTGCTTTTTGCTCTTTTTAATTAGCGCGATTTTTAGATGCTGGCTATTCATAGTGGATGATTGTTTATACCACTGTTGTTGCTGTTTTCGATGGTGAGATTTTGGAGAGACTGGGTGATTGTTTATTATTTCTGTTGTTGCTGCTGTGTTGCGGTGTTTCTGATTTGACGTTGATATTCTTATTTCTATTTCAGCCGCTCATCCATTATCATGCACCGTTTACTACAGTATGTTCGAGCATCCGAACAGGACTAAAGAAGATATAACAATTGACCCTGATGGGTCCGGTCCTGTTGCTCCTTTCATCGTAGGCTGTAATAATGGTAAAGCATGTCATTACATATATAAACAAACAATTATGTATTGTAATGTGTCAGAATGTTATTGAATATATCAGAACCATACTGAATATGTCAGAACAGTACTGAATATGTCAGAACCGTACTGAATATGTCAGAACTGCAATGAATATGTCAGAACCATAATGAATATGTCAGAACCATAATGAATATGTCAGAACCGTACTGAATATGTCAGAACCGTACTTGAATATGTCAGAACCTGAATATGTCAGAACCTGATGAATATTTCAGAACCTTAATGAATTAGCCAGAAACTCGAACCATACTGAATATGCAAGATCTGTACTGAATATGTCAGAACCATACTGAATATGCCAGAACCATACTGAATTTGTCAAAACAATACTGAATTTGCCAGAACCATACTGAATACGCCAAAACCATACTGAATATGCCAGAACCATATTAAATATGCCAAAACCATACTGAATACGCCAAAACCATACTGAATATGCCAGAGCCGTATTTAATATGTCAAAACCATACTGAATTTGCCAAAACCATACTGAATATGTCAGAACCGTACTGAATATGTCAAAACCATACTGAATACGACAAAACCATACTGAATATATCAGAACCATACTGAATATGTTAGAATTAAACTAAATGTGTCAAAATGCTATTAAATCGATCGAAATCTTATTGAAGGTGTCAGAATACCGTTGAACAGGTAAAAATCTTCTTAAAAGGCTCAGAAAACTTTTTTGAATATGTCAAATCATACTGAAGGTGTCAGAATGCCATTGAATTGGTCAAAATCATCTTAAGGTGTCAGAATGTACGTGAACAGGTCGGAATCAAAGTGTCAGAATGCTATTGAAAATGTCAAAATCATACTTACGATGTCGGAATGCCATTATACAGGTCAGAAACATAATAAAGGTGTTAGAAATCTATTGAATATGTCTGAATTATACACAACGTGTCGGAATGCTATGAAACACTCTAGTAATAAAATGTGTTAAAATACTTGAAATACTCCTAGAATCTAAGACATCTTAACTTTCCTTATTACAGCTGATTTCTGGGATATTGTTGAAACGTCCATTTCCCATGACGTCATGGAACCAGTCACAGTAGACGGGTTTCAAGAACCAAACTATTATTCACGTAAGATTAGATATACAGCGGAACTAGATGGTTTATCAGAAGTTATAGACCGTTCAGACAGATGTAGACAAATGATTTTATGGAAATGTAATAATTCTCGACTCATGTTTCGTGCGATAGGTAAATTATTCTAATTACATTGTCATTATTTCTTATATTGCTGTTATATTTTCTATTTGTGGTGGTTAAAACCTTATCCCACCGTGACTATTGATGGTCATACGGCTAACTGATGCACAGTCACGTGATATCATTTAGCGTATTAATTGAAATTCGAATCCTCAGCGTAAAAAAGCGATTTCCTTATAGCTACAAATGTACTAATGCTGTAGATAGATAAGATGACATTTTATTACATGCTTTTCGGTGGTTTATAGAAATATCTCAGTGATAGAAAAACTGGTAATTTCACTGTTTGAAACAGTGAAATTACCACTTTGATAATTTCACTGTTTTGAATTTAAGCCCCTTACGTTGTTTCAGTGAAACACCAGCGTGCACAGAACTGGGTACCAACTTAATGACGTGACGTCGTAAATGACGTCACATTGTATTATTATTTGGCGCGCTTTTCATTCAGTATTAGGTTTAATGTCTTTTTAAAACGTTTCTTTGCATATAATAAAAAAAAAATTGTTTAGTTTAGTGTAAGATCGAAATAATATTTCAACTTGTGAACACCAAAAGTTCATATTTCACTCGTGGCTACGCCACTCGTGAAATATACCTTTTGGTGCTAACTCAGTGAAATATATTCCGATCTTACACTGAACTTAACAAATATCCTCTATTTTATAGTTTAAATCGAAAACAAAGTCTTAAAGCGAATATTTTGAATATGTATAATAGAATCCATGTAGTTATAGATCTATGGTCAAGGATAGGCATGTTTCAATTCAATTCAATTTCATGTTTTCTTGTGTTTTCAATAGATCTGATACGTAGATTAAAGTAAACATAATTAAAATATTATTGTGTTTATATACTGACTGTTGTATGCAACTGTAATTATAAACTTAGCTTTTAAATTTGCTCATTTATAGATATATTTTGTATATGTAAGCGGAGAGTTTATCTAGACTTTATCCACTGATTATCCATCGAGTTTTTACGAACATTTTCAGAATCAAGTTTTATGGAGATGTGAAATTTAAACTTTCAGATTCAGTCTTGAAGACGTATGGATATTGGGTAGGGAGAACAAACCAGGTAAAATGAGTCGCGTCACGACATAACTAACGTAGTGCGTTTGCGACCAGCATGGATCCAGACCAGCCTGCGCATCCGCGCAGTCTGATCAGGATCCATGCTGTTCGCTATAAGTTTCTCTACTTGTAATAGAGTTGGTAGGCGAACAGCATGGATCCTGATCAGACTGCGCAAATGCGCAGGCTGGTCTGGATCCATGCTGGTCGCAAACGCACTATGTTGGTTTTGTCATGTCGCGGCTCATATATGCTATTGGGTACTATGTAATCATATTAAAGTTCTATAACAATCTGATGGACTAGCTGTCCATTTTGTTTCACTAAAATTATACGGTGCTAATATGCCTGGTACGTGTAGTAAATTACTGCGTTTCTTCATATCGTTTTAGCCCCTTGATTGATAAATTATTTACCGTAAAGTAACTTTCGTAAGGTCTTTTTACGGCATAAGTCCGCCTGTGTTATTTATGTATCATATGTTGTATTTGTATGTCATATGGTGATGAGCTTTTATATGCCGAACCAAATCATGAAATGTTCTCCTAACCGTAAAGAACAAAAACATCTATATAGATCATTGTCTTTGTTTTCCTCTATAAAATGTACATTCGAACCCATACAAACGCTTATTAAAAACACGTTTTCGACTTATTATGAGTCTGTTATGTTATATTTGGTAGATTAACATGTCAACTTTCACTTAAATATAAACAACGTGTGAAGAATCCATATTTAAAAGCAAACGAATTTTCTATTAAAGTGTTTCGCCACTTCTTTACTTGAATATGTCATACATATATTGATACTTCAGGACATGTTTTATTGGGGTGGATCGGCACCAGAATCTTACAAGTGCGCATGCGGTGTTTCGGATGAAGGGTGCATTATGGGTAGCACAACATGTAACTGTGATTCATATGAAACAGGCACTCAGGATGGCGGTTATCTAACACAGAAACGATACTTACCTGTAATGGAACTATATTTCGGAGACACTGGCACATTAGCAGACAACAAAATTGGGCAGTACACGCTTGGCAAACTGACGTGTGAAGGGGAAAGTACGTAAACATGTACATATATATCTTATTCTTAAATTTGTCAATGTTGTCGCTCTATACAACGGGTTTGAATCCGCATCTCCTCGTTTGATTGATGGTTGTAAAAGCTTTTATAGATAAATGCTTTCAATCTAGCTTTAAAATGTAAGTAATTTTGCTAGACTGAAGAGTTTTGGTTTATATTTCCTATTGCACTTCCGGGTTTATCGGGTAGAGCATGCGCAGTATGTGAAATTCAGTAGAGCATGCGCAGTATGTGAAAGAGGCAATCAAGTGGTTTACCTTTTATTTAAAAGATATATAAATATTGACATCATTATTATATTGTATTATATGCCTTTTTAAATATTTATAGGTTTATTAGACAATACAGTAACGTTCCGGAAAGAGGACTCGACTCTAGAATTTGCTCCATTTAAAGCTGGCAGAGCCGGTGATATATGGTTTCAGTTTAAAACTACAAGTCAAAATGGTGTACTGATCCACAACATTGACGAAACCAATGATACTTTTATCAAGATAGAATTGAAAGGTACGTCAGGCCCGTTTTTTTTCAAATAAAGTTCCAAACTAACTGTTCTACTAAAATCGTAGCCATGTTACAGAGTGTTATTTGGTTTTGTATTAAAGTAACTGTAATGGTCATATAGCGAAATTCTAGCTTTACTGAGGGTTGGGGGAAACCTCGGGTATCCCTGTGTACATTATTATATCAGGCTCGATTGGGAAACTAAGTAGAAACCCCTGACGTTCTCACAGTGAAAGCTTGGCATAAGGAAAATCCATAGCCGTGCAGGATTCGAACCCTACAGCGATAGGGAAAGGATATGAAGCGGCGTTTTATTTTTCAGCCATTGAGGCCTTTGTTTTTATTTCTTGATTAACGGTTGTTATAAAGTAATATTTCCCCTTTTTGGTTGAAGTAAAAGAATGGTAAAAAAAGAAAAAAATTACCTTTTTTAGGAAGGCAAAATGGTGTTTATTTTTTATCATGATCGTTTAATTTATATTTCAGATGGATTTGTTGTGTTGAGTTATACAGCAGGCATCGTATTACAGAAACTGAGTTATAAGAAATATGTTAGCAATGATATGTGGCACACTGTGCACGTTGAACGTAATTTAAAACAGGCATATCTGCGTATTGATAATTTCAATGCTGTATATATTAATGAACCTGCTGACACGATTCCACTACACCTGGATTTAACACAGCCTTTAGTAGTGGGAGCTACTGTTGACTATAAGAATGGATTTGTTGGATGTATGAGGGGACTTAGGGTCAATGGCGTACATCAAGATATGAGAGGCGCTGTCCACAATGGCCAGTTTACTTATGGTGTACATGAAGGTTTGTTTTATAGAGCAATTCATTGTTAATTGGTATCTACATTTACTTTTTAAATAATAAATATATTTTTTTTTAAAAATTTAAATAATAAAAAAAAATTCCATTGTAACCCATTTTTGAAAATTGGCTTTTATCAATTAACATAACGTTTAACATTGGGATGTGAAAAGAAATTTTCTTTTTTATAATTTTAAAATTTTTTAACAACTGGTCAGATATAGCCGCGTGTAACTTTTATGTTATCCAGTTGTATACAAAACTTGGCTGCAGATTCAAACATACCTATACTTGATGCTTATATGATATTTTGTAATGTATATAAATTGCAGACATCATATTATTTGAATATTGTCATTTTAAAAATTAAAATGATATTCTAAATTTCAGATATGTTTTATTTGATCTTTTATGTACAGGTTGTGTTGGAAAGTGCACAAGTAGCCCGTGCTTTAACGGAGGCAGGTGTGTCGAAGGTTACTCTCACTACACGTGTGACTGTACCAACACGCCATTTACGGGAAGATATTGTTCAAAAGGTATGTCCGAGAGAGAAGTCTAATGACGCGCTTTATGTTATGCACGGATTCAGAGGTTGGGGGTTAGGGGGTCATGACCCCACCTGGGATTAAGCAAGTTTACTTGTATATGGAAACCTACGAAGATTTAGATACAAAGTTAAGTTTTTTAGCGAAAATCACGCAAAAACTGGTGAAAATCAGCAATTATTTTCACTCATGACCCTCTCGGCTGAAAAACTAGTAAAATGTCAACCCCAAAATTGTTCAACCCTCAATGGAAATAAATCCTGAATCCGCACCTGTATGTTTAATCATTCTAGTAGCCTTAAAGGTTAATGTCATGTTTCATTCTAGTACATGTACTATTTTTTATAGCTTCTTTACACGTTATGGTAACGTTTCTCTATCAAAGCGCTGAAAGCACTGCTGGGGGCGCAATATGTATGTTGTAGAGCGTCCATTGTTACAAGCTGATGCCGGCAGAAGACTGAAGTCTTTAAAAATACTTCAGAAACACCTCTCAGCAATCAAAATATTTATCTCCCAAATGGTGTTACTCTAAAAATTTTGTGCTGAAGTTATTTTATCCTAATTTTACATCAGTTGTTATTAAAGAATTTGTTAAAAGACTGTGTTTAAAATACATTTGCCATCAAAATACATTTTATTTCCATATGGAAAATTCTGAAGCATTTATAAACACATTAATAATTATGTGCTTTTATTTTTCCTAGAGGTGGGTGTTCACTTGAGAACAAACTATATGATTCGTTTTGATACTACGAAATTAAGTCAGTATCTGCCGACAACTTTACTCAAGGTGGGATTTATAACGAATAGAAAACAAGGTATTCTCCTACATTTATCGGATGAACACAGCTATGTCAGTTTGGTGATGAACAATAATGGTGAGATGTATTCCCGTGATTATTATCTTGTAAGTCTTTGGCGTCAAAGGAAAGTCGCTTGAGAGATGTACGTTATCTTGGACATGACGTCATTATTATCTAGTGTTTTTTAACCCTTTAGCCTACTGGATGCAACTAAATATATCAATGCGACCCAGTAGCGGGTGTCGTGTAATTATCACACGCGTGGGAATATTTCGCGACACCGGCACATCCATACTGTCTGATCATCGTCCGCAAATAAGTCCGTATATATTTTGAAATAATCCATAGTAATAAGGACTGGTCTTGTACATATTGAAAGTTGGACAAGTTCATTTAAGTTCGTTTCAGATATTTATTTAAGATCATTGAAGATATTCAGTTTGTTAAAGGAAAATATTATTTTATTATTAGGAAAATATCAAATAATCTAAAGACTTTTAGATAACAAAATTTGCAATAATTCTTTTCCATCACACGTCATATGATATTATTAATTTTCTGTCATTTTGATTTTTAATTTTTTGTAAGCAGGTTTTAATTCTGAGTAAACGATGTATTTTGTAATATAATTGGCACTACTAAATAACAATGTTTTCAAATTACCGAACTTTGATACAACTCTCTTCGTCAAGGTGGAGTCAAGTTTGATGTAAACTTTGGTTTTGAGCGCTTTGAACTGAACACTTGGAATATGAATGTAGATTTTAGCAACGGTCAGCCCCATATTGTCACTTTAAGACGTGAAAATTATCGTATTTTGCATCTTCAGGTAGGTGTTCCTGCATTCATTTTCTAGAATAGATTACACTTAATTTAATCTTAATTGCACTTAAATTATATGTCCGATGCATTAAATGTTCACCAATTAATGTGTTCACTGCATTAAATGTTAACAAAATTTTGTACACACCTATTTCTTTGTACTCAGAATTTTATTCTCATTTTGATATGCATAATGTCCTTGCTAAAAGCAACAGATACAAAAATGTCTTAAACGCAGCGAAAACAAATTTTTCCATGCTAGAACCAAAAAATAAAGTTTTCAGCCTTGTTACATATAACGAAGCAAAATAGAATACATGGTTGTTGTCGGGATGGAGAAGGTTTATCCGGTGAGCGAGAAAGTGTATCTTGGCTAGCTTTAGCGGTTAGCGAGCCAAGATTCACTTTCGCAGCGAACTGGATAAACCTTCTCCATCCAGACATCAACCATGTATTTGATTTATCCTGCTTTTAATCATGTTTTTAGATTAGTAAAATAGTTTAATTCTTACTTTTCCCCGGTAAATTAGCATCTATATGCAGTTTTGTTTTGCTGCTTACCATGTGACGTCATCATATGACGTAATGACTGGAGATAGATCAGTTTATCCGGCAGGGCTTTATCCAGCTGATGAAATAGACAGTTACTGTAGCAGGATAAAAGAATATAATGTTAAAACAGAAGTTACAAGCAAACACCTGCATCTCTCTATATTATATAGACGGTATTTTTCACTGTATTGTTTTACAAATATTACTAGGTTGATGAGTACCCTGAGGCTGTTACCTCCTTGGATCACCATCTGGCTCAAATGTTTCCAGAAAACTATAAATATTTGTATATTGGAAGCAATGGTAAGTACACAGTATACTTGAAGATGCTTATATTTGATGTTTCAGATTAGTAACGACAAAAAACGTTTAACGACATAAATACTTTGTTCTAACAACGACAAAAATACTTGTCACGACATTAATACATGTGTAGTAGTTGCGACATCAGGGTAGCAATACCACGTGACATTGACGTCATTTTCGGCATCATTTCCAAGACAAATATTGCTCGATTCGGAAAAGAAAATAGCCGTAAATATTTTATTTCTGTACCAATTTCTTTGGGATAGGGGAAATATAAGCTTTCCACAGAATATTGGATCTTCGTCAGTTTATAAGCCGTTTTATTAAACACTTTGCATAACCTTGGAAGTTGCTTGTAATAGAGCGGGCTTCAGTTGCAAGCTATTTCGTTTTCTGGCGTAAACTGGTCTACGCCATGATTAAAAAGTCAGGTTTACATCAACCGGGAGTACGAAAGGCAAGGCTCTACCTAAATATGTTCATATTTTTATTATGAATGACATAAATCTTACATTTTTCTTCAATTATCAATTCTGGCACCAGTTCCAATTCGAAAAAAAGGACTACAGTTTAAAGCAGATTTTAGAATCCGTTGCAAATGCGAAGCAACATGCCAACCGTTCTTTTTCTACAATTTAGATTTTCATTGTTGATCTTTCACAGTGAGATTGTGAAAAAAACTAATTGTTCCTTAAAGTAATAACACTTACTTGTATCGCAATAGTGCACGTCAAGTGAAGTCCTGTCGAAAAAAATATTTTGGTTTCGTTTTGAAGATGTTTTAAGTATTGCTCATCTTATCCTGTGTATTAAAATGTGTTTTATTCTATTTCACAATGGCGAAATTTATAAGAAATATAGATCTATGTGTCCTCAGTGAGAGAAAGAGTTAAAATAAAAAAAAAACACTTTTGTATGCTATGGAAAAGGTTACACTTTAACGCGAGGTAACTTTTTCAGTCTATTTTTTGTAACGGAGTAACTGACAAACACTGACACTCGTGAATGTGACGAATAGGTTCTTCTGTGCTCAAAAGAGACTTTTAAAAGGTATATATTTTTTCTGGAATTGCCGTATAATAAATTTCTATAGAGTTTGATAAACGAAATCACAATTTAAGTACTATGCACATGTATCGGTATTAAAATCATGAATCTAATTGTCACGCGCATTAACATGACGTTGACATTTTATGCTTATTAAACTATAAGCACTTTCATCATCAGTCCGATTTTGTTCTTTGTGTAGAACAATTTTAAATATCATTGCATATAACTTGGAACTTTGCCGTGTAAACCTGATAGTATTGTTACTTAGTTGCATTACTTATGATTCTCTATTTATCAAAAAGGCCCAAAATAGCCATGAGTCGCCAATAAAGAACGAGAATGGACGCCATGTGGAGTAAACAAAGTAGAAAATAGTAAACAGATAAATCATTTTACAAACCAACAGCCATCGATCACAGTAAAATTTCTTGAAACAAAACATTCAAAAAGACGGAAATAACAATGATTATCAATAATTATATAAATATTTACATTAAAATCTGTAAATAGCAACACCGGCAAGATCTATGACTAGGGTCCATATGACACTGATGCGTCCATTGAATAATTGATAGCTAACAATTACGATTACATTTTGAAGAGCATATTCAATTTTTATCCTTCAACTGTCAAATGACTTGTAAAATAAACTTCTTTATTTACATATCAAATAATTTACTTATTTGGCATATGCATTATGTTTATGATGTTTAAGATTTTAATATCTGATCCTTATTTAGATCTTAAATGCTACAAAAATCCTGTTGAGGACATCTGCAGGTCATGCCGCGTGCAATAATCCATGCATCTACTGCCAATGACCACATCGATAAGAAATAGTCCCAAATAGCCCTATCGTTTTTATTCAGTTGAAAGAGACTTTTATTGTTAAAAAATTATACTCGATTTAAATGTTTTCAAGCCATAACTATTCCGTTCCCTTCCTCTCTTTACAATGTGTATTGGTGAGCTCTCTGATAAAGCTGGGTTGACTGATATAATCATTACCGTGAAAGAACAATGATTAAAGAGCAAATCAATTTCTTTACAAATACAGACAACAATTTTACGACTTTTAAAATCACTTATAGAGCAACGAGTAAAAATCATTTAAATATTCATTCGTGTTTATGTAAATCGTACAGTAAATAAATCGTATAGTAAATAAAATGTGTTTCATGGTTAACATAATTATAGAAAGAGAACGGTAGGCATGTTGCTTTGCATTTGCAACGGATTCTAAAATCTGCTTTAAACTGTAGTCCTTTTTTTCGGCTTGGAACTGGTGCCAGAATTGACAATTGAAGAAAAAGGCATGATCTACGACATAAATAATAAACATATTAAGGTAGGATTTTGCTGTCTGTACCCCCAGTTGATGTAAACCTGACCTATTAATCATGGCGTAGACCAATTAAATAATGTCAGAATACGAAATAGCTTGCAACTGAAGCCCGCTCTAATACAAGCAACTTCCAAGGTTATGCAAAGTGTTTGATAAAACGGCTTATAAACTGACGAAAATCCAATATTCTGTGGAAAGCTTATATTTTTCCCCGTAGACTGGTGCATATCCCAAAGAAATTGGTACAGAAATAAAATATTTACGGCTATTTTCTTTTCCGAATCGAGCAATATTTGTCTTGGAAATGATGCCGAAAATGACGTCAATGTCACGTGGTATTGCTACACTGGACATAAATACATTGTACTAGTAATGACGTAAATACTTGTAACGACATAAATACATTTTAACTAATAACGACATAAATACATTTGTCCTAGTTAAGGCATAAGTACTTTTAACGACGTAAATACTTGTAACGACATAAATACATTTGAACTAATTACGACATAAATACATTTGTACTAGTAACGACATAAATACATTCGTTCTAGTTACGGCATAAATACTATTAATGACGTAAATACTTGTAACGACGTAAATATATTTGTACTAGTAACGACGTAAAAACCTGTAACGACATAACTACATTTTAACTAATAACGACATAAATACATTTGTACTAGTTACGACATTAATACTATTAACAACGAAAATACTTGTAACGACATAAATACATTTGAACTTATTACGACATAAATACTTGTACCAACATAAATACTAGTAACCACGTAAATAACAGTTACGGCAATAATGATAGTAACGACGTTAAAACTAGTAACGCCATAAATACGTTTGTACTAGAAATGGCATAAATAGAGGATATTGAATAAGTGTTAGTTCAATACTGAATTTATTGCACGAATTGAATAAAATTATATTATGCGAGCCTCTGGCGTGCAAAATATTATTTTATTCAACGAGTGCAATAAATTCAGTAATGAACTTACACGAATCTAATATTCTATTTATCACATACCCGAAATAAAGACCGTTTAAAGTGAAATAAGAGTCATTTTTCATTGACGCGTCTATAGTATAACGTTAACATTTAGCGCGTCTTTACACTATGTTTGTATAACGCTAATGACGTCACGTCAAAATACATGTATATGCACGGCCGTGCAATACCATATTTACGGAGTCGCAAAATCGGCACGGGTGTGTGATAAAACCTAATAACGACGTAAATACTTGTAACGACATAAAAACCTTTGAACTAATAACGACATAATACATTTGTACTACTAACGGCATAGATACTTGTAAGGACATGCAAAAACTTGTAACGACATAAATACATTTGTACTAGAAACGGCATAAATACTTGTAACGACATAAATATATTTGTCTTAGTAACAGCATTAATACTTGTAATGACATAATACTTGTAACACCATTAATACTTGTAACAACATAAATACATTTGGTCTAGTAACGACATAAATGCTTTTGTACTAGTAACTGCATAACTACTTGTAACGACATAAATACTTGAAACGACATAAATATATTTGCCTTAGTAACAGCATTAATACTTGTAACCACATAAATATATTTATGTCGTTTCTAATGTAAAACCTCAAATAAGTATGTATTATTATTTTTTTTTGAGAATTTTGCACAAACAAAGGCTCAGTTAAAGGGTTGTATTACCATAAAATGACGGGACCATCCTTTCAATGTCTTTGGTGTGCGGGGGGGGGGGGGGGTAGATTTGAGATTCAATCGACACAATGTAACGTTGGTATAATTGTATGTGAGAAGTTAGCAGTTAACAGTGAGCTAAGCAAAAAGGGATTACAAGTCATATAGGAAAATCAATGATCTGCTGTTAAGCTCAGCTAGGTAAGCAATCTAGCAGAGCAATTCAAAATAAAGTGTAGAAATGCTTTGCTGGTATGCTCAGCTGGCTAGGCAATCTAGCGGGGCGTTCAAAATATAGTGCAAAAAATGCTCTGCTGGTATGCTCAGCTGGCTTAGCAATCAAGCGAGGCATTCCAAACTATAAAGTGTAAAAATGATCTGCTGATATGCTCAGCTGGCTAGGCAATATAGCAGGGCATTCCTAAATATAGTGTTAAAAAATGCTCTGCTGTTATGCTCAGCTGGCTTAGCAATATAGCGCGGCATTCCAAAATATAGTGTAAAAATTCTCTGCTGTTATGCTCAGCTGGCTAAGCAATCTAGGAGGGCATTCCAAAATAAAGTGTAAAAATGCTCTGCTGGTGTGCTAGCGGGGCATTCCAAAAGTTTGCAAAATAAAGTGTAAAAATGATCTGCTGGTATGCTCAGCTGGCTAGGCAATCTAGCAAGGCATTCCTAAATATAGTGTAAAATATGCTCTGTTGCTATGCTCAGCTGGTTAAGCCATCTAGCGGGAAATTCCAAATATAGTGTAAAAATGCTCTTCTGAATTGCTCAGTTGGCTAGGCAATCAACGTAGAAGGGCATTTCTAAATATAGTGTTAAAATGCTCAGCTGGCTAGGCAATCCAGCAGAGCATTCCAAAATTAAATGTAGAAATGTTATGCTCAGCTGGCTGAGCAATCTAGCAGGGCTTTACTCAATATAGTGTAAAAATGCTCTGCTGGTATGCTCAGATGGCTAAACAATCTAGCGGGGCGTTCCAAAAAAACGTAAAAATGCTCTGCTGGTATGCTCAGCTGGCTAAGCAATCTAGCAAGGCATTCCTAAATTTAGTGTTAAAAAAGCTCAGCTGGCTAGGCAATCCAGCAGAGCATTCTGAAAATTAGTGTAAAAATGTTCTGCCGGAATGCTGAGCTGTCTAGGCAAACTAGCAGGGCATTCTTAAATAAAGTATTTTTTTTTTCTGCTGAAATGCCGAGCTGGCAGAGCAATCTAGCAGGGCATTCTTAAATACAGAGTAAATATTTTTCCTCTTTTACTCCTTATGCATCCACTTGTAATCCTTATGCCTCTGAAAATTTTATTTTTGTTGCGAGATCTATTTCACTGGTCTTTGTCTGCGCCTTTGACTGACATCCTCGAAGACTTCCAGGATTTTGGTACAAATGGATTGATAGCTTATTTTGGGTTCTAGTAACCCTCAGGAGTCCATTTCGTTGGTCTGCAACTGATTATTTGGCACTCGTAGACTTTCTGAAATATTTAGTGCCAATGCAGATTATGAAATTTTTTACTTCTATGGGACTCTCAAGTGTAAGTGTCTATTTCTTTGGTCTGCGACTGATTCTGGGAGAATCGCAGACTTTCAGGAATTTTTGGTGTTAATGCAGATAATGACATTTGTGAATTCTAAGGACCATCCATGGTCCATTTCGTTTGTCTGCGTCTGTTTCTAGAACACTCGCAGACGTTCAAAAATTTTCGGTGCCAATGGAGATAATGACATTTTTACTTCAAAAGGACCCTCCTGAGTCTATTTCGTTGGTCTACGACTGGTTATTGGGCACTTGAAAACTTTCAGGAATTTTGGTGCTAATGCAGATAATGACATTTAAGAGAAAAAATGCTCCTCTTCTGATTAAGGGGTCCTTACAATTAAATAATGTCACGATCTGCAATGACATCCAGAAAGTCTGCGAGTCTCAATGAATCAGTCGCAGACCAAAGAAATGTACTCTGGCGGTTCCATAGAAGTCAGAAAGGTCATTATCTCCATTGGCATAAAAAACCTGAAAGTCTGAAAGTGTCCCAAAATCAGTCGCAGACTAGCGAAATGAACTCTGGTGGGTCGCTAGAAGTAAAAAAAATGTCACTATCTCCATTGGCACCACAGATTCCCGAAAGTCTGCGAGTGTCCATCAAAAAGTCGGACAATGAAATAGTCTTTTTAAGGTCCTTATAGAAGTAAACAATATCATTATTTCTATTGGCACCAAAAAATCCTTAAAGTCTGTGAGTTCCTCAGGAATGCCTAAAAGTCGAAAGATTGACGTAGATCTGAGTCAATAAAACGTTGGCAACAATAAATCTTGGAACACAGAATCAGTCTACCAGCTGACCATTCCAGCAGAACATAGTCATACTATAATTCAGAATACAAAGCAAGATTGCTTATCCAACACAGCATTTTCATACCATTTTTCCAAATGTTTTGCTAGGCTGCCTAACCAGCTCGATATAAAACGCAAATTCAATACTATATTTAAGAATGTCCCGCTAAATTGCTTTACCAGCTGAGCATTGCAGCCGAGCATTTTTACACTGTACATTGTATTTAGGAATGCAGAGCATTTTTACACTATATTAAGTAACGCCCTGCTAGTTTGCCTAGCCAGCTTAGCATTGCAGCAGAGCATTTTTACACTATATTTAGGAATGCCCTGCTATATGCCCAAAACATTGACTTCCATATATAAATTGAAATGCCGTTTTGCTTAGCTCACTGCTAACTTCTCACATACGGTATAGTTAGTTAATAATTTAACAATATAAATGATAAGCATTGTTAAATCATAATCACTGTTATTAGAGTTATATTTTCGATACATTTGCCGATGTATGAATTCCTATAAAATATATTAAAAATTGGTTATTGAAAATGGAAGTGGTTATTTGGGAAACATAATGTGCATGAATTATTGCCTTTCAAAATAGTTCAGCGTCAGTGAAATAAGTGCATATACATGTGTACATAAACAAGTAAAGAAACAGATATATATTTTATAAAAATGTTATTTAAATATGTTAATTTTATTTTATAGATACAAGCATTATTTGGAAAGGTTTTGAGGGTTGTATCTATCATGTTGAGATAGACGGTGTATTTCCACTAAAGACCGCATTCGAAGTTCCAAAACCTGACTCGGTAACGTTCGACCCTAATGGTAAGTGAGGTTTGGTAAATATCACGCAAATTTTATTAATAATGACTGTGTTATGAAATTTACCCCCAAAAAAAATTCGAAGAAAAACAAAATGAAAATGTAAATTATGTAATGATAGCGGTATTGTTTCTTACTGAAATCTCTCAAGGAATCTAAACTGATATATTGTCAACTTTTACATGCCAATTTTCAAGACGCTGCTCGAAAGTTTTCACAAATTGTTGCTTTCTACCCAATTGTTTTAAACTTACAAATTTAACGGTGACTCATACTAACAATTTCATAATAAAAACCAGGGTATATATTACATGATATAAATGTTTACCATGTTAAAATTTAAAAAGAGAAATTGTAGTACATAGATAGTATTGTTCTTGGAAACTTGATTGTTTTGCATTACTTTTATTGTGTCTTTAATTTTTCATAGTTTTTTCTCTTTTTACTTACCGCCTTTGTGTTCTATAAAGGTGTAATGGAGGAATCAACATGTGAGCATGAGGAGGTAACTCATGCACCGGAACCAGAAGAGGTACGAGTTATTCCCCTTGAAGATTTACCCAGACCAACTTGTGGACGCCCGGTACCTTCACCTGGAATTGATAGGGGAGGTAAACACATAGAAGATGGAGGTAAATAAACTATTGTATTATTTTGAATACATGTATACTTACAGTGATTTTTTCCAATTTTCAAAACAACCTGCGGCTTTTTGAAAGGGAAAATATAGCGCGTGAAATCAGAAAATGGAAAATTGTCAGCTGTTCTCATGAAGAATGTGCGCAGGGCATTTTAGGGGAAATATTAGGATTTTTAGGGGAAATATACCTTTTTGGGGCTAGGGGGGACAGCCTTTTTCGGCTGTAAAATACAAGGAAACAAATCACTGACATATCCTTTTGGTTAAAACTGAAGCTGTTAAAAAGAGTAAACATGGTTGAACATAAATGATGTTATAATTCGTAAACTATTTCGATATTTTTTTTCACTGTAATTAAAACCGATTGAAGCATTGTCTTGTACTTAATATTTTATACACACATTTTCGCCATTTTGATACATGCATGATAATTATAGTTATGTAACAATATGAGCCGCGTCATGACAAAACCAACATAGTGCGTTTGCGACCAGCATGGATCCAGACCAGCCTGCGCATCCGCGCAGTCTGATCAGGATCCATGCTGTTCGCTGTCAGTTTCTTCACTTGTAAAAGAGTTGATAAGCGAACAGCATGGATCCTGATCAGACTGCGCGGAAGGGCAGGCTGGTCTGGATCCATGCTGGTCGCAAACCCACTATGTTGGTTTTGTCGTGAGGCGGCTCATATCAACACATGTGTAACGACCTCACGTTTACCATCTTTGTGAAAAATACGTAAATGATGTGGCGTTCTTGACGCAAGCAATATAATGTTGTAAATTAGAATTGGCTCAAATATTGTAAATTCAAACCGGCTAAGTAATAAGTAGTTTCAAAGGTGCTAGTGGCATGACCTAAAATGTGTAATTGTAATTTATGCAATAAAATATATATATATACATGTATATATATATATATATATAATTTACTTTTTTTCTATAACAATATAACCAGGGCTGGGAATCAAAACTGCGTCGTATCCTACGAAATGTAAACAAACGCCGCCATCTTGGAACGAAAAACGTATGTTTTTGTTTATAACTTTTATTGTTGAAAATGACTGAAAACAAGATATATGTACTAACACGCTACACTATTTTCCGCTTCGTTCGGTATATGTTGCTTGCACAACTATTTTGTAAAACAAAAGTTATAGCGAACTTGCAATTCGAAGCGGGGCAGAATTTTTATGAAAATGTGTGGATACGACGCAGTTCATATTGCTTTATCCATCACTTTTTCCTTCAAATCAATTATATATTTGTTTCAGAGTTCCCCATAAACTTCGAAATATAATTTTGCATCATTTACTAAAATTTCATTAAAAAGAGATGTTTATTTTCCAAGAAAATAGTGATTTTTACGGAATGAAAATAAAATATGATACGACGCAGTTGTATTTTTGTCAGTCTTTTCAACAGGGATAATTTTGGCAATATATTTCTATTTTATGGAATAATCACTTGCGCTAGATAAAAAAACCCAGATCATTTGCGGTGTATATCAATGTTCTGTTGCTTTTGATTATTTAGAATACAATGTGTCATGTCAAATATGACATTTAACTTGAAAGTTTACATTGCGGAAGCTACTTTTCAGTTAAACATGAACATGTTACCTTATTGATCATAATATCTGAAATAATTTCTTATATTTTCCTGTATGTTCAATATTATCCCTAATTTCTTTCGCAAAAAAAAACTGTAGAAATCGATTTACTTGAATTCGTTTTGGCTAGCTACGCTCTAAGTTAACTGTGGTTCTGCATGTTCTGGGTAATGACTGTTTTTTTTGTGGTTCCTTTTCAAACTTTCACTCTACACATTAGCTTTACTAGGGGCGAGGACCTCAGGTGCGCCTTTGTGCATTATTTCAGGCAAAATGTTGTACCTGCAGAGAACCATCGACATTTTGAAACTAGCTTGATAGGGTTTCCACATGAAAGAATATACAGTCCCTGGTGGTTTTCAAATTCATAGCAGTTCAGTTCAAGTGATTTGAATTCAGTAAACATAAACAGCTCGGCCTCGGTCGGACACATCTTTCTGATTTGTTTTTTCAACAAACTTTGTTAACGTCAGCTGTACAAATAAGCAGCTTTTTTTTATTAACTTCTGGCGTGAAGTTTTAAGATTATAAATATTTGAATTAATTATAAAGAGAATAAAATTTAAATTTCTTATTTCGGTATGACTAGCAGGGAAATTTTCAATGTAAACAGGGGTTAATCCTCTGTGAAGTCATTTTCTGAAAACTTTTGTTTAAGTTTTCAGGCAATTCATTATCAAATAAAAATCACACTTTAGTATGAAGGTATGTTAAGATGTCATGTCCCTAGTCTGTTGAAAATTCGATACGATAATCTGACCTAAATTTTCTGTTCAATATTGTGAAAACTTAATAATTCTTCAATACTGTTGAAAGATCATGTATCTGTATCAAATTTATCGGTGCATAGCGTAAAATACCTTTGCAAAACGGACACCTTTTTAACAAAATAATTTGTAGTTGTATCATAATTATGTAACTCGATTTTGAAAATTTAAAGTTTTTTGATGGAGAAGAATGATAATTGTAAGTGCAAATATAGAAGCGATAAAGAAACACAATTACGACAAAATCAGGGGTAAAGTTCCGCGGCGCTGAACATAAAATGACTAAACGGAACGCATAACCTACTTGCAAAAAAAATTGTAGCTTAACCATTTATAATATAATTTTAAAAATTTAATGTTCAGTTTCAAATAATAAAGCTAATCTGTTCTCATCGATTATTAAGAAAATGAATACAATAAAATCGGCACGTAAAAGACATACGGTAAGTAATAACGGAATTGACGGAAATTATTGCTAATTACAAGTAACAAAGGTAGGCATGCAATTTGCGCATTCCCGATAGCGAGAGACCTTTTCAAAATTTGTAATTCTTTCTCTTTTGTTTTTTGTCATTCCTGATTAATACAGGGTCCAGGAGAGGTTACACTGGAATATTTAATTTTGTATCAAAAATAGTAATCACTCCCATTTCGAACTCACGGGATCAAGTTTATAAGCATGCTAAGGCAACACTAGAACACGTTGTGATCACGTGTTTCAATGTATATTGCATTTGATACAGCTTTTCGGAACTTGTAGATGCTTATGATTAGTACTAAAATGCGACCGAAAAAATGCAGCCTTAATAGAATTGTATTACATTTCCATTTTTATGAAACCAATGAGTGACCTCTGCTTTTGACTTAAGTTGTAAACAAGAAATGTTGTTGGACGTTATTAGCATACCTAGCACATAATTTAAATAGTTAAACCAATATTCAGCCTGCAATGAAAATGCAACTGCGTCGTATCATATTTTATTTTCAACTGCGTCGTATCATTTCGTAAAAATCATTATTTTCTTGGAAAATAAACGTCTCTTTTAAATGAAAGTTTAGTAAATGATGCAAAATTATGTTTTGAAGTTTATGGTGAACTCTGAAAACGAGTATATAATTGATTTGAAGGAAAAAACGATGGATAAAGCAATATGAACTGCGTCGTATCCACACATTTTCATAAAAATTCTGCCCCGCTTCGAGTTGCAAGTTCGCTATAACTTTTGTTTTACAAAATAGTTGTGCAAGCAACATATACCGAACGAAGCGGAAAATAGTGTAGCGTGTTAATACATATATCTTGTTTTCACTCATTTTCAACAAAAACAGTTATAAACAAAAACATACATTTTTCGCTCCAAGATGGACGCGTTTGTTTACATTTTGTAGGATACGACGCAGTTTTGATTCCCAGCCCTGATAACAGTAAAAAAAATATTTTTTTTAATACTCGTACAAATGTATATGGATATTTTATGGCATAAATAACAATGTAAAACACATTTTATGTCAAATCAATGCCACTAGCACCTTTGAGTACTACAATATTGTAAGTTAATCTGATAAATAATAAGTAAACATTCCCCATCATTGTAGGTAAACCTGTCTATAAATATTTTCCATTGTTATTTTTTGTACATGTATATTAAGATGTATGTATAATTGTCGTTTTTTTTTCAGATTTGTTTTTTACATTTCCACGACAGGACATCGATTTAAACGAGAAAATCACCGGACTGTTGACTATGACATGCCGTGTGACGTCACCAAATATCCATGACGTTATTTATATACTTATACGTCAGGAAACGTCTCCGAAATCCGGGGAATTTGAATGTTTAGCAATGATTGGAATAAATAGAACGCAAACTCCAATGTTAAATGATCAGCTAAATACAAACAAAAGTTATGTTATGAATGGTACATTGAATAAAACCATGGCAACATACCCTTATCTTAGTATAGGGATGGATGTACTAAATTTAACTTGTGAGGACGCCAAAGACTACATGTGCGAGGTCGGTTATAAAAATAGTTCGTCAGAAACGTTTGAGACAGCGTCTACTATTGGAACTATTTTAGCTAGCGGTAAGTCGGTTTTTAACGTAGTAAGATTAATGCAACAAATACTGGTGAGATATTAATCATATCCCTCACTGAAATATGTCCAAGTCTGTTTCCTTTAGTTTGCACGACGATTCTATCACAAGTTTGGTTATATCTCGGCGGTCTGCTCATCTTACTGGGTTTCCATGGTAACTAATCAGTTATGGTCACTGTTTCAATGCTCGGGTTCGGCAAAATTTATCTGTGACATCTGTGACAATTTTGATTTTAGACATGAGTCACATGATCATTGTCCTCTTTCCTCAGACTCATGTGAGACTAAGAGTTGATCGCGGGTGGGTTATCCAGGAAAAAAATACCAAAACGTAGGCGTAGAAACCAAAAACTAACAAAAAATAAATAAAATGCCAGTTAATTGCATTTAATATACAATGTATTTTTATGAATCTATAGTAAAAGAAGGAAAATAAAACTTGCATGTTTCTTGATAGATTATTTTATAACTTATAGTTCTAAGCGCATTTCATATAAAAATAAAATAGGAGGTAGGATATTTTTAGAAGTATGTGTATACATGTATGTAAAATTGAAGTCAGTTTGTCCATACCAGGTTTATTGGTCAATTAAAACATATTTTATTGTTACCATTCGTTACTGGTAAGTACATGTATATATGATATTGTTGGAAAGTACTTTGATGTAGATTTGTGTTTATATTTCAGCCGGCTGTGAAATCCAGGAAAAGTTAGTGGCTGGCGCGGTTGATGATTCCTTAGGTAGTAACATGTGTTTTACCTGTATTTAACATAATAGTAATTTTTTAGATATTCATATTGTTTGAACACTTGTAATCTATATAAAATTAGAACATTGAATGACACAATTTGTACACTGTACGCGCAATCTGTTGTCATCTGTTACAAAAAAAATGAAAATTCGTAAATCAAAATTACCAGTTATTTCCACCTCCCCCCTCCAGATTGTACATGTTGTTCGGTGATTCTGTCTTTGTGTTTGTATAGTAGCAGCACACTAGGCAAATAATTTTCTTCTATCCATTTTCAAATTTATCAGAAACTTGTGGCGTTCAATAGGGTGATAGTGTGAGTTCATTTTATCGTCTGCGACAAATCCAAATAAAAGTATGCACACAGTGTACATGTATATGAAAACAATTAACTGTTTGACCTAACTTTGACTAAAATTTTTTAATTCTTTTCTGACAACTATTCAGGCACCGGGACTCGGGTTGGAATCGCTGTTGGTGTCATAGGAGGCGTGGTCCTAGTGGTAATTTTAATCTTCGTTGTTTGTAAATACAGAAAGCGCTCCAAACAGGGTACATATGGTAAGTTTTCGGATTGTTGGAAATTTATATTTAGGATAAGAAAAAATTGAAGAAGTTTTAAATACAATTAACATATAAATATACCGCTAAATATCTTAAATGAACTCGTCCATCTTTCAATCTAGGAAAAACAGTTTAACATATTTATTGAAAACTTCAAAATAATTTAGATGTTGACTTAACAGGGAACAGTGCAGACTATGATCAGATCTTTATCTTGGTCTGCGCTGATCACGTGGGTAACAATTGTTTCTGCCAGCAGCCAAAGGGGTTTAATTACTTTTAAACTTATTTCTTGTTAAGTACTTTTAAGGTATTAAAACGTTCTGACAAGCATTTCAAAAACATTGCTAAATTTTAAAATACCTTTATATATCTGAGAGACAAATGACGACAGAGATCGTTTTAAAACGATAAACATGTATATTTGTAATTATAACTCATGACAGTGATTGCATTTTGTCACAGAATTAAGAAATAAAAAAGCAAATATGATGTAATGAATTGGTACAGATCAAACAAAAGATATAATAAATTCATGTATAAATGGATGACTACAAGATGTTTTTGGAAAGAAAATATTATACTGCTAATGAAGGACTGTCGGCTACTATATATCAGTTACAAATATTGTTTTTATCATGATTTCAGATCAACAAGGGAACATGTAAGTTAATACAACTATTACACATTAGGAATTTAATAAAGAAATTATACAGTAGAAAATAGACCGGATTGGGGTATGAAAATGTGTGAGATAGCAGGGGTGTATTCTCTATGTTACATTTTTGTTTTGCTTTTAATTACGATGTAATATAAATGAAAAAAATGCCAGCTATGTAACCCCTCTCATGCTAAATATCTAAAATTTAGTTGTACTTTTTTTCAGTGTGGACAAAACCAATTACAAATTTTAGGGAAATTTTCAAAATATGTACTGACTGAATAGCGAACAGTGCAGACCATGATACCATACATACATACATACACACACACACACACACACACACGCACACGCACACGCACACGCACACGCACACGCACACACACACACACACACACACACACACATACATACATACATACTTTTTAAATTTGACATTTTACCTTTCTCTTCAAAGAACCCGCTCCCAAAAATCTAATAGAAAAACGCAGAAATTCAATTTTATAAACGTTTTTGATGAAAAACGCAGAATTTAAATCCGCAAAAATTAGTATCCATTTCCAACCCCAAAATGCCAAAAATTGCATCCGCAGAAATAACCAGTTACATGTATATGGTAAGTAACACGGATGTTCATGGTCGCTTTGGGAAGTTTTTTGAGGTTTAATATTGTCAGTACTGTAGGGTGTACTTGTATGGATCAAAGCATGTATTTATATAGGAAAAGATGACATAGGGAACTATGATAAGTAAATTATCGTTATATTGTAACTAGTCTTGTAAGAATGATACTTTTATTTTATTTTCAGCGGTTATTCAGCGTCCTTTACCAGAACATCTACTGAGTAATTACGTGTCACTTAATCAAAATGTTGATGGAAGATTTTAAAAAAATGGACAGTATATCATGTGCTTTCTATAAAATGCTCAATATTATGTTATTTTATACACAACATAAATTTCTTGCCTCCTTTGGAAAGGGCCGGATAGGAAGATTTAATTACATATATACACGTTATTTTGTACTGTATTATTTTTAGCTTTAGTAGTTATACTCCCAATATTGGCATCTGGGATATTCTATATATATCTTTTACTTGTCCATTCATTTACTTTCTAAAATTTTAGGTCTAGATTTCGTAATTGATATGTCGATGGAGCATCAGATTTGTAAACCATGGGTCACTGGTACGATCCTCTGGCGAGGTGTAATTTCTCCGTGACAATTGCTACCGGACATTGAGTCTATTGGTCATTTGTCTCTCCCCGCCCGCTGATCCAGAAATCGTGTGGAATTAGCAATCGATTACGTGTGGAATCAAAGCACAGAAGGCGCTGAATTTGTTTGGGTCTCAGAATGTCAGAAAGGTGAAGATTGTGAGATTATAAACCAATTTGTTTTTGTATAGTGTCACCAATGCTGTTTCCAGTGTTATAAATGTAGTAAATTGTATCATTATTGATAATACACTTGCTCATATGTACACTTGAAAGCTCCAGATTCTCATTTTTCACATACCACAACGTGTTAAAGCAAACATGTTTACCTGTAACATTTCAACAAGCTTTGAAAAACTGTTTTTGACATGTACATGTATTTATTTATTACAGTGTATTGTCTTATATTATTGAAAAATAAATACTTTTGTATCCTGAATACTTTTATCTGCCTGTTTTGCTTACGGCAAAATCCGACTTTTCCCGCTTTTGCCTTTATTCATCTGAAAAGTTATAACAAATATCAGGAAATGAAGTTATACATTGCAGTAGAGATATATACATATACTATGCGTATAGCGTGTGCAGTCTCCTGGAGTAAAAAAATCACCCAAACGTTCATATCCTTTGAAATCCCGAGGCCTGTAGACCAAACTCTACATTCTTAGCCAAGCAGACGTCCTATCTACTCAAATAAGTCTTATCAATATGAATGCATTCAAAACCTTTCATTTCATGAACTGGTTTCTTTTTAAAAACATGCATTTCATTTTGTACACGGAAATGGTTCTTTAGAACGACACAAAGCGACGGCTGCAGATAACGGTACATGACAATGATTATTTAGGACGGCTACATGACAATGATAATTTAGGACGAAAAACAGCGACGGCTGCAGATAACGGTACATGACAATGATTATTTAGGACGACAAACAGCGTCGGCTGCAGATAACAGTTCATGAGAATGATTATTTAGGACGACAAACAGCGACGGTTGCAGATAACGGTACGTGACAATGATTTATTTAGGACGACAAACAGCGACGGCTGCAGATAACGTGCATGACAATGATTATTTAGGACGACAATCAGCGAGTGCTGCAAATAACAGTACATGACAATGATTATTTAGGAGGACAAACAGCGACGGCTGCAGATAACGTGCATGACAGTGATTATTTAGTACGACAAACAGCGACGGCTGCAGATAACGGTACGTGACAATGATTTATTTAGGACGACAAACAGCGTCGGCTGCAGATAACAGTACATAACAATGATTATTTAGTACGACAAACAGCGACGGCTGCAGATAACGGTACGTGACAATGATTTATTTAGGACGACAAACAGCGTCGGCTGCAGATAACAGTACATGACAATGATTTTTTAGGACGACAAACAGCGACGGCTGCAGATAACGTTACGTGACAATGATTATTTAGGAGGACAAACAGCGACGGCTGCAGATAACGTTACGTGACAATGATTATTTAGGAGGACAAACAGCGACGGCTGCAGATAACGGTACATGACAATGAATATATAGGACGACAAACAGCGACGGCTGCAGATTAACAGTTCATGACAATGATTATTTAGGACGACAAACAGCGACGGCTGCAGATAACTGTACATGACAATGATTATTTAGGACGACAAACAGCCACGGCTGCAGATAACGGTACATTACAATGATTATTTAGGACGGCAAACAGCGACGGCTGCAAATAACGTGCATGACAATGATTACTTAGGACGGCTACATGACAATGATTATTTAGGACGACAATCAGCGAGTGCTGCAGATAACAGTTCATGACAATGATTATTTAGGACGACAAACAGCGACGGCTGCAGATAACAGTACACGGCAATGATTATTTAGGACGACAAACAGCGACGGCTGCAGATAACAGTACATGACAATGATTATTTAGGACGACTAACAGCGACGGCTGCAGATAACAGTACATGACAATGATTATTTAGGACGACAAACATCGACGGCTGCAGATAACGTACATGACAATGAATATTTAGGACGAAAAACAGCGACGATTGCAAATAACGGTACATAACAATGATTATTTAGGATGACAAACAGCGACGGCTGCAGATAACAGTACATAACAATGATTATTTAGGACGACAAACATCGACGGCTGCAGATAACAGTACATGACAATGAATATTTAGGACGAAAAACAGCGACGGCTGCAAATAACGGTACATGACAATGATTATTTAGGATGACAAACAGCGACGGCTGCAGATAACGTGTGCATGCAGATGACATTGATTATTGAGGACGACAAACAGCGACGGCTGCAGATAACGGTACATAACAATGATTATTTAGGAGGACAACAGCGACGGCTGCAGATAACAGTACATAACAATGATTATTTAGGACGACAAACATCGACGGCTGCAGATAACGGTACATGACAATGAATATTTAGGACGAAAAACAGCGACGGCTGCAAATAACAGTACATAACAATGATTATTTAGGATGACAAACAGCGACGGCTGCAGATAACAGTTACATAACAATGATTATTTAGGACGACAAACAGCGACGGCTGCAGATAACGGTACATGATAATGAATATTATGGACGAAAAACAGCGACGGCTGCAAATAACAGTACATAACAATGATTATTTAGGACGACAAACAGCGACGGCTGCAGATAACGGTACATGACAATGAATATTTAGGACGAAAAACAGCGACGGCTGCAAATAACAGTACATAACAAATGATTATTTAGGACGACAAACAGCGACGGCTGCAGATAACGTACATAACAGTGATTATTTAGGAGGACAAACAGCGACGGCTGCATATATAACAGTACATAACAATGATTATTTACGGACGACAGACAGCGACGGCTGCAGATAACGGTACATAACATGATTATTTAGGAGGACAAACAGCGACGGCTGCAGATAACAGTACATAACAATGATTATTAGGATGACAAACAGCGACGGCTGCAGATAACGTGCATGACAATGATTATTGAGGATGACAAACATCGACGGCTGCAGATAACAGTACATAACAATGATTATTTAGGAGGACAAACAGCGGACGGCTGCAGATAACGTGCATGACAATGATTATTGAGGATGACAAACATCGACGGCTGCAGATAACAGTACATAACAATGATTATTTAGGAGGACAAACATCGACGGCTGCAGATAACGGTACATGGCAATGATTATTTAGGAGGACAAACAGCGACGGCTGCAGATAACAGTACATAACAATGATTATTTAGGACGACAAACATCGACGGCTGCAGATAACGGTACATGACAATGAATATTTAGGACGAAAAACAGCGACGGCTGCAAATAAAGGTACATGACAATGATTATTTAGGATGACAAACGGCGACGGCTGCAGATAACGTGCATGACAGTGATTATTGAGGACGACAAACAGCGACGGCTGCAGATAACGGTACATAACAATGATTATTTAGGAGGACAAACAGCGACGGCTGCAGATAACAGTAACATAAACAGTGATTATTTAGGACGACAAACATCGACGGATGCAGATAACGGTACATGACAATGATTATTTAGGACGACAGACAGCAACGGCTGCAGATAACAGTACATAACAATGATTATTTAGGACGACAGACAGCGACGGCTGCAGATAACGGTACATAACAATGATTATTTAGGACGACAAACAGCGACGGCTGCAGATAACAGTACATAACAATGATTATTTAGGACGACAGACAGCGACGGCTGCAGATAACGGTACGTGACAAGGAATATTTAGGACGACAAACAGCGACGGCTGCAGATAACAGTACATAACAATGATTATTTAGGACGACAAACAGCGACGGCTGCAGATAACAGTACATAACAATGATTATTTAGGAGGACAAACAGCGACGGCTGCAGATAACGTGCATGACAATGATTATTTAGGACGACAGACAGCGACGGCTGCAGATAACGGTACATAACAGTGATTATTTAGGAGGACAAACAGCGACGGCTGCAGATAACAGTACATAACAATGATTATTTAGGATGACAAACAGCGACGGCTGCAGATAACGTGCATGACAGTGATTATTGAGGATGACAAACATCGACGGCTGCAGATAACGGTACATAACAATGATTATTTAGGAGGACAACATCGACGGCTGCAGATAACGGTACATGACAATGAATATTTAGGACGAAAACAGCGACGGCTGCAGATAACGGTTCATGACAATGATTATTTAGGACGACAATCAGCGACGTCTGCAGATAAAGTGCATGACAATGATTATTTAGGACAGCAAACAGTGACGGCTGCAGATAACGGTACATGGATATTGTACAGCGACGGCTGTAAATACGGTACATGGAGATTGTACAGCGATGGCTGTAAATACGAGGTATGTATAGGCTAAATACGGTACATAGAGATTGGTCAGCGACGGCTGTAAATACGGTACATGGAGATTGTACAGCGACGGCTGCAAATACGGTACATAGAGATTGGTCAGCGACGGCTGTAAATACGGTACATGGAGATTGTACAGCGACGGCTGTGAATACGGTACATGGAGATGTAGAGCGACGGCAGTCAATACGGTACATGGAGATTGTACAGCGACGGCTGTCAATACGGTACATGGAGATGTACAGCGACGGCTGTCAATACGGTACATGGAGATTGTACAGCGACGGCTGTCAATACGGTACATGGAGATGTACAGCGACGGCTGTCAATACGGTACATGGAGATTGTACAGCGACGGCTGTCAAAACGGTACATGAAGATTGTAGTTAACGGTACATGGCAATGGTTCTTTAGGACGACAAACAGCGACTGTTGCAGTTAACAGTACATATAACAATGTTTAGGGGATAATAATTAATGTTTTACGTTGCATCCATATTAATGGTACACAATAATGAATGTTGTCTTGAGGAGAGCCGTCAATAAAGCTAATTGGTACTACACACGTTGTATGTGTGTGGTTTAGAACAGTTCACGATGAGGAATAAACAGTAAACAATGGGGATTACTACAAATAAAAGAAATCGCGGCGACCTTTGTTTTCAACGGACCTTAAAGACCTACATACAGTATTTTCTAAGGACTTTTTATTAAGTAATATTCATATTTGGTGTTGTTTCGTGACGTTTGCTTAAACACCCGATAGGGTGTCTCCGGATTCTTTGATGTGTGACAGCTATCCAGCTACCTTGCGGAACGTCGGTGCTCCACTTGGGTGTCCGTTTGTGCCTGAAATAATGTTACCACAGAGGGGCACCTGAGGTCTTCCTCCACCAGTAAAGCTTGAAAAAGTCAACACATGACCAATTCTGTGTCGGTGCGACCCAGCAACAAAAAAGAGCAAAAATTAAGGTCTCTGCGGAGATGGGATGAAAATTGTAAACCAGCTGGTAGTTGTGTATCCGACCTGTGTCAATAAAGAATATATTTTGTATGAATTTATACTTCTGAGAAAGTTGTTTGATCTTACTGAATCATCCCACACACAACAATAAATTATTGTAACATGCTGAATAACATGTTTAATCCGTTCATACACTAGCGCACGGATGGATAAATGCAGATCTTACTGTTGTTTATCTTGTTACTTTTTCTCATTTATTGTTGTCATCATTTTACTATAGTAAACGGGTCTTAATGTAAAGTTTACTGCTATAGATATACAATCAATCAGCTAAATATGAATAATGATTTTTTTTGTATTTCATATAATCTGGAAACGGAGAAAAGTTGAGAATAGATCAGGCCCTCCTTAATTAGCTATAAATGTACGTCCACTAGCAGCTGCTGTAGATTACCGTCTTACGTATTGCAAGACTAGAGATCAAATCCTCCGTCCCCATCCCCCCAAAAAAATCAGTTTAACTAAAACCTTGTGTGATAGCCCTGAATCACTCGCTAACGCTCTGGTATATATGGTGGCTGATTTGCTACACTTTGCGCGTTGCGTTGTCTCTAAACGTCTTGTCGCTAGCGAAGCACGCCAAACGGTGCGTTGTCGTGTGGCGCGTTGTCGCGATGTCACACTATCGCTTGGCTATGGTGGCTGATTTGGTACGCTTTTGTGCGTCGCGTTGGCGCTAGTGACAACACGACAAAGCGCCAAACGCGGTCGTCTTGTCGTCCTGTCACTAGGGCGGCACGCTAAACGGCGCGTTGTCGTGCGGCGTGTTGTCACATTGTCGCTCGATTCAAATTAAAGGATTGGCTTATAAGCCAAGTGACAGGGCGACATCGCGACAATGCACCGCACGACAACGAACCATTTGGCGTGCCGCGCTAGAGACAGAATGACAAGACGACAGCGCGCCGTTTGGCGCTTTGTCGTGTTGTCGCTAGCGCCAACTAGACGCACAAAAACTACTAATTCAGCCACCATACTTGGCTTATATATTTACAAAAAGTCAATCCTTCGATTTGAGCCGAGCAACATGTGGCATTGCGACATCACGCCGCACGTCAACGCATCGTTTCGCGTGCATCTTAAGCGACAGGACGACAAAACGTAAATCCGACAACGCGCCGTTTCGCGCTTTGTCTTGCTGTCGGTAGTGACAACACGCCGCACAAAACTATTCCAAATCAACCACCATAGTTATACCAGGGTAAGTTCCACATGTACATACAGGCATATACAGTCTGTTGTAGCCCCAGGTCCACTCCCGGTTAATTGCGTTTACTTTGACTTTCGGATAATCAAATTCCTGTGGAGATTTGTGCATTGGAAACATTTATGATATTTTGTTGCCAAAATAAGTCAGCCCATCAGTTTGTAGGTAAAACCCAATGTCAAACATATACCTTGTGGATATTGCGCGGAGGTAAATTATCACCAAATTTAACTCTTTAAGATGCAAGGGATCCGTACCCGACAGAGAAACTGTCTTTGTGCCTTGACGGTCGCATGGGCCATCATGCATGAAGCATAAACTACTCGAGTTGACTTGGCGAAAAAAAAAAACATGTCTCATTTCCCCAATACTTCCGGGTAAGGGGACCGGTGCAACAATTGTCAGGTACATAAATAAAATATGAAAATATAATTTCATCAATACATAATATATATTTGCATATCCCGTTATTCACATTAGCTACATAACATGCAGGCGCGATTTCAGGATTTTTTTGCCAGAGGTGGTCACAAAATTTCAACAATGTAAGACGAATGTTTCGGAGAGGGTTGGTATTTAATAGTTTACTGGAGATGGAGATGTATCCAATCTTTACAGCCATTTTACCTTCCTATTAGCAAATATGGAAACTTGTCTAGATCTGCCAGCTGGTATAGCTTACAAAAAAAATATTCTACAATCATCACATGAAAAAAGTTGATAAAAATTTAAGATTTTATTAATAAGGACCCCTATGTAAAGTCTGATGAACTTAGTGGTACATCATATAAATAAATGTTTTTAATACACCTAAGACAGAGGTAAATGGTAAAACTCTGTAGCCAATACTTTAAAAAAAAAATTAATGTGCTTTGAAAATTTTTTATCACTATTTTGATATAGATGAAGTTGGACAATTTATATTGTGTCATTTAATACAAACCATTTCTTATTGTTTTTCTGATAACATCTGACAATTAATCATGTATGGCATTTCTGCAAGTGTTGAAGTTAATACAACATGTGACTTTATGCAATTTAGTCAGGCAGGACATCAGAAATTAGGTTGTGATTGAAAATTGGTTGTTTCGGGATATATCTATTTATTAAATATTCCGAAAATTTCTAATATGTAACTAGATTCTACATAAATTAATTATAATGTAAACAAATGATAAATTTTGTTCCTGATTTACATTTCCGCCTATTTGAACAATCCTGGCCACGCTTGATTGAGTTTGTGACTCAGGTGTACATCAAAAACGCCGCCAATCAAGACAGTCATCTGAAGTCACGTGACATGTAGAGAACGGTTAAGGGGAGACAACAACATACATGTTTAGGAATGCAATGGCGCGACCAAAATTGACACTATTTGTGTCATTTATTTTGGTTTTAATAATTAACGAATCTCTTGCAGCGAGAAACAGTAAGTTTATTTCACTTATTCAAGTTTATTGGTCGTTATTAAATTTACATTAAATGTCAGTATTATTATTCCTTTATCGTAATCATACCTGGATATTTTGAAAACACGGAAACAAGATGGCGGCTATATTTTAATCTACCCAGGTAAACAAGTGTCATGTCGTTTAAATCAGTTCGAAAGTCTTGAAATATAAATGTGTTAAAATGTTCAGCTCTTTCAATATGCAGATGCCATTTGCTAATATATTTCAAATGACATGTGTATTTATTCACCTGTACACATGGTTTACCTGAGTTTTATGCAAATTTGTCATTTCCTGTTTATTATATAAATAACAAGAAAAATGGAAACTTTAAAGAAACTGTAGGCTCCCCCCATCAGTTGTTTTTAGATTTTAAAGTGATTGATTTTCAAGTTTTTACTCGTACAGTACTTGGTCCAACACCTTTTATGAGGGTACATATAATTACTATATACTCAACATCTCTAATTCCGCGTCATCACCTATTTTATGTTAATGGCATATTTTTATGTGATCAGTGTTAAAATTGGTCAGAATTGAAATATTTTATTCATACACCTGAACAACAAAGTTTTGGTGCAAAATATTTTAAATCTCTAGATTTTTACGTAAAACAGAACAACATCTTACAAATTTCTGCAAATTAAATTTGTGCTTTAAGGTCTAAAACAATCATCATTTTCTTTATGTTCTTGTTTGTTGAAAAAATAAATTTTGAGTTACAAAGTAAAGACAGTTTTATTATTTAAAATTATGCAAAATAACATTTCTACAGAAATATTAACTGAAACAATAAAAACTGAAATGTAACACCATTTCTGTGATTTAATTAAATGATGACATGTTATTTTCAGAATGGCCGATATAATTTATGGTCTATGTTTGGTTGTTAATAAAACTGACTTTGACTGAATATTTTGTTGTTTTCTTGCGTCATACAGCAGAAAATACCTGTATGTTATAATCATGATTATGAGACATTTTGTACCATAAGTTTCATTTGTTGTTTTCTTTCTTGTTTCAAAGCGTTTAGTACCATGAACTAAGAGGAGCACAGTATATTATGATGATTGTATGGTTTCATTACTTGCCATCAGAGACTGATGAGTCAAAGTATTTGAAGTACAATCTTCTGGAATAGACCCCTATATCCATATTTTATGTAGTAATACACTAAAAATGTGGAATGTGCCTATTTACTCCTGGTTTAATTAGATCCTGGTATATCTTATCCAGGATATAGCCTGCAAACCAAGATTGGCTAGTGCTTCCCAGAATTCAGTGAATGGTATTGTCCAGATTGAAAGACTTATGATATTCAGTGTGGTTTAAGGTTTTAAGCGGATTAACTTAACCCTTGTGCTTGACATAATATACAGATCACCCTTTTTTCACTTTGTGGCATGACCCTTTTTGTGTCATTTATTTTGGTTTTAATAATAAACAAATCTATAGGGGCAAAGTTGTAAGGCAGGGGAGAAAAGTGAAATTGTAGTTTGTATAGTTATTATTTTTGTGAGTGGATTTTTTTTTGTAATAGATAAACTGCAAAAATTCACAGGAGGGAATTGGCACAATAGAAGCACTGCCACCAGTAGTTAAGGCAGGAAATGTTTGTAATGTTTGCATATAGTAAAACTTATAAGGTAAAGAGGCAGGGAAAACTTGACATCTTCTGATATATTCATAAAAAACTGGTTATTGTATGTTTACAGAGCAGCCATTCCAGTATCAAGAATGTAAATTAGATCACTCGATTGGTGTTGGTAAAGATAGTGTGACTGGTAATTCTCCAACTATACCTGATGGAAATCTCTGGGCATCAACATATACAACAGATAACAGGATGCCACATATGGCTCGTCTTGATGACCCAACTGGTATAATTACCTTATTTTTCTGTCTATAAGTAGTAGTGGCATATTGTAACTGTTTCTCATAACATTCATGTGAAGAAAAACAATAATTTTGTAAATGAACTCACTCTAAGGAAAAATCATAAAGATCTTATATGCATGTGTGATTGTATCTGAGAAATACTTTTTATCTTAGAAATACTAGAATACATTTTCTTTCTACTTCATTATTGTACAGTCCCTTCTGACATTTTTACAGAAATAAGAGCTAGATTAAGCTAAGATGTCTGAAACCATGAGGATAAGGATCATAGACGTCTTATAGCTGTGCAAGTTTGGTTCTATAATCTTCACTAACTTTATGTGCTTATCTAATGATACAATTTTTTTAAAGACAGAAAAAAAACCCACTAGAACTATGATCACTTAAGATACTGTGATTTGTATTATTTACTAGTCTCACTTATTAGAAATGTTGTGGTATGCTTCTGCTGATTCTCATATTTGGTATGCTTTTCTTCCAGGGGCATGGACAGCGTCTGTGCAGAACTCTATGCAGTATCTTGCTGTAGATCTTGGATCTACACATATTGTGACACGTGTTTACACTCAAGGCCGACAGGGAAGTGATGAATATGTCACAGAATTTACGATAGAGTTTTCCATGGACAATAAAACATGGGAGGAGTATACAAATGAATTTGGTTTAACTGAGGTAAGCTGGTTAAATTAATACCAAACATTGAAAGACTATAATATGTCCTATAAAAATTGTCATAACCTTCAAGGGCATTGGGAGTCTGTTGCCCTGTAGTTAAGGTCATTGACTTCAAACCACTTGCCCTCACCGTTGTGGGTTTGCCCACCAGGGACTTTGGCTACTCGATCCATGTGTAGAAGCAATCCAGCTAGTTTATTGGACATCATTGGTTCTACTCGGGTGCATGTTCATGCTTGAAATAATGCAGTGAATGGCACCTAGGGTTTTCCGCCACCAGTGAAGCTTGAGAGTTACTAGATGTAAAACCTAACCAAAACATATAATTAAATTAAAAACTGTATAATTAAATTTTTCTTTTCATTAAAAAAAAATAGAAACTATAAATATAATCAGATATCATAAGTATTAATATGAATTATTTAATTTACAGATATTTAGAGGCAATGATAATGGAAATGACGTTGAAAAGAACAACTTAATTTACCCAATAATTGCACGATATGTAAAGTTTAGACCTCAGAGATGGAATCAGTTTATTTCAATGAGAGTGGATGTAATAGGATGCAGATATTGTAAGTACACATGGTTTTCCTGTAACATTTCATTTGGTTCTACTCGTGCCCATTCATGCTTAAATAATGCATGGAGGGGCACCTATGTTCTTCCTCAAACATTTCATACCTCGCTAATTTCACGGGAGATCAAATTTTGAGATTCTGCATAGCTTAATGCAATTGGTAACTTCCCTGTTTAAAATTTGACATGGAGAGTCAAAAATAGAAAATTTTGAGTATTGTAACAACTTGATTTCTAGTATTGTGTGTTGAATAATGAACTTTTGCATAATCACACCACACCATATTTTTTAATTTAATTATTTTACATTCAACTTTTTTTACCTGAGCATGCAGTGGACTGGCTAATCATGGTCCCTAATTAACATCTTTTTGTCACTTTAAAAGTAAAATACAAGTTTTGGCAGTGTTATATTGGCTGTATTGTTTTTCATTTCTGTTGACATAAATTCTCAATTTTATTTTGATTTTCATTTCTGTTGACATAGTTACATTATCAATTTTATTTACAGTTTCTGAGCCTATTAAAGTTTCAAATGAGGGTTATGTTGTATACGACATGGCTGGGCTTGAATCATCACGATCCGAAGCAGACATGATTATTTTACGATTCCGAACAACTTTACAAGATGGAGTTCTCCTCTATGCTGATGGTAACCAGGGCGACTATATTGCCATTGAACTGAAACGAGGATATCTACATTTTAAAATAGATTTAGGTATGATGTAAATTTTGATATTTATATGAAAGAGTCATTCCTTATGCAATATGTAGGAATACCTAATTTATCCAAATATTCACTTTAAGGTATCTCGTTTGTCCATTAACACTGTTGGTTTTGAATCCCGCAAGGGACTCTTGAGTTCTTTCAAGTGAGGAAGCTATCCAGTTAGCGTACGGCATGTCATCCAGGTTCTACTCGTGCCCAATTCATGCCTTAAATAATGCATGGAGGGGCACCTATGTTCTTCCTCAACCAATAAAGCAGGTGGTTGAATATAACCTTTACAGTTTAATAAACCCCAATATAAAACTTCAATGTTTAATGTTTTAATGTAAAGATCAATCAAATCACCTCAAATATTCTATCCATCTATCTATGTGTCAGAGCTTGATATTACTTAGGCATTGTTTTCATCTTCTATTACAATATTATCTTTGGATACAGCACTAGTGTGTTATTTGATAAATTATTTGTGACAAGCTTTGTTATTTCCTTTAATTGTTTCAATACACAGGATTGTGACAATAGTAGTTGCCGCTACTGTCAACATATCAGAAATGTTATTAAGAGTCAGTATTATCTGTAATTATATATTAAAATTGAGCCGCGTCACGACAAAACCAACAAAGTGCGTTTGCGACCAGCATGGATCCAGACCAGCCTGCCCATCCGCACAGTCTGATCAGGATCCATGCTGTGCGCTATCAGTTTGTCTACTTGTAATAGGGTTGGTAAGCGAACAGCATGGATCCTGATCAGACTGTGCCGATAAGCAGGCTGGTCTGGATCCATGCTGGTCGCAAACCCATTATGTTGTTTTTATCATGAAGTGGCTCAAATGTTTTATTTAAACTTGAAAAAAACTACATATTCTGACCATGTTAATTTAAATACGATTGATAAGATTAAATAAGATGTCAAATAATATGGCTATAGGTTAGTAAGAGGTATGATGGGTAACATTATTTAAATTATTTTTTCTCAAACATTACCAGGATCGACACAGTCTGTATCTGGTGAGACAATTATTGTTGGAGGAAGTATGTTAGACGACGGGGAATGGCATGACGTTATATTTCAGAGAGACAGAATGCAGGCAAAACTTGTAGTTGACAGACTCGAGTCCGTATTTGAAACTAAAGGATTATTTTTCAGACTGGATCTTGATAAAAAGGTGAGACATTTAGTTCTTATGTTTGCCTGATTCATTTAGCCTTAGTTTTGGGTTTTGATATCTAACGCTTTAAACAGACAGATTTTAATGCCTCGACAATTATTGATAAATCTCTTTGTTTTGGATGTCTCAACATGGTTTTTACCACTTTCAGACCTTGTTCTTCTCTATAAAATTTTCAAAGAATACAAAGTTTCAAGAAAATATTAATATTAATGCTTTAAGCAGCATGCCCCCTGATTCATGCTAATTTCTATGAAAATTTTGAAAATGTGTTTGAATGTGTAATATTGTGAAGTAACCAAAAAGGGGGAATTTTAATTATAATACATAAGTTTTTTCAAACCCCTGTAAAAATTTGCAAAAAGTGTCAAAATATGCATGATGCCTTTTTTGCGTTGTAACCAGTGAAAATTGTTGTAATACGAAAAACAATCATTACACAAATAATATGTAAAATATTACTTGAATATTGAAACTTTTTACTTTTCCTTACATCTTAGTACATTCTTTTCAAGTTTGATTTTATTGACATAGTTTGACTCATCTGGAGGCATGTAGCTTTAACCTGCTGAATTTGAAATTGATATGTCATTGCCACCAGTATAGAGCCAGAAACATCTGAGTAGTCTGACCAGGCTCTATACTGTTGGTACTGTAGCAAAATTCTTGTATTATTGATATTGAATTCCATATTTGAATGAACTGTTTCAAAGTCAAAGCAAGGCTAATATCCATTATACAAATTCAGCAGTTGATGAGTTAATGAAGGGTTACAGAATAGATTTTGAATGAATGCATTATTTGTTCTGTGATCACACCTTGCTATTATTATGAGTTTAGTTTTTATAGTAGAAGATTAAAGCCAATTTTTCTCCATTGTTTATAGATATATCTGGGAGGTGTAGATACGTTCAACAAGAAGGGTTTAACAACACGCTATAACTTCAATGGGTGTATAGACTTTGTTAGATTTAACAGTATTAATATGATCCGAGATGTGAAGGCAAGCTCAGGTTTCCAGAGTCGCTTCCAGACAGTAGGACCTGTAGCATTTACCTGCCAGGTAATTTATTTATTCATTGATAAATAGTATATATCATCACCATAGTGCAATAACATAATATGTCCTTCTAGATTTAATAGAAGTTAATCAGTTATTGCACTTATGTGACAATATAGAGGATGTGAAATGAGAGTAGATTCAGTACTGATTTTATTAAACAAGTTTAATAAAATCATACTAAGCGAGTCTCTGGCAAGCAACATATTACTTAAAATTTAATAATGAACCTACATGGATATAAAATTCTATTTATCACATACCCAAAATAAAACGAAAAGGAATCATTTTTCATTGACATGCCTATAGTGTAATGCTAACATGTAGCACCTCCTTACACTATTTGTTTAACGTGGTTGAGTTTCCTACTCTAATCAAGAGGCCTGAAGTTCAAAACCTGGTCACCATCTGAGGATTTATCAGGCTTGCAATAAAAATATTATAGTACACAAACTTTGAGTGAACCGCATTTTATCAAACAAGGGAACACATAAAAGTCGTTCCATATCAAACTTACTAACAATAGATTATTATGTTAATGGATGACGCCATGTTAACTTTGTTCCATCGTAATATCTTGAAGTTGTGATGATTACCTTCTCAATATTAGTTTTCCATCTTTTAAAAAAAAGAAACAGAATAGCTTTTAAAATAACGAAAGCTCGCCGATGATTGGCTGTTTGAAAAGTCTCGAGAAGTGACTCCGTATTTGATGATGTTCAGATCTAAATGCAGAGCATTATTTAGAGCTGATTTTAATCAGATTTGTATTTTTCTTGCTCACATTTCATATGAATATAGATATGCAAAAACATACGCTTTAGCAATCAACAAAATTACATCTGTTTATATATTTTCTAGCTCAAAACTGAAATACCATGCACATACACTTCACAAGAATCCTACATCCTGGTTCCTGGCGTGGCATCATCTGGAGGTATTGTTAGAGCCTCATTTCAGTTCAGAACTCATGATGAGGATGGTCTGCTTCTCTATCATCAAATGAATGATCCCTCTGAAGTCAGGGTAAGTAAGAAAACTGGATACCAGTCTGAAGATACTCCTGCTTTTTGACAAGTAATTTTTTCAAAAGAAATTTAAGAAGTACCATTGGACTTCCCTTAAAACTGGTTCCAAGCACATTTCATTCAAAATGTAGTGCTCTGTTTACAATGTAGTAGAGGCATTTCATTATTGAATTGCACATTTGATTATTATACTTCAAAGTAGAAGGTCACTAGAGTGCATGGACCCCTTGAAAGCGGATCCTTTGCTTTACACCAACAACCCTAAACAGAGCTTCCTCTTTTATTATTGTCACAGGTTACTGGAAATTTACGTCTCTATACAGTAACCTATATCTAGATCAAATTTTATCTCTATGGCTTATACTCTTGCACTGTAAATCCAAATATTTTTTTTTAACATAAACTTCAAAGGGTAAAACTGGTGACATGTCCAAGGTCTGTAATCAATAGTGAAAGTTGCTTTCTTTGCCTTAAAAGGTGGATTTGGACCCTCATTAAACATATAATACATAGATGCTTTTTGTGCATATGCCACTGAGCATTCTATTAACTAAGGTACCTGGGGAATGATATCATAAATATTCAAACAAATATTCTAATATATTCTAATCATGTCGGGTAGCTTAATATAGCTATATACCTTGAAATTATTGTAAGATTATTTTCTATTACAGGTTAGGCTTGATAGAGATGGTTTTGTATATTACAAAGTCACTGACAAGGACAGGCAGATTGTAGAAGATGTAGTCAGAAACAGTAAGCTCACTTTAACAATTCCTGTATCAAAATATAAAGCATTTTCCTTGTGACAGGAACTTTAGAAACCTGAATCACTCATTCTAAAATTGTCAGATAAGATAAATTTTGTATTTATATCTGTCAGAACTTCATATTTACCTACGAATTGAATTAAAATATATGATTTACCTGTTACATTACTATATTTATTTCTTGAATTCAGCTTGGGGTGTTGCATTTCTTTTTCTTGTTAGGAAGTCCTCTAGCTGTCATAGATAAGTTGTTTTCAGGAACAAGTTCTTGTATTAATTTTTGCAAAAAGGAGCACATGTCTTATTTCACAAGTTTTTATATATCCAGTTCCTGTGTAATTTTTAATCAAACATAAAAAAATTATTGACAGTGATTTTATTGTGTAAATTGTATTAGTGCTGTTAATACGATTATTTATTGTATATTACAGTTGATATTGAGAGTGACACCCAGCAGTTTACTGATGGTCTCTGGCACAGTTTCAGTCTGTATATTGACTCTTCAAAAGTGAATGTTACAGTCGATAGAAACTCAAAGGTTTCACTTAGAACAATGTCAATCATAGCAGGATCGGATTATTTTATAGGTAAGATACTGGTAGCTGAGTGCAGGAAGCTAGGCCCTGTATTGCCAGTATGATGCCTGGCCTGAATGTCAGGGTAGTGTGTTTAGACTCTATTTTGTTTGTCTAATTTTTAATTTGTTGATGTCCCAATAGGCCTTTTCTACCATAGCCAATTTATAAAATTGGGGTAAAGATCTAAAAATTAAGCAGTAACCTAGTTATTGATATATTCATAGTTTAAAAGTATATTTCTTTATGGAGAGAATGTTGTTTTATCAAAGACTAACATAAAACTTGTCTAGTGTTTCAATGGAAATTTATTTATTATTTGAAGCAACATGGCTCCAGATTCATGCCATTTTCATGAAAGTGTTAAAAATGCATTTACAGTGAAATATTGTGAAATGAACATAAAAAAATTACTTAAGTAACAGCCATGACAATTGATTTAAATTACCAAAGTTTGAAAAGCACTTAATTTACATTGACTTATTTGTGATATTAGGTGGCTCTCAGATAGAATCTGGCTTTCGAGGATGTTTACGTAATATTGAAGTTGCTTCAGCGCCAGTAAATCTTGAAGCATTGGACAGTGGTAATGTTAACTTGGTCGCTATTGGTTCGTGTAAGATTCGAGACAGATGTACACCTAATCCCTGTGAACATAATGGCAGATGCGACCAAGACTGGAATAATTTCTACTGCGATTGTGATTCTACTGGTTATAAAGGCGCTGTGTGCCATATCTGTAAGTATTATGAGAGATTTTATCAATTGATCTGAATTTTACTGGTAGCAAAAGAAAGCAAACAAAAAAAGCATGTCAATACCAGATAAATATGAACAATAGTTTAATTAAACTCTACCGGTTTTGAACCAATCTGGTTCTTTATCTGAAATTTAGTTTTGTTTTGATTTCATTCTTAATTTCAGCTTCCTTTTTGGAACTGTTCTAAATCAGTTTTTGGGATTTAAAAAAATAAAAAATAATAATGGATAGCATATGTCAGTTTTACAAATGATTGCAGCAAAAACAAGAGAGAGACATTATCAATTAAGTGAAATTTATTTAATTAATAGTTTTGTTTTGATATCATTCTTAATTTCAGGTTCCTTTTCGGAACTGTCCTAAATCAGTTTTTGGGATTTAAAAAAAAATAAAATAATAATAATGGATAGCATATGTTAGTTTTACAAATGATTCCAGCAAAAACAAGAGAGAGAAATTATCAATTAAGTCTAAATATTCAGAAATATTGGCAAGTTTGTATGAAATAAGAATGATCGTTGAATATTTCAGCCTCCCATCAGTTATCATGTGTTTTACACAATATGTACACTATAATGGATGGACAAGAAGAAGTTACTGTGGACCCAGATGGTTCAGGACCTATTGACCCTTTCAATGTCATCTGTAATGGAAAAAGTAAGTTAACTTCTTATTGTACGTCCTTTCAGTGATGTAACTGACAGAGAGCTGGTTCCCTGTAATGATAATCATTATATATATAATATAATCATGTGCACAGCTGGTTCCCTGTAATGATAATCATCTATATATATCTGTGCACAGCTGGTTCCCTGTAATGATGTCTATATGTAACATTGTAAAGCTAGTTGTTGCCTAATATTATAATTATCAAGATACAACATTAAAACAGCTAGTCCCCTCGTTATAATAATTTGCCCTTGCATAACATTGCACAGCTGGTTTCTTTTAAAAAATTGTACTTCTGGTTCCCAGTTAAGATGACTGTCTTTGAGCAACTTCGATGACAAACTTTAAATATTAAAATAGTATTATTACGATTGCTGAAATTTGTTTGTTTGGTCTAAGTTCCCAGAAATAATGTTTCAGCATTGGTCATTCACATGGCAGGAATCAAACTAAATTCATAACAATGCAATGCGCATGTCCACTTTCGCTGCCATTTTGACCATTCCAAACTGGTCTAGCCACAGTAACGGAATGAGGTCACTTTAAATATTCAAATAGAGGACAATTTGGTCTTTATTTACTGTGACTAAGAATATCACCTAGGTGATGGATGTTACATTTTATGTAAATATATACTGCTAGTTTCCTTTATAACATTGTACAACTAATTCTCCTGTTATTATAAGTATCTTTACTTAACAATGGACTATTGGTTCCCCTGAATTGATTATTATATCTATATATTGTATAGCTGGTTCCCTGTATATCTATATATTTTATAGCTGGTTCCCTGTATCCTGTTGAGACTTGGATCCGACACAACAGTATGAGCCTGATTACAGTAAACGGGTTCCAGTCACCAGATTACTATGTACGTAAAATCGAGTACGAGACTGACCTTGCCGGGTTGACTGAGGTCATCGAGCGCTCTGACACTTGTGAACAAGAAATTGTATGGAGATGTAACAACTCTAGGCTGATGACGAGAGATGATACATCTAGTAAGTGAAATCTTATTTTGTCTTATACTGTTGTTTTATGACACTACAAATGGTCAGAGTTTGTTTGCTCTATAATTTTTGCCATGTTTACCATTAAGTAAAATGAATGTGTCAGAAACTGCTTTTCCCATTCCTATTTAAACTGAGATTAAGTTGTACTCCCAGTTTCAAAGTCTCAAGTCCCAAATAGAATTAGTATTTCAAATGACAACGCTGAATTGTTTGCTTTAAAAAATCATGTAGCCAAATTTTGATGGAACAATCTTCTGACCGAGTTCCTTGATTTGAAAAATAAAGGATAAATCATGATCAGACTTTGTTAACTCCCTTTATTAGATTAAAGTGAACAGTGACTTTTAACTAATGACCAGTGGCTGGTCTGATTATACAGGTGGTATAGACCGTGTATGTTTAAATTCAGAAGTTTGTGAATAATTGAGAAAAAAATCTCTTCTTCATAGACTTTCTATTTTTAGGCTTTTCAATTAAAAGATTCTCATACGAATACTTCATATTAAATATAATTCTACAGATGTTTACTCTCTCATATACAACAAATTAAAACAAATTAAATACATTTATATCTAACCCTTAATGTTGCATATAATTCAATCCATGATTTTTGTATGCTACTTATTTATTTGTAATTATTGTATGTGTATATAATGAATGGTTGATGATGATAAGCTGTAATTCTTAAATCTAAAATAAATTTTATGTTCTGTTCTGGTATAGACTTGCATGTATTCTTAAAGTGGAGAGAAGAACGACTAATATCTATCAAGAGTTGCATTATTAATGTTGTATATAAATGTTTGAATGTGTTTTATTTTTTCAGCTGCTGCCAGTGGGTTACAGAGAACGTATGGATACTGGGTGGGAAGAACATACCAGGTTTGTGAATACATTCTGTCTTAGAGTTATATATAGACAAAAGATCTTTGTGCGATGAAGATTGTATTGTTTAGCTTGTTTAACTCTTTGACTGCTAGTGGCAAGAGATTTTACCTGTGTGCATGTTACAAACCTAGATCAGTTAGTAGTTGAAATTTTCCTTTAAAATAAGAAATGATTTTGTCCAGATTAAAATATGGATAAGCATATTTATGAAATTGAGGGTGAAAAATGTTAAATCACTCTTCAGTCTAATATTTTAGTTACATTGTAAGTTAACAAAATTTCATTTTTGCTTTAATTGTGATGAAAACTTATAGCTTAGTTGAACTATCCTTGTAGCCTCTTCCTGGAACCGACCAATACTGGTGTGACATGAGAACCTGGTCATGACCAGTGCTGGTAACCACAGTAAGGTTGGACTCTGAGATAAAATGCCAGAAAATTGTTAATAAACATACAGACTACAATATACAGATTGTTAATTTATTGGAATGACCAACAGCCAAGTATATGCTTCCCAAATGATGATTTAGGAACTAGTAAGATGAATTGGGACTTTGATCTGTTCATATTTTGATGGAATTGATGCATCTGAAACATTGTCTAATATTTAAGTTAGATAAAAAAAAACACCAGAGAACCAGCTGTAAAAGGATATTGTTAATGCCATTATTTACTAGTATTTTACAACTTCTACTCTAGGACATGCACTACTGGGGAGGAGCTGCACCAGGGACGTACAAGTGTGCTTGTGGGCTTACAGAAGAGGGCTGTGATTTACAGAGTACGACATGTAACTGTGACTCCGGTGGTCAGACGTCAGATACAGGACTGTTGATGCACAAAGATTATCTCCCTGTAATGGAGCTACATTTTGGTGATACAGGATCACTGACTGATAATAAAGTCGGGCAGCATCAAGTGAAAGAACTTAAATGTTTCGGTGACAGTAAGTACTTGTTTGTTTAAAGTCACAAATTCAGTAGTAATAAATACAAACTTTGATATACAGTAGAACTTCTATATGTCAAACTTTAATTAGTTGATTTTCTCCATATGTCCAAGTAAAAAAAAAAGTCACAATTTTACGTCCTATATAATCTCAATGAAAACCTAAAATCGCATGGAACATATATATGTATATATTGTTATCTGGTTAAGTTAATGCCCTTTGTTTAGGTTACACCACTTGTAATCAACTTTTTAAATGTCAAGGACTTGAAATTATGACTGTAAATTGAGCTTGATAAAGAATCAGAATCCCAGTCAGAATCCCAGTATATAGAAGTTTTATGCAAGTCCCTTCAAAATTGACTTTTGGAAGTTCTACTTCATATATTCATAGATTTTTCAATGGCCTATTGGTTCAGGGTTGAATCTTGAACATGTAAATAAGCTGCGCTTGCAGGCAAACTGTTGTTCAGACATCTCAAACTTTGAACATGTATAATGTGCAAAGGGGCATTTTGGGAATCTCTATTACCTGTTTTTACTGGAAGATGACCACATGACTATCACAGGTTATATTGACATGCAGGCTGACCTAACTGATGTATAAGTGGATATTTCCGTGTGTCAAAAAGTTGTCAAATTAAAAATTTCACAAATCATGCAAGAGTAAAATTAAATGACAGGTTGGGAGACTATTATGCTAGAGAAAATTTTAGCAATTTTCGTTGATTCACAAAATTCAGCAATATTTCCGCGTCGCTAACTTAACCACTTATACAGTATATTTATCAAGTAATTATTGCTACCACCATTCAGAACGGTTAATTACTTTCTTCTTTCAGATCTTCTAGACAATGTGATTACATTTAGGAAAGCTGATGCTACGTTGGAGTTTGCGACATTTGAAGGTGATAAAGCTGGTGATATCTGGTTCCAGTTTAAGACTACAGCTACCGACGGTGTAATGATACATGATACCGGAGATACGGAGAATGATTTTATACAGATTAGAATGATCAGTGAGTACAGTTTATTAGTACAGTTTATCACATAAACTGCGGCGCAGGAGTGTAATAAAGCTGTTAAAGAAAAACGATATGACACTAGTGTTAAAACACTTTGAAGTGACGTCATTTGCGCTATATATAAACCAAGCATTAAAGCACGCTATATTAGTGTTACACCAAAGGCGTCATTGAAAAATTACTCTTGTTAACAGATTAACGTTCTTATTTTAAATATGTGATAAGTAGAATGATTTGTGTAGATTCAATACTAAATTTATTGAACTCATTGAATAAAACAATATTATCCTATCAGAGGCTCACATAATATGATTTTATTAGATTCTTTCAATAAATTCAGAATTAAACCTACACTCATTCAATATCCTCTATTTATTTGTCCACACTCTTTATCGAGCATTTGATATATTTTCTCACAAATGCTTGTTTGAGCTTCTTTGAAAAAAGTGTCACAATTAAATGTCAAAAAGTTTACAACACAGGTTTAAAACTAGATGGTTCATCAGTTATAACTGGCTCACACAAATACCCGCTAATTAAAATGTTGTCACTTTCTTTCATGCTATAGAGTATAGTTTCAAACCATTTCTAGGTTTTATTTTTTACATGTGGTCGGTAGCTTTAATTTCAAAACATGGAAGGAATACATATCTCTGTAAAAAAAATTTTATTGTTGCAGAGTGATCATAATCTAAAAAATTTTTAAAATATAAAAATTGTCTGTTCATCATTTTACTATGGTTAAGTAGGTATACTGTAAAAACTGTGCTTAGAAGGTTTTTCTCTTATAGAAACTTGGGGATTTCAGGTCTTCAAAATGGCTTTTTTATATTAAGAAAAAAGAACTCTTTTATCTGTTTTCTTAAAATACATTTAATGTTTGTTTCATGCCAAATTTCCTGGTATTAAAAATAAAGAGGTTAAAAATCTTTTAATAAATCTGGTATTTTATAGATGGAGACACGATTCAGTTCCGGTACAACGTTGGTAACGGTATTCAGGTACTCGAGTACAGAACCATCAACACTCTAAACAACGATATTTGGCATACAGTTCACATAGAACGTAATCGTAAACAGGCATGGCTCCGTGTTGATAACTTCCCGGAGGAGGTGCGTAACGAGCCCCAGGATGAGATTACTCGTCTGATGGACCTGACTAAACCTCTGACCGTTGGTGCTGCGGTAGATCACAGAGATGGTTTTGTCGGATGTATGAGAGGTTTAAGAGTAAATGGTGTTTTGATGGACATGAGAGGGGCCGTCAGAAAGGGCCAGTTTACTTATGGTGTACAGGAAGGTAAGTTTAATCTAAAATAAACTTTTAATAAAGATTGAAATTACCAAGCAGTTAGATTTAGTTAATTATAAAGTAAAATGGAATTTTTACGGAACGTCGGTGGTTCTGCTCAGGTGCCCATTCGTGCCTGAAATAATATACGGAAGGGCGCCTGGGGTCTTCCTCCACCAGTAAAACAGGAACGTCGCCAAATTACCTATACTGTGTCGGTGTGACGTAAAACCCAATCAAACAAACAAACAAACAAATGGAATTTTAGTGACTTCCTATTACTAAATTTTAAAATATGTAACTATATATGACTACAGTTATGATTATTGTGCAGCAGTTATTGTTCAGAAAATATTTAATTCATGATGTTTATAATATGATTAAATATTCCAGTAAATAGCTGTACAACAGGTACTTAATTTTACTGAACTTGATTTCATCAGTTTGCCTAAATATTCACATGTTAATATGTATTTATAGAGTAAATCGAACTCATTATAAATGTATTAATGATAAATGTATTGAAATTTAAAGATGAATTATTATAAATATTTATTAACCTTTTGAGTAAAATATCTTGTAGGATGTGTTGGTAAATGTTCCAGTAACCCGTGTTTTAACCAAGGTACATGTAGGGAAGGTTATTCACATTATACCTGTGACTGCGCCTACACACCTTTTAGAGGATGGATGTGTTTTAGAGGTAAGATAACTTGTCATTGATCATGTCTACTAGTATATTAGTGTATACTATTAGTTTAATTTTAATCTTATGTCAATATAATATGATTAGTGAACTACATTTATTGAGTCAAATTTGATTTGACTGTTAAACATTACTTATGGGCCGTTCTTGGCTGAGGGGTTAAGGTCATTGACTTCAAACCACTTGCCCCTCATTGGTGTTGGTTGGATTTTCCACAGGTTACTAAATTCTTACATGTGAGAAGGCTATCCTGTTACCTTAGGAAACTCCAGTGGTCGTACTCAGGGTGCATTTTCAGGCCTGAAATTATGCCTGGATGGGCAACTGAGGTCTTTCTCTACCAGTAAAATTTGAAAGTCGCAATATTACCTATACTGTGTTTATGCAAACACAACCAAATGCAAAAAAAGCAACAAAAAACATCTTTATTAGAGATTGAAAATCCAAGTACCCAATCATAGTTTCACTGTTTAAGTATAGGGTCATAAAATTGAAACTACAGTACTCTTTTTACGTTTTGTTAAAAAAAAAATGTGGCATTTCGTTTGTCATGAATAAAATTATAATGAAGTAAAATAATTCAGAATTTCTAAGATATATCTTTACCATAGAAATATATTTTATGCATATTCCTTGGAAATGGATTTTATTTAACAGAAGACAGAGTTAGGTACTTGGTATATATGTATGTAAGGTATGTAAACTATTAATTTCTATTTGACAGAGGTGGGTGTAAACATGCAGACTAACTACATGATCCAATATGAGTTTGATGACAAGCAAGGTCTCTCGGCCACAGATTTTATGTACATCAGGGTGGGTTTTATCACCAAGAAGAAACAAGGTATTCTAATACAGCTGAGGAATGAGAAAAACACAGAATATATCTCACTGGAGATGAACAACAATGGTAAATGTACATTTTTTTACGATCATGTTACTGGAAAGAATGTTAGAGTCCAGTTAAGTTCCCATTTAGGTAAGGGCCTTGCATGTTAACTTAATGAACTCTTTAAAAGTACTTTGTGGAATAGTAGGGTAGTGTTTGAATAGTTGGCAAAACAGTTTCCACAGGCCATTGCCATGTCTTGGATATACATTTAGTTAAAACTGAGACATAACTTATCAAACTGAAAATAGAAAACTTTTGACTATCTCAAGTATAATATGGTAAACAAAGGTGTGAAATTTGATAAAAATATCCAAAACAGAAAATTGCTATTTCATCAGTTTTGAATAATTACAATATCTATAGAGAATAAATTTTAATGGGCTCAATTTTTACTCACACTTTAGTTAATAAAGTCTTATTTTCAGTTAAGTGTTTCATTAATGAAAAGAGGCCTCTGTGGCTGAGTGGATGAAATAACTAATCTTGAACCACACATTCCTTAATGCATTTAGTTCAAATCCCAGTAGGGACTTCTGATTCTGTCCTATAATGAAGCTCTCCATCGAGCTTTAGGAAGATCGTTGGTTCTACTTTTGGTGCCCACTCAAACATGACAAAATACACAAAATGCCACCTGAGATCTTCATTCTCTAGTAAAGCTTGATAATCATTATATGACCTTAGTGGTGATGGTGTGACTTTAAACATACATCTTGCAAACATATTTAATATCATTGTAATCTATTCTGTGTAAAGGTGGTGTCAAGTTTTTCCTGGATGTCGGTTTTGAAAGATTTGAAGTGAACACAGATGTAAACAATATAGATTTGACCAATGGTCAAGCTCATGAGGTCATCCTGAGGAGAGAACAGAATGGCAGAAAGGTCTATCTACAGGTAAATCCTTCTTTCATACCTATATTTGTTAAAGGAGAAAAATTCTTGCTGTCAAAAAACATAAGTCTTCAGTCATTCATTATATTATGGTTTTGAATCCAAAACGTGGGAATTTGTTCAACCAACATATCAAAATATTGTGAAACTACCTAGGTACTTTTTTCAGAAATATAACATTTAAAGGTAAAAAATGGTGTTTTTATCCATCCTGTTGCATTGTCTATCTTGATGGTATTTTGAGCTCAAGTAATTGCTAAAGCAAGACAAAACCTTTCATGCTAAAGGAGGTCAATAAAATACAGGTTGAGGCGTATTCACATTGTGTCTGTAACACAATACTCTGTATCATCATGTCATAAAGCAACGTAGTGGTCAAGTTATATAGCAGATGACCTTTGCGGGCATGTTAGCTGCCTAAGTGGCAGCATGGTATAGTGGTTAACATGTCATATTAGTAATCTAATATTGCTAGCTGCATAGGTAAAAAGCCTGCAGGGGCAAGTCATTGTTTCCTTACACTCTTTGCTCAGTACTGATTGGTTCCAGGACGGGTAAGAAAGTGTGTCTATAAGCTTATAGCTTCCTACATAAACAAAATATAAACCAAGTTATCTGCCTCTCAGCCCAAGTATTGTGACTGACTAATGACAAAGTTTATTGTAAGGATAGTAATTAATATAAGTTACAATAACATTTCACAATTGAACAATTATACTTTAGTATAATCATGATATGACGTGACTATTTTCCTGTATTTTTTCTAGGTTGACAATTATGCAGTAGCAACAGGAAATCTTGGAGAGAAAATTAGTGACACCATTCTGGATGATCCAAAATATCTTTTTATTGGAAATAATGGTAAACTTCATTTATTTGTCTTACTGAATATATGATATTATAGTAAACATTTTGTAATTTGAACACAAGAAATAAACACTGTTTAGCATGTATTGCTTAAAGAACTTGATAGGAAAAGAAAACATTTTTAAAAGGAATTTCATCTTGAGTTCGGAAATCAGAATGTTTGAATCAATATTTCTTGTCTGGAGTCAACTTTTGGAAATATTAATATGTCATATCAGGGAAGTAAGAATAAAACAATAGTCAGGTTGTCTGACCTGGATGGTGATTTTTGGCTCCAAATGACATCCATACACTATCCCTCATGTACATACCCAATCAAACTGAGTCTGCAATTTTCATGTAATTTTGTTGTGATTAATGCTTCTGAGGGATCACTTTGTTTCCAGATTTTTAGGTGTTAAACTATTTTGCTATGGCTTAACCTCAGTTAGATGAGGTGTGGTATCTCCTCAATATTTATAATGTATAATTATCTATATTTATATGTGTAAGTTATCTATAGTAAAGTATGTAATTATCTATAGTAAAGTATGTAATTATCTATAGTAAGATATGTAATGATCTATGTTTGTACTATTATCTTGGGTTCCTTTAGATACTGAGAACACTGGTAAAGGATTTGAAGGCTGTATTTATCGTATGCAGATTGACAACATCTATCCTCTGAAGAGAGCATTCCAGGATCCAAGACCCTCTTTCATCCGACCTGTACCAGAAGGTAATAACATATATACAATATTACATAAAGGTTGCCATTAATAGTGCCTCTATTACTGTCTGAGGGAAGTCCTGATTTCCAAAAAACACTGTTGAAAAGTATATAATGTGAAAAAGATTGGGAATTTGTTAATTAATCAAAGTAAAAACTCTTTAAAAATCCATTTTGGATACAGAAAATCAGTATAGTTACAAGTGATTAAGGCTCCCACGTTTACAATTTTTTGTAAACGTTTACACGACTGCTGAGAACCGAAACGATACCGTTTAAACGGTGGTACCTCTATGTACTATACACACCATGTATTTGAGTCGCCAAATGATGTCTTTCTTTCTATTTTTAATACATGTACAAATAAAGAATGTGCAAGGCTCATCACGATTGAGTCAGCACACATTTTTTGCATTGTAACCCCATTTTTTACCAAAAATGTATTATGTCACGAGCAATTTTGCACGGTAATGCTGTGTGGAGGGTTGTAAACACCCATTTTCCGTTTGTTTACTTTGGAATAAACCACTAGAATTGATAAAATCCATGATTACAGGCAATGATTAAGAAATTTTGTAAGACAATATGGTCATTTCGATTAAACGGTAAACAATATCGTAAACGTTTATGAATGAAAATCGAAACGAATCCGTTTAAACGTGTAATCGTGGGGGCCTTACAAGTGATATTTGTGTTAAACTTTAAAACGAAACAACAAAAGCAGTAAGAGTATTTAATTAAGTATCTTGAAGGGAGTAAAACATGTTTTAATGCGTATGATTTGTTTTAAAATGTATTATGTAATAATAGTCTCTTCACAGACAGGTTTTTGAAGGATTACAATAATTGTTAATAAGACAGGTAATGTATTGTAATAGCAACAAGTTGTCATGGAAACATGACCTATTACATTTTCTTAAAGTTTTTATGTATGCCGAACTTATTTGGCAAATGGGCAAAAAAAATTATGCTCCTGGTCATCTGTCTGTCTGAATATGAATTGGTAATTTCTTGTCAGCCCTATAAGTTGTGAATGGCATGAGGGGTGTGTTCATGATACATTGTTCAAATGTTGATCTTATTAAAATAATCTCATTACGCAGTTACTTGTTTGAGACAAATTGATTTAACCCCCTCTTTTTTTTATTGGAAAATTATTCCTTATAAAAGTTTGCATTCAGACATATTTATATAACCCCACTTCACACAATGCGTGTGTTGAAAATATTTATTGTGTCTTTGGCTAATTAAGAAAGAAAGACTTGCAGATATACAAAATTGTTTATAATTATTTATTTGTTTATAATTGATGTGTATGACATGTACAGTTTTGTTGCACCAATGTGTTACAGTTAACTTGGACCAATGATTGGTTGAAATTTTGTTCAGTTTTGTATATTTTTCTTAATATATATGTTTAACTTGTTCAATGTTGATTATAAATATGACATTAGCTGACTTTGAAATGCATCATTCTACTGCCTTGAATTATATTTTAGATATGTTGGGAGTTCTTGTATAATCATTGTGTGTTGCATTTAATCTTTGACTTTTAGGTCAAGACTTTTATTAGAAGTTAGTGTTTTGATAAACTGTTAATATGGGAAATGGTGCAATTGAAATATTTTGAGTTTGTTCTATTTTATTTTCTTAATATTTTGTGTACCATGTAACTTCTTTCTAAGAGAAATTGAAATAGTTTTAGCTAAATAGAGAATGAAAGTTTCATGACATTATTTGATGGCAAATTTTTCAGACCAAATTCGTGAAGATATGTGTGGTTTTGAGGAGATAACTCGTGAACCTGACCCAATCGAGGTCCGTCCATATGGACCGACATACGTGAACCTTACGTTACCACCCCCGCCAGCAGACAGGTCACAAGAACAACAACTTATTGTTGGAGGTAATTACACGTACAGTATACAATAAAGAATATTTTGTAACTTTTGTCACCATGGTTATAACTTGTATGACTTTCAGAAGCTATAGTTGAGGACATGTGCGGGTTTGAAGAAGTTACGAGGCCGTCTGATCCGCTTGAGCAGCGGCCATGGTTACCGAGCTATGTTAACATTACGGCACCTCCACCAATAGAAGATAGGTCGCAGGAAGACCAACTTATTGTAGGAGGTATCCCTCGTGTACAAAAATCCGGAAAAGAAAAACTCACACATATATATAATCTAGAAAAGAAACTCACTAAATTCGTTGGAGATGATGATATTATTGTTTGTTTTCAGCTTTCTTGGAGAAAGAATTATAATTGTAGATAAATTTGCATGCTGCTGGTTGTGTAATGTTTGTCATTTGTGTCATATGTCTGGAAGCGCTATAAATGCATGTTCTTCTGTTTGACAGTATATCAGATCATGGGTCGTTTTTGTCTGCTCGGAGTTAATGCTCACTTAGATAAAACAAGTTTGCTTCACTTAAGAAATCGCTTAACAAAATTTGACCCTCCAGTTAAAATCCTGAGGGTCAAATAAGGCCTTTTGGAAATTTGAAGGGTCAAAGAGTCATTTCAAGGGTCAAACGGACATTTTATGTCTCATTTTAAGAATACTGGCCATCCATTTAATCGTATTTGATTTAGCTGTTTTAAAAAAAATGTCTTAAGAGTTTATTAGGTAGCTCGATGGCTTAAATACAATAGTAGGTCCTTTATTGAAAAATATTTAAAAGCATTGGTTAATATGGAATCTTACAAAACTTTGGGAAACTTCTGCTCTACTTGTATGTGCATGCCCTGAAACTATTGAAAAAAGCTAAATACAATTTTAAATAATGCTTGATAGTGCATATACATAACATATAACACTCTGATGTTGAATATAATATTTCAAGGATATTTTTCCAATATTTTAATGTGCTATTGTATGGGGGGATTTCACATAATTTTGTCATTCAACAAATACATGGTTTCATCAAATTTTTTCAAGTTTTTAATTGTGTGGTTATGGTAGTAAGGAATGGATGCGGATAGAACTGGGCAAAAATGCTTTTTCAGGTTAATGGTGGTTAATGGTTAAGAAACTTAATTGAAAATCAGTCTTGAATACTAGCATTTGATTGGTTGTCTCCCATTTCATAGATTTGAAATTGACCAATCATATAGCTCCATTTCTAGACTTGTTTTCAATGATAGTTTTAAAAATAGGCTGGACATAGGTTTATAGATACAAAATAATGTTTGTCTGATAAGGAAGTTCTGCACATTTTAATTATGATACAACATCAATGATAAAATAATATTTCATAGATTGGCAATTGTTTCTAATTAAATGAAAATCAAATAAATTTGGCTAATTGAAGTAAATAAATTATGATAATAAGTATTAGTGTTTTAAAGACTTAATTATGAAGTGTTAAAAGTACATGTGTAAATTTTATGTCAAAAGTTAATCACTAATCAAGTAGAAAAGTGAAATCTATTTGCAAACCACATTTGAAAAGATAGAAATCTTTAATCTGTTTGTAACATTTCTGAAAAACTATCTGTAATCAAAATTTCATGTGTTTGACCGAATGTGCATAGCTACCTTATAAGGAGAAGAATTGTATAAGTGTATTAAGATTACAAATTTATATTAAATCCATAATGCTTTTGTCTTTCTTAAATTTCATAACTATTATTGCCTAGAGTATTTATTTTCTTTTGATTCCTATTTGACTTACAGTTAATATTTTCTTTTCCATGTAACACTGCATAATTCTTTAATAACTTTCAAGTGTATATATAATTATATTTTTTGCAGTGCTTAAATTACTTTATGTTGTCTTATTATGACCAGAGAATTCAAAACAACAAGATTTATGTGATGATTATATATTTTGAATGGTCTTTGCCTGTGTAATTTTTTAAAATAGGGGTTTTATACTAACAATAATTATATATTCTATAAAGGATGTTGGAGAAAAGTGACCTTATGCTCTCAACTCTGGACAGTAGGTCCACGTCTTACTGATGTCTGGTTCATATCACAATTTTTTACATGACACAAATAATTGCAATTTATGAGAAAGCAAATTATAAATTTGTGAATCATGAATTTACCTTTATCTTGATTTACATATGGTTCTGTTTTTCTAACTTGAAAGAAATTATACAAGCTCAAGTTCTAAGTCAGTTAGACAGCTGTTAATTTCTGTCTCTATATTTTATTACCTTTATTTATGATTGTTGTAAAAACATAGAATAAAGTGACATATACTGCCTCATATTGGATTAATTTTGAATTGATAATTTGACCTCTTGTTTGAAACTATACATAACAAATTAATGTGGGACGCAATTTCAGAAAATATTAATATATAATTTTATCAGAAATAACATGGTTAGATTAACAAGGATATAATTTCAGAATTGTCACATGCTGCAATAAAACAGTGGCATACATTCATTTATGATTTAGTATATGACTATAATTATGTAGATTCAGAAGGTAGAGGAGGGTTCACAGCTGCTAAAATATACTGATGTTTTTGTATCATTTAAATTTTGAAGGAGTTGAATGTTAAAAAAAAATGGGTTTACTTTAAATGGTACCTTTGAGGTTATGGTTAGTCTATACAATATATAGTATAGAGACAGGCTCACATACAAATCTATAATGTGTGATCAAACTCTATATTGTCAGCTGAACAATTTTAACATATTGTCACCTTAGTGCAATAACATGTTAACTCCCATTTAATTTATAAGGAGTTCATCTGTTGCTGCACTAAGGTAATGATACAGCAATGGCGGGTACAGAATATACCCATATGATTAGTTCAGAGTTCAGTCCAAGAACAGCCGGCATGTCAGTGCCATGTGATCATGGTCAGCACTATTCCTCACTCAGTCAGTACGATTTTGGAAAAAAAATCTTAATATGATGAATGGCTTTGGTCAGATTGAAAGATACACAGGTTCATTTAAGATATCAAGGGTAGTCAAGGTTACTAATGACAACCACCAAACTTGCACTAGACAGTTTACATTTCAATGTAGGGTATTGTAATAAGTTCCGTGTAATAAGAAAATTAAAAATTGTAGTGCTATAGAAAAGAGTAAAATATTAGAATAAATTGTGACAGATAATGTAAACCAAAATGATGATTATATTTCAGTTACCGTGGCAGCCGCGTTCCTCATCTTTATCATCATACTAATGATATTCTTCATCTACTTCCGACAAAAAGGTGATTACGAGACAAAGGAGGCCAAAGGTCAAGAAAATGCGGACAATCCCGATGCAGCTATTGTGTTCGGACAAACCGGTGTTCCAGACATTCAGAAACGGCAAGAATGGTTTATGTAGCATTATATCTTGATGGTCGTACCTCGTTTTTAAAACATTGCATGTTTATATGTAAATAATAGAACTTTAGAAGTGAAATATGTAGAAAGAAAATGTGTATAACAGAAGATATTTACACACAAAATCAGATCTAATATGTTTTTGTAATAATGTGATATTTGTTTTGTGTTGGAAAATTGTGTATTAAATACATAAAGTGCTGGGCATATTGTGAAGGTTTTAATGTGTTATTTCTTATAACATAATTTAACAGTAAATTTTCTAGATTTTATCAGTTTTAAAAAAAATGATATGCATTGCTTTTTTGGCAGTTTCAGAGCCAAGTAAATAATAATTTTAAATGTAATTGGATATTTAAACTGAAATATTTCTATGATATACCAGATATTATTCCTAATCTTCATTTTTACATATGATTTAAATAAAAAAAATTAACATATCACTTACAGTGGTTGTGAATGGTAGATTTTTATAAAGCATATGCTCAAGAATCAGTTGTCTAAAATATTTGAAATGTTTAATTTTTACATGTGAATACTGTACATTCCTAGTAAGATGGTTGTCAGAGGTGGTGTCTGTTTTTAAATAATTTGTATATATTAGTAAATAGCAATATATATATATTTTTTTATATATCAAAATGTCCTCTTCGAAAGGTTGTGAAATGTAACATATCATTCTTGTTGTATTGTCTGTAATATATATATGTGTGTAAATCCAGGTGATGTGCAAGAAATTTTGAGTTCAGTAAATAATTTTGTTAAAACACAGCTCGTTTTTGGCAATTTTTAGCAAACAAATTCTAGGAAATGACAAATACCTTATTTCAAATTGACATGTGGTTGTTTAAAGCATTGTGTTAAAATTCTTTTAAAACTGCACATATACAATATTCTGTTTTAATTATTTCTTGAATGCAAAGCTGTTAAGTAAAACCTTATTTAGAAAAGAAAAATTCCTTAAGACAAACAGGTTATTTAGTCATTTTAGCTACTAGTAATGTAGTGATAATTGAAATAAAAAATTTCAAGGATAGAATTTTGCAATTCTTATTGTTGGAAATTTTTATAATTTTTTTTTGTTTGATGTTGTTAACGCAAAATATCATTTTTTCTTGCATGTCATTTCCTTGACACATAAAATCATTGTAAATAGTGCTGTATGTTAAACCTCATAATATTTAGATAATTTTTACATATCCTTATTATGTATATATTTTATTTTGTATATAATAACATTTTTTATACACCAAGTCATTCCGAGCTCGTTAGATTACCACATATCATGTATAGAAACATATCCTTGATTCTTGTAAATGCATTGAAACCAAGAAAATACAAATGTATCATCATTTTATACATCATATACCCAGTCCAGAAACACCGCTCTCATTCTCATATTTTTTATATTATAAAGATAATGAAAACAGATTATTGTTGTTTTTCCTCTTCCCTTCCATTTTATATAACATGTATATTGGTTTATACAGAAATTATTTTAGTTTGATTGTGTAAGAAGCTATAAGCTTATAGACACACTTTTGAATCCGTTCCTGCAACCAACCAGTACTGAGCAATAAGTGTAAAGTTTCTTTCTCAAGAAAACAATGGCTTGCCCCTGACAGGGTTTTGAACCTGCTCGGCTAGCGATCCATAGATTACTAGTCCCACGCCTTAACCACTTGGCTATGCCACCACTCTTGTACATTACAACTTGTACAGTGCAACATCCTTTGATAGATAAATATTTTGGTTGTCCACCTGAGAAGTGTTGTTCTGAAGAGGTTGGTATTATTGTCTTACTGTTGGAAGAATGATTCTGTTTGTAGAGGTCCTCTACATAGAGGTTTTACTTCAATAATTCAGATCATATACGAGTCCCATTAGGATGCATAAATCTTCCTTTTAGTAAATCCGTCCCAAAATTTTATATGACCTATTTTACAGCAAACACTAACTTGAATTCAAAGAAATGTTATAAAAAGCCTGACCATTAGTGTACATATAAAGCAGCATGATTTGATACAAAGATTATTCTGAAGTGAAAGCCCCTTTTAAAGCTCCATGCCTTCAGTTTAGCCAATATATTTCGTGAAAATCTAGAGAAAAATGTACTTTGATTTTAAGAAAAGTAAAATGATTTAAGATTCAAGTAATAATTTACATGTTGGGTGATTAATGACTTCTATGCTTCCCATCTGGGACGTACGATAACGTATCGTATGTCCCAGTTCCCATTTCAAAGAAAAAATGTTGGAATCTAGGAAAGACAAAAAGTATTATCCATTTTGTGGTCAATTTTATTATCACATAAGAGTCCATATTCAAATCCAAAGGTTTTTATTATTTTGCCCCACAAAAAGGGAAGGCATATAGCTTTTGTAGTGTTTGAATGCCCTTCCGTGCAAATTTTGTCCCGTTCATTTATGGATTATAGAAATTTTGTAGAAATGTGTTGTGTTCAACATCTAGGTCTGAAACTCAAAAGTCAAGGTAGAAGTGACTTCAAGCTCACAGATTGTCTGTGTGAAAGGTCACCAGAAATGACTTTATATTTGGTCACAGTCGGATGTAAAAGCGGAGCGTTATTTAGAGCTGATTTTAATCAAATTGCAAATTGTAGCTAAAATCAAGCAAACTTTGAATATTTGTCATTTATGAGTGAAGGTCAAGTTACGTCTGGTCAACTTTAAGGTTATGTCCAAAGGGATGTTGTGTCCAAGTATGAATGCAATCCAGTGAAAAATTAACAAATTATGGCCAATATTAAAAGTTTTTGGACAACAACATGACTCCGAAGAAGAGGAGCTAATAAAAATGGTCTCTGGTGTTCATGTATGAACAACAATTCGATCATTGATGGATGGATTTAAAAATTTATATATCCATAAGTGTGTTGGACATAATGATGATGTGTTGCATGCAAGAATCGAGTTCCTACTTCAAAGGTCAAGATAACACTTGTAGATCAAAAGTCATGATATGAATTTGTGTGTCTCCTTGAAAAAGTCGACATATAGGGGTTATTTTATGACACTTAGGCTTGTCCGGAGCATAACTCACTTTAAGTTGGATTGACTCCAAACTTGGTATGCATGCTTCTTTCAATGACACAAAGTGCAGTGCACAAGAATAATTACCCTTGCACTTCTTATTTTTAGCTCACCTGTCACAAAGTGACAGGGTGACCTTTTGTGATCGCTTTTCGTCCGGCGTCCGTCCGTCCGTAAACTTTTACTTTAAATGACATCTCCTCATAAACCACTAAGCCAATTTCATCCAAACTTCACAGGAATGTTCCTTTGGTGGTCACGTTTAAAAATTGTTCAAAGAATTTAATTCCATGCAGAACTCTGGTTGCCATGGCAACCGAAAGAAAAAACTTTAAATATCTTCTTTTAAAAAACCCTAAGAGCTAGAGCTTAGATATTTGGCATGAAACATCTTCTAGTGAGTGTCTACCAAGTGTGTTAAAATAAAAGCCCTGGGGTCAAAATTGGCCCAGCCCCGGGGGGTCATTGATTTTCCCTATATGCATATAGTAAAAACTTAAAAAATCTTCTTTTAAAGAACCCAAAGAGCTAGAGCTAAGATATTTAGCATGAAACATGTTCTAATGGGTGTCTACCAAGTTTTCACAAATAAAAGCCCTGGGGTCAAAATTGGCCCCGCCCCGGGGGGTCATTGATTTTCCCTATCTGCATATTGTAAAAACTTAAAAAATCTTCTTTTAAAGAACTCAAAGAGCTATGGCTAAGATATTGAGCATCAAACATGTTCTAATAGGTGTCTACCAAGTTTGTTCAAATAAAAGCCCTGGGGTCAAAATTGGCTCCGCCCCAGGGGGTCATTGATTTGCCCTATATGCATATAGTAAAAACTTAAAAAATCTTCTTTTAAAGAACCAAAAAAGTTAGAGCTAAGATATTTAGCATGAAACATGTTCTAATAAGTGTCTACCAAGTTTGTCCAAATAAAAGCCCTGGGGTCAAAATTGGCCCCGCCCCGGGGGGGTCATTGATTTTCCCTATATGCATATAGTAAAAACTTAAAAAATCTTCTTTTAAAGAACTCAAAGAGCTATGGCTAAGATATTTAGCATCAAACATGTTCTAATAGGTGTCTACCAAGTTTGTTCAAATAAAAGCCCTGGGGTCAAAATTGGCCCCGCCCCGGGGGTCATTGATTTTCCTTAAATGTGTATAGCAAAAACTTAATAAAATCTTCTTTGAAAAAACCCAAATAGCTAGTGTTAAGATATTAAGCATGAAACATCTTCTAGTGAGTGTCTACAAAGTTTGTTCAAATAAAAGACCTGGGGTAAAAATTGGCCCCGCCCCGGGGGTCATTGATTTTCCTTATATGTGTATAGCAAAACTTAAAAATCTTCTTTGAAATAACCAAAATACCTAGAGTTTAGATATTAAGCATGAAACATCTAGTAAGTGTCTACAAAGTTTGTTCAAATAAAAGCCCTGGGGTCAAAACTGGCCCGGCCCCAGGGGTGTCATTGTTTTTAACTATATGTGTATAGTAAAAACTTTAAAAAAATCATCTTTTAAAAAGCCCAATGAGCTAGAGCTTAGATGTTTAGCATGAAACATCTTCTTATGGGTGTCTACCAAGTTTGTGCGGGGGGGGGGGGGTTGGTGGGGCCTATATACAGGTGAGCGACCTCAGGGCCATCATGGCCCTCTTGTTTGAGTTATTGCCCAATTGTTAATTTTCATACTTTTATTTTTTACGGGGCATTTTAACCTTAACGACTTGAAACTTCATATGATGATAGATCTTATTGAGAAGTGCAGTGCACAAAATTCCGGTACTCTGTACTTCATAATTTGAGTTATTGCCCTTTGTAAATTTTCATACTTAACAGGCTTGTTCAGAGCATAACTTGGTCACTATCAGTTTGATAGTTTGATCCAAATTTGGGTATGCAAGCTTTTTCATTGACATGATGTGCAGTGCTCAAGAATCCAACACAGAACCCTCTATTTGATCTGTAAGTGTAAAACTTTTCCACGGTATTTTTATTTTTGATTATATTAAAGTTTTATTAATCCTGACGTAACATTGATACAATCAGTTCATATGCCACTAAAGTTAAAGGTACATGTACATTGTAAGAGCAGTGTTTATGAATAACCTATATTTAAGAAGAAAAATGCTTAAGTGACAGCTATACTGTTGACAAGGCGACACATCCAACTTGTGGAGTGTACACTGATGTTTTTGTCAGGTCAACAATTCTGTCATTCCTGGCTGTATTTAAAAATAATTAAATATAAATGTGTTGGAAATAATGAGTGTGTTGTGCACCAGGATCGCATCCCTACCTCAAAGATCAAGGTCACACTTGTATGATATGAATTTTTTTTTATAAAAGTGCATCAATTGATGGTTGGGTCCTGTCAACAATTCTGTCATTCCTGGATGGGTTTTAAAATAATTTGGCATAAATGTGTAAGACATGATGTGTAAGAGTCAAGTCTCCTGTTCGAAGGTCAAGGTTTTCCTTATGATTGTGCATAGCTGTGTCATTCATGGAAGGACTGCATAAATATGCTGCTTATTATGATATGTAATGAACAAACTTTAGCTCAGCAGCCCAAAGAACAAGTTCATACTTCAATACAAAACATGTTTCAAAAGTCATTGATAGTCAGGTCCAGGCCATATCTTTTTTGTGACGCCTCTACGGAGTAGTGGCGATATATAGGGATCACTTCTCCGTCGTCTGTCTGTCCGTCTGTCTGTCCGCCGTCATAAAACTTGTCCGGACTACTCCTCATAAACTACTGGTGCAATTTCATCCAAACTTTACAGGAATGATCAGTACCAAGTCTAGTTGTGCATATTGTCAGCATTTTCCGGTTCAATGATTTTAGTCAGAGTTATGGCCCTTTAATAATTTTTAATTTTAAAGTTTGTCTGGACTACTTCTCTTATACCACTAATGCAATTTCAATGAAACTTTACAGGATTGATCTGTAGCTCAAGTCCTTGCGCATATTGCACGGGTTTTCCGGTTGAATTATTTTTGGCCGAGTTATGGCCCTTTGATAAAAAGGTGTTTTTTTCTGTGTGTTGCCAGATACACAAAAGCTTGTCCGGACTACTCCTCATAAACTACTGGTGCAATTTCATCAAAACTTTACAGGAATGATCAGTGCCAAGTCTAGTTGTGCATATTGTCAGCATTTTCCGGTTCAATGATTTTTGTCAGAGTTATGGCCCTTTAATAATTTTTAATTTTAAAGTTTGTCCGGACTACTTCTCTTATACCACTAATGCAATTTCAATGAAACTTTACAGAATTGATCTGTAGCTCAAGTCCTTGCGCATATTGCACAGGTTTTCCGGTTGAATGATTTTTGGCCGAGTTATGGCCCTTTGATAAAAAGGTGTTTTTTTCTGTGTGTTGCCAGTTACGCAAAAGCTTGTCCGGACTACTCCTCATAAACTACTGGTGCAATTTTATCCAAACTTTACAGGAATGATCAGTACCAAGTCTAGTTGTGCACTGTCCGTGTGTCTGTCCGTCTGTCACAAAATTTGTCCCAACATAAAATTGGCCATCATGAGGCGACACATGTGATTACTGATCGCTCTTGTTATCATTCCATGACAGATTTTGTAATAGCTTTGCTTAAACAAATGGTTCTTTAAAACAAGTTTGAAGATAAGGTCATGCTTGGACTCGTCAGGTTTAAAGTTTCATAAAAGGTACATTGATAGATGCAGACATCAATTGTCATCCATGAATGGATTTTGAAATAACAAGACATACTTCTGGGAAAACTTGTCATACACAAACACATTCTAACCCGTCAACAGATTAAAAGGTGGAGGTTATACTTTTATGTCAAAATAGTGCATTGATGATTGTGTCTGGTGATATTTTTGTCATTCATTCATGGATGCTTTTTTTAAATAATTGGACTCACTGAGAATATGAGTATTAGTTAATGCTTGTATATATGTGTAACACTTTTTACAGTAATCATGCCTTTGATGCATATCAAAAGTCATGGTTCCTCTACTGGGGGCACTTGAAGGACATTTGTCTGTTTTCAATGACAGTTCTTGTTTAATCTTAATTAGATTTTTAAGTTGTATACTTTAGTGAGTTTTCAGCTTGCCTGATGGATGAAGATTGGGTGTCACTGTGCATTATATCACACTCCCAAGTAGCACCACTGACCTATGTGCTAGCTGGTTAGCTTCCTGCAAAATCCCTGGTAGAATATGAACCTACACAGTGATGAGTAAATGGTTTAAAGTCAGTGACTTTAGCCACTTGGCCAACAAGGGATTATAAGCAACCAAAGGCTGCAGAGGCCAAATTTAACCCCCACATCTAAACAAAATACAAACAAGCAGATAATAAATAAATAGTTTATTTCCTCAAGAGATTGACTAATTTCATGGTTTTATACAGTACAAAAATGTACCTATTAATGGACAGATAGTACAAAATAACCATACTCAAAAAATCATTTTTGAGAAATGGTATAAAATTGAGACCTGTAACAAAGTTCTTAGAGAGAGAAAGGTGAAGTCTTTTAGCAAACACAGTAAATAAGCTACATATTTCAGAGTTGGTAAAAATATGTTGCGTTAAATCATTTTCAGTTTCTAGAAAAACAGTATATTAAAGCATTGAATAAAATTGTGCTTATATTAATAGTCGTTAGAAATATCTTTTTTTTTTCTTATCACTTTTTTTTTCTTACAAAATATATATTTATGGCAGTGAACATGATAAATATCAAATATTACAGTAGATACACAAACCCATTCTTTATCTTTATTTTCATATTATATTATTATTATTTTGTATCAATCAATCATCAATCAATTTCAACTGAAAATTCAATACTGTAGAATTTACAACCTTAAAGCCTCCTAAAACTCAACAGTCAACATATTAAGTCTATGCGCATCAACTTTATAAATGTAAGTTAGCATTCACACTGCACGTATATCTGACAAAAAAGTAGCACATATTGGCTTATAATAGTGAATTAGATACTACAATATTATCTAAAAAGAAGATTTTTTTATTTACATTTTTTTATAAGAGCTGCAATCACAGTGGTCTTACTATGAAGCAATTTTTTAAGCAAAAAAAAACAAAAACAAAAAAACAAAAACAACCATAAAAATATTAAACTTTAAATAAAACATAAGGAGCCTGTAGCACTTTCAAATTTAGTCATAACCTTTAACCTTTTATTTCTATTTTGTAATTGAAAGCTGGGCCGAAATGTTTCAATAAAATCAAACTTGAGAAAAATTTACAGTAATAATTTCAAGATTCAAGAAATAATTGACATATTATGTGCGATTTATGACCGATTTTTCAGTACTTACAGTTGTATTTCTAATGTGTTACTAACACAATAAGGGCTATTTTTGAATATTTTTACCTCTTTTCAGTAAATAAGTGGAGTGTAAATGCAATTGATAATTTGTAAATCGTTTCCTTTTGTTTTTTTTACAATATTACACTTTTAAACACATTTTCAAAATTTTCATGAAAATAAGCATAAATCTGGTGACATGCTGTTTTAAACAGACATAAGCACTATAAACAAATCATGTAAGACATATTGCAAATATGACAGATGTTGATTGGGGCCCAGCTGGTGGTAAAATGTCTATGGTGTTATACGTTTAGGATCACGTGGGAACAACGAAGCCTTTCTAATGTTGTCAAGTCCTAGATATAACATGGTCACTCTTTCCAATCCTAGAAAATACAATATAATAAATACTTTATAATAACTATCATTTTTAGGGTTATCTGTGATATAAAATTTGGAAAAAAAAATTTCAACAGATTTTCAACGAAAAAATTTTTCAGCAGTTTTTTTCCCTGGCCCAATACAAGAAAACATTTTAATATTTACTGATCCTGAATGTGACATATATGCATTAAAAGAGATCTGAATACAGAATTTGACTTTTACTTTTGTATATATTAACCACCAATATGAAACAAGAAAACAAAGAAAAAATGTGTTTTTATAGAATTTTCATAATTTTCATGTGTCCTTCAAAGTGAAACAACATATACATGAACTATTATTTTGTATAGAAATAGCTTCATATAAGATATATGTAAATAATGTTAACACCATAGTTACCTATACCACCACCAGCATGGGGAGGTGCTCCATATCTGAATGAATCTATATATCCTTTGATAGTTTCAAGATCTAAAATACAAACATTAAAATTCTAAATATTCAGCCAGAATTTTTATTGAACTGAATTAAAATATAAATATATATGATTTAATCTGTATAGTTCTTAACCATACATCACAGAAAAAGTTTTCATCTCTATTTCAGAACAGGATCGAAGAAGAAAGATAATATACATATGTATAATGTTTTAAAAGAGATAATGTTACACATTATTTGTGGTAAAATTGAGCATAACAAGATGTCATAAAACATAAATGTCTACAACTCATACTCATATATAAGTTAACAGACAATAAATTAAATTGAAGTGAAATTTTATGAATTCACATTTGACTGTCAAGATCATTTAGGTTTGTTCTTGTTTTGGGTTTTACGTCACACCAACACAGTATAGGTGATATGGCAACATTCCAGCTTTACTGGTGCAGGAAGACCATTCCATGCATTGTTTCAGGCACAAACAGGCACCTGAGTAGAACTTAAAACAACATTGGTGAGGGACATGTGGTTTGAGGTCATTTAGGAACAGCCTAACAATCATTTGTACTTAACACTATATATTCTAATTGTGGTTTACCAAATCTACACCTACTTCACTAACATACTGAAAGACATCACTATGTTAAAGCATTACACATAATAATCTTTCTTCTAATACAAGAGCTGTCAGAAGGACAGCGCGCTCGACTTTTTTAGTGCTTGCCTATAAAACAAAACTTTGACAGTTAAGGGCACACAAGACTTTAACTAGGAATTTCTAAGTACAAATCAAGAAACATTTTCACAGAGTTATCTTCTCTTGCTTACAGATAGGTCTCATGATGGCACATAAGAACTCCAACTTCCAAAGTAATATCTCAAATGGTTAAGTCAACAAGTGGACAAGAATGAAAATTTTAACTGAGTTTCTAAGTCAAAAAGGGCCATAATTCAAATAAAATCCTTAACAGAATTACCCTTCTCTGCCCATGTTTGGGACCATGATGGTAAACAAGTATTCCAACTTTCAATTTAATATCTCAACCAGTTCAGTCAAAAAGTTGACTGGTACAAAAAAGTTAACCAAGATTCTAAGTCGATAAAAGGCCTTAATTTTTAAAACAAATCCCTGACAGAGTTACCTTCTCTTGCGTACAGATGGGGGTAATGATGTGAAATAGCATTAAAAGTTTCAAAGCAATATCTCAAAGGGTTAAGGCAATAAGTGGATTTTACCCATATTCAATGTATTTTCTAAGTCAAAAAGGGCATAATTCTGTCAAAAACCTTGACAGAGTTATGTCCTCTTGTCTGTTGATGAAGGTCGTGATGGTAAACAAGTATGGTCAGTTTCAAAGCAATACCTCCAATGGTTTTGAAATAAAGTGAGGTGGTACAAAAAACTTAACCAAGCTCAATACACTTTCTAAGTCAAAAAAGGGCCATAATTCTGTCAAAAACCTTGACAGAGTTATGTACTCCTGTCTGTAGATGGAGGTTATGATGGTGAACAAGTATGGTAAGTTTCAAAGCCATACTTGTAATACTTCTGAAATAAAGTGGGGTGGTACGAAAAACTTAACCAAGGTGTGACGCCAACGCCGACGCTAACGCCGACGCCGACGCCGACGCCGACGCCGGGGCGAGTAGGATAGCTCCCCTTTTCATAGAAAAGTCGAGCTAAAAATGTATGAGTAGAACAAGACATGTATATACAAATGCACAATGAAATGAGCCGCGTCATGACAAAACCAACATGAATATTTCCTCACCAATTTCATGTAACTTTGCACGCTCTGCCAGAAATTTGGGGTCGTGGATTCTCTGAGAAACAAATCTCCTCCCGGATGAAAAAATGACGAGTTGCCCATTTTTTTAAATAAACTTAATATATACAACCTTTTTTCTCCCCTGCTTTCAATGTGGAGACTAGCAATAATGTGAAGAAAACTGTTTGTGTTAAAACATTAATTAAATAGTACAAATTGGATTAAGGAAAAGAAAACCCTAGAACAACAAACCCTACATGTATCATTTCAGAATAATGTTTAAAGATGTTGAAAAACTTTATCAAGTCAATCATTTTTAAAGTCATTCAAATTATTAAGTCATTTGCTACAACAAAATGCATCATTAATGACTAAACCTTCAATAAGCATAAATCATATTACAATTTTTGGAACTGCTAAAATCAAGGTTCTACATAGATGGTTTTGGATTTTCTATTTCTGTTTATAAAACAAAACAAGTACAAAATTCAGTTAATATGAGAATTAATCAGTCTTCAACTATTTCTAAAGATACACAATAGTTCAATGATTTATAAATAACTGATAAATTATATAGAGGATATTTGTTTAGTTCAGTGTAAGATCGGAATATATTTCACCGAGTGAGCACCAAAAGGTATATTTCACGAGTGGCGCAGCCACGAGTGAAATATGAACTTTTGGTGTTCACAAGGTGAAATATATTTCGATCTTACACTAAACTAAACAAATTTTTTTTTTATTATATGCAAAGAAACATTTTAAAAAGACATTAAACCTAATACTGAATGAAAAGCGCGCCAAATAATAATACAACGTGACGTCATTTACGACGTTACGTCATTAAGTTGGTACCCAGTACTGTGCAAGCAGGTATTTCACTGAAACAAAGTAAGGGGCTTAAATTCAAAACAGTGAAATTATCAAAGTGGTAATTTCACTGTTTTAAACAGTGAAATTACCAGTTTTATATCACTGATATATTTCTATAAACCACCAAAAAGCATGTAATAAATTACTGGATATCTGTATAAATAATATACTGGTACACTTACAATGTTATTAGGATCAGGCATGGTATAGAAAGGTCGTACAGCCAACGGGAACTTGTCCAGGATGTAGAAGTCAGTGTCATACTGTAATAACCATAATTAGTTCATTTCAATACAACTCCTATTTATAATACCTTTACCAGTTAAAAACTTCTCCAGTCAAATATCCCTACTACAAGTTCAATTCTGTTCCAAGTCAAATTCTGTAAATGACTTATGCATAAACTTGTGAGTATCCATTTATAATTTTGAAGACAAATTCAAAATGCGCAACAATTATAATTGCTAGCACTGTAACTGTAAATATTTTTATCATAATATATGCTTGCCACTTTGACTACTCTCTAAATACTGGTATTGCAATTCATATACATACAAACATGGTGCAAAAGCTCGGTAAATTTTACTACAGGAATTTTTATGAAAATTGATTCTTTTCATTTGTAAACTGTTCTTATTTAAGATATGCAGTAAATAGAATATAATACAATTTTATTTAATACCTTCAATAAATTCAGAATTAAATCTACACTCATTTAACATCCCCTGTACTATACACAACATTTGAGATAAAACATCATGCATTTTCTGAACATTCTATTTTCTGAGTACATAACCATTCCCAAAATCATATAGAAATTATATCTACAACAACATATCTTTTTACAATTATTCATACATTTTATCCTACATAAACATTTACAATGTCAGATCACAATGACCAGAAAAGCCAAAACAAAAATATCGGTTATTAAATACCATACCTTAGCTTTAACTAGCCTGCCAAGTAGTTTTTCATTTGGTGTACTCAAATCTTCATCCTCCTCCATTTCAACACCAGCTTCACGTAACATAGCCACACCCTCCTTGTATTCTAACCTCAAACTATCAATGTATCGAAATAAATGTTTCCTTCGTATAATAATCTTATCATATCTTAACAATTTCCAAGACAGGACTTTATCAACTTTTGCAATATTTCGGTTACTTAACTGTTAGTAAAATTGCTTTGAAAAAAATAAAATAAGATTTTAACACATGTTCTGATTGTTATAATGCCAAGAACTTGTAAATGTTGTAATTAAAAGCATATCCATAAAAATTCCCATCCAATCAAGTTGGGAAAGTTGAAGAAACTGTTACAAATTTATTATACAGTTATTTCATATGTAATTTGGGAACAGTCAAACTGTTGGCCCGAGGTGGAGGGGGTAGTGTTTTGAAACTGTTGCCCAAGGCCGTAGGCCGAGGGCAACAGTTCAAAACACTATCCCAACACCGAGGGACAACTGTTTGACTGTTCCCAAAATCACATATGAAATAACTGTTTTATTACCTGATCAATTACTGTTTTAACAGTGCTTGCAGAAGAAAAAAGGAACAAGAAAATAGCTTTGCACATATGCTCATAATTAAACTTAATACTTTATGTCACGTCACGTCTGGTTCATGATCTAGATCGATGGATGCTTCAAGTGGGATCCTCTATGACGTCAATGACGTCAGAACACGTGAGGGAAACAGTCGAAACTATTGACCGGTCAACAGTTTGCGAACGTTGACGTTTTTAGAATTTCAGAAAACAGTAAAAAATACCAAATTACATTTATATAAGGTATCAGGTAATAAATACAAATATTTGCCTATCAAACAGACAGGGCAGTCAAGTGCATTATTACACAATATATTATGCACAACTTAAAAAAGAATGCTTTTATGTCATATGACGTCAATAACCCGAATGATGTCAGGAATTTTTTTTCTATGCTCAATGGAGTTTAACATATTTTTATCCATTCTGTTTTATATTAAGATGTAAGAATGGAAATAGATATCATTTTTCTTGCATTATAGTATAACAATACATGATTTATCATTCAAATGCTTTGTAATTAATCACTCAGACCTATCGGCCTTTGTGAATATATTCCTGTGCATTTGAACTCGAACTGTGCATTATTCTACAACAATGCACTATTTCCAAAGTATATACCTAGGTTCCAAAAATTTGAAGGGTTCTGCAGGAAACTGTTTATTGACTGTTGCTATTTCCTCTGCGTATCTGAAACATAAATTTGTTATTTTAGTTCAAAATTTTTAACATAATACTTATATATAATTTTCAAAATTTTTTAATTAAACTTCAATTAAATGTAAAACATCTTTGTCCCATATACATAATATTTTTGACAGATATTTCTTATTTTTGTAAAATCATTCATGGTTTCCTCCTTCTCCATAACTCTTCTGAGATACCAACCAGTACTTCCCTAATGTTAGTTCTTCATGTTCTTTTGGTTAATTATAACTTATCAATATATAAAGTTACAGAGAGTCTTATAAAGTCGGAACAATTTTCTCAAATGAAGTCTTCTCAGACTGTTATGGTAAAGATTGCAAGTAACTTGACCGATGTCAATATATTGACCAATTCCTGACTTTTGAATGTGCTTATGCATACATACACTAGAATACATTTGTAGTAAGGTCACATGGTAAAAGAAAGTCCACTTATTTCCTTAGATTTACTAGGTATAGAATTCCCAGTGTAGAAACAGAATCACTGTTTCCTTTACTGCAAGCCTATACAATTCAATGTATATGGGTTATTGCCACAACAGACACCTTAAAATATCTTTCATTGTAACATAAACAATGTATAGCAAGCTGACATAAGTCCACTTTTATCATCTTTGCGATCACATGAAATAGGTTTCTACAACGCAGAATTGTACCTTGTTAATTACATGTACCAATCTTTTAGAGAAGTATACAGACCTGTCCCTGAGACCTTTAAATATGGAGACAAAGAGATGATCGAGGGCATCTATAACCTCATGATAATGATAGTTGAAACACATTTCTAAATCTACACCAACAAACTCGGTCAGATGGCGATGTGTATTTGAATCTTCTGCTCGGAATACTGTTAAGATTACATTCAATATATTACATTTACAATCTCATACAATCAGTTCAATGAACAGAAACGCTGCTTTAGCTTTCGAAGTTTAGTCTTCTTCAGAAAAAATTAATGTTTGTAAAATAACAAATCAATATTAGAAATAGTCACTCCAGAGTAAAGGGCCTTTGCCCATCACGTTAGAAAATCATTGTTCATGTATAAAATATAAAATCATGCAAATGTGACCTTATTATATATTTATCTTTAATCTACATGGATACATGGTAATAAATAGCTCATAAGTCCGTAAAAGAAGGATGTCAAAGTCCTTGTCTATTTCAAAACAGATTATGTATATTAAGACAAACATTTATCAATTATACATCATATTATATAAGTACAAAAATACTTGCCTGCCCCTATGGTATAAACCTTTTCAAAGTCAGCTGCTATTGCCATCTGTTTATATAACTGCGGAGATTGTGCAAGGAAAGCACTTCCTTTAAAATACGACACTTTGAATACATTAGCGCCACCTTCTGACGCAGCTGAAATCATATTTAACATTACAATTATATCACTAATTATCTTGTACAAACCAAAACAGTCATGTCATTCTGTACATTTAAATAATTTTATATTATTTAATGAAACAAAAAGGAAGCAAACTAGAAATCAGAACATACAGCATTCAGAAGTATGGCTCGGAAGTCTTCTGAAACATTTATAGACCATTCCAAAAAATCATTCTGCATTATCTTTTTAATAATGTGTTTATAATAATCTTTTTCATTTTATATGTATTACTGAAGAGATTATTCAGAAAATCAGCTTTGACTAAACATATAAAGTGCAAAACTTGCAACCACTTAATATAGATTCAAGATTTAAACATTTATTCATTATAATTAAGTCATAATTACATAAATAATCTTTGATACAGATTTAGGAATCATCCTTTTTATCATATTAGACCTTTAATTCATGTCTGCAGACCGCAGTGTTACCTGGTATAATTTTAGGTGTATGTAATTCCACAAAACCTTCTTTATCTAAAGTTTCCCTGAATATTTTACACACTCCGGCCTCTAGTCTAAATATAGCCTGACTGGTCGTTGTACGCAGATCTATGATACGATTGTCTAGTCGCGTGTCTTGATGAACAATAGCTAAACCCTAGAAATAAATATTAAAATAGCTTAACCCTAGAAATAAACATCACGATAGCTAAACCCTAGAAATAAACATCACGATAGTTAAACCCTAGAAATAAACATTAAAATAGCTTAACCCTAGAAATAAACATCACGATAGCTAAACCCTAGAAATAAACATCACGATAGCTAAACCCTAGAAATAAACATCACAATGGCTAAACCCTATCAATAAACATCACAATGGCTAAACCCTAGAAATAAACATCACAATGGCTAAACCCTAGAAATAAACATCACGATAGCTAAACCCTAGAAATAAACATCACAATGGCTAAACCCTAGAAATAAACATCACAATGGCTAAACCCCTTGAAATAAACATCACAATGGCTAAACCCTAGAAATAAACATCACGATAGCTAAACCCTAGAAATAAACATCACGATAGCTAAACCCTAGAAATAAACATCACAATGGCTAAACCCTAGAAATAAACATCACAATGGCTAAACCCTAGAAATAAACATCACAATGGCTAAACCCTAGAAATAAACATCACGATAGCTAAACCCTAGAAATAAACATCACGATACCTAAACCCTAGAAATAAACTCACTTTAAAAGTTCATGTCCAAGGTGGCCTTTGCATCTGACCTACTGACCTTAAAATCTAAGGGTCCCATGTAGTCGGGGAAATAAAGAAATATTTAGCATTTCAAACTACAAAGAAATGGGCCTCTCTTAATGAAAAGGATCTCTGTAAAACAAGTTAAAACAAAAATCAAAATTGGTAAAGAGTATATTTTTTTAGAAATAGCGGGGAAATATACTTTATTGAACAGGAGAATGAAACTTTAAACTTTGACCTTAAATTAGCCCTTAACAAACACAAACTACAATATCTGGCCTATGAAGTCAAAGTGGAGCACCCAAGGGAAAGTGGTTCAGGTTGCTGACGTCAAACCACTTGCCCCTCACAACTGTGGGTTCAAATCCCAGACAAAGTGAACCCAGAGGACAACAGTCATGAGCCATTACAATGAACACCAGATAATGTGATGGAATAAGATAACATGTACTTACATCTTCAGAGTCTGGTCTAGATGCATCCTCTACTAACAAAGGTAATCTCGGCTCAGATCCACTAACCACCCACACCTGAAATATAGTATTTCACATACCATCACCTTAGTGCAATAACTGAATAACTGCTATTAAATTAAAACGCACTTATTATTTTATTGAAATAAGGTGACGTTACATGTATACAAAATGTATTAATTTCTTGTAGAAAATTATATAAAGAGAGGATATACACTATCTTACTAAATATATTCAATAACTGGGTGTACTTGAATAAAGCAGCTAGTACTTGTAACTTGAGTAGAATCAAGCCTTAGACAAGAAGCAAGTATACTAACCTGATCAGCATGTAGCTCTACATCTTGTTGTGTACACGACTCTACTTTCTGTGTCACTGTCTTCACATACCCCTCAACATCTATGATAGATTCTTTGTTAATTCTGAAATAAATATAAAATTAGTCTTTCATGTACTTTTTTGTCAATGAAAAAGCCTAAATTTTGAAATTTTTGACAGGGTATTTTTTATAAAACTGTTTTCTGCAACATTTATTTTACATTCATTTAGATTTGTTTATATGAATTTTGTTTGATTTATTTTAACACAGTCAAATCTGTTCCTGGAACTAACCAGTACTTAGCAATTATTGTAAAGTTACTTCCACATAGAAACAATGGCTTGCTGCAGACGGGGTTTGAACCCACATGGCCAGCAATCCTTAGATTACTAGTATGATGCGTTAACAACTTAGCCACATCACTTTAATGTTTTGTCTAACTTGAAAAACATCACATGCACCTTTGAAAACTAGGTCACCAACTCAGTTAATTATACTTTTGTTTACACAGTGATCACATAGCCATTGAACATCTGATACAGGGCTGCCAACAGCAAATTGCAAAATCAGAGGAAAATACGCCGGGGGTCAAGGGGGCTGCGCAAGCCCCCTTTGCGGGTCCAGGGCAGAGCCCTGGTGGGGGCCCAGGGGGCGAAGCCCCCGGAAGCTCCTGGATTCTGATGATTTGGTATGCCCTAAAATCAATTTCCTGGACTCTAAATTTGACTTCCTTGGTTGCCTTTAAAGCCATTCAGAGACACTTTAGTTGGACTTTAGGTTTTCATCAGCCCTCAGAACAAAGCCTACTCTGAACCTAATCACCTACAGACCATCCAGCATGATATTTTGAACATGTACCCAAGACAATCCTCTACAATCAGTGATATCATCTTCCATAAAATTTATGGTGCATCTCTATCTTGCACACTAATGCAAACATTTAAAAAATTGCTATTTCTTGCTATTTAATTACTAATTAATTATTATGCATTAATTAAGACGGAAACACCTAAGAAAGTTACATGCTGGTTGCAATTTTGTAAATTCCCAGCACGATATATTCAATTTATTGGATTTTTACTCAAAATGAATAAATATCCTCCATATTGTTATTTAGTCTTGGTAAGATTGTTTTTAGTGTCTTTTTGTCAGAGATATGTTAATAATAAGCTAAGTAATGAAGTAATACAACTCTTATGACTCAATTTTCATTTTTTTACAATATTATTCAATATTGGAATTTGTCTGTAAACATCAATTTCAGTTTAAGGCGTTACTACAATTTTAAAGAACAAGACAGTCAAATTTCTTAAAGTGCAATAAATGAGGTCATTTAAGTCAATAACACTAGTATTTAAAAACCCTTTCTCTGAACTTCCGCTTTATTAATGTCAAATAATGTCAAAGGGTCTTCATTGCCAATAAAATGCCCCCAATAAAACCATAACGCACACATTTGTAACAATAAAATTTTCAATTTGTCATAAAATATAACTTTCATTAGTTATAATTCAGCAGTTAAAATGAGCTACTATTTCATAAAACACCTACCGGTAGTATCATAATTTCAGTATGTAGGAGTATAAATTCTTATAAAATTTTTAGAATAGGTTAAAGTTTATTAGTACGATTTTACAAAATTAAATCGGTCAGGCCTGGCTCAGCCCTGCGATCAATATAAACTTGTTAATATGTTCTAATAAATTTTAACCAGCTTAATGTTTTAATTATTTTTATAAACAGGCGATTTACTAGACTGCTTAACGGTTTGCCGATTTACCAAAGTAAATATGTTATGATTCATTTGAATAACTGCAATCCTATTGGACAAACACTAAATGATACTATTTCCAGGCCAGACTTAAAACATATCTTTGTTTTCTCTCCCATGACCCTTGTAAGTTAGGGTTGGAAAGGTAAGTAAAATGATCTTTTAATTTCATTCTATATTGAACATATATTTCATACCTTAATTACGAGGATTTTTTTTAAAAAAGAACAAATTTACATGTACATGCTATATATTATTCTGTTTTTAGAATCTCTTCCACTGATGTTTCTGTTCAAATGTTAAGTTAAACAAGACCAGGTAGGACAGCATTTTATTTTCAGTTAATTAAAAAGACATCTAAAAAATTTCCAAGTGTGGTTATGTGACCCTACTGCACCAGACTGGTGTCATGATTTTATGCGGAGCAATAATTTATCATCTTACCACTCTACAATTGCTTTCCCTATTCTTCTAACAGTCCAGCTAAAAATACTTTGTTTGAAAATAAATCTTTTGGGTTGCAATAATGTTCTCACACATGCTCATTAGAGTCTGTAATAAAATTGAAATGTACAGGTACCAATCACTTACCCAGCTACAAACTTGATCATTTGTTTGCTGACATTTTCTGTGACATAGATTAAACCTTGTACTGTCCATTTCTGTTGTCGCAACACAAAGAAACACTGTTTTCCTGTAACACATGTAAGGTGTATTTGTTAGGTTACACAATACATGATCTTCACGAATTAAAGATAATTAGTTTATACCAATAAATTTATACGAGTTCCATTGAGTTGAAGCTATAAGCTTATTGAAACACTCTCAAATCCATTTATGGAACCAACCAGTACTAAGCAAAGAATGTAAAGTTTCTTGCTCAAGGAAACATCGGCTTGCCCCTGACAAGGGTCAGCAAACCTTAGATTACTAGTAAGACACGTTAATCACTCCCCCACTCTATAAAATGAATTGGTCTATAATGGAATGATTGAGGGAATAAAACAATAAATAATTATGTTGATAGTAATTATTATCATAAATAACAACAAACCACATAAGAAACATGATTACATGTATATGGATGTTGTTGGCAAGTGTGAGAAAAGTGATCCGATATAACATATATTTATGTAGCAGATGATAAAATAGAAGAAAATATAATCATCAATCATATAAATGTTCAAACTGAATCACTTAGAACTTTATCAACAATTTTTTTTTTCAAATTCATTTTTATAAGAATATCAAAATAATACTTTTGCTTTCAACAACAATATTAGAAATTCTAATGGAAAATGTGCCTATAGTAGACCAATTCACTTTAAAGCAAATATTTAAGTCTTTGTGAGGAAAAATAAAATGCATACCGAACATTACCCAGGATTTTTCTATGTTAAAAAGGGAGACAATTCAATACATATCCATACAAGAGTATTGGGTCCTAGACAGGGCTTCCGTTAATGGAAGTTTGGGAGTCCTTTACTCCTTGATTTTGGCTTGTGACTTCCAAAATCTAATACTTTTCCTTTTTTAAATATATAATGTGACTTCCAATATCAGAGATTATGCAGTCTCTGACTTCCAAATTTTGAAGCTTAATGGAAGCCCTGCCTAGATATTGATCTAAAACTATGATCTATATCAAATTTAAAGTGAAATGGCCAATAGCAATGCTAAGGGTGAGACCTACAATGAATAACCCTCTATCCTTCAAATATAAAAAAACTCCCCATGAAATAACTCTTTCCATTTAAAACGTTAATGCTAACATTCATCTTTACCTTTACTTCTGGATGTCTGGAGACGTGCCCGAACCCACACTTTAGTATCGGCCAAATCAGCAGTTAACTCTTTCAACGGCAGTATTTTTCTGTCGATCCTCTCCTGTGATTGAATAAGTGGCAGGTTACCATAGCAACCCTGTGATACATCTTTCTCATCAGACTCCACGACCTGAAATACACAGAAATAGATCAAGTAAATCACTTTAAATCGAAGGATAAACATTTCACAGCGAGCATTTAATTTCTACAGGAATATATTCGTCTAGACGGTTCAAATTATTGCAGATTGAATTTGCTATATAATCTCTACTGGTACTTCAATGAATATTATTGTTTTAATTTTTTTCAAATGTCATGTCTGCAAATAAAGAAAAATAATTGTGTAAATGAATCTCTGACCATCTTTTTTTAGTAACTGACAGACTGGCAGAGTATCTGATAATACAAAAGCTTTCTGCCATAAACAGTTTGCATTATATTGTTTATTTTTATCTATTTTAGTGTTTGAAATTGTTTTTTATCCAATAGGATTGCAGTATTCCAAATGAATCGTCACACATTTACTTTGGTAAATCGGCAAATTGTTAATCAGTCTAGTAAATTGACTGTATGTAAAAATAATTTAAAACACTAAGCTGGTTAAAATTTATAAGAAGGTATTTACAAAAATTAAACTGTTCAAGAACAGTATGATCAGCCCATCCTTAAATCTAGTAAATGCTTACTAATAAACACTTAACTTGAAATCAAATTTATAAAACTGTCGATTTACTAGACATATCAAATTAAGTCGAATTACCAAAGTAGACAAATTAATATGATTCATTTGAAATACTGCAATTCTATTTGACAAAAAATAATTTCAAACAATTTAAAGAATTTTTTTTCCATTGATAAATCAAAATAACTTTCATAATTCAGTCTGAATATTTGAGAACAGGGTGATATATGAACCTTTAATCTGTCTCTGGCACTTATACTGTATAATTAAAGGCCCATTATGCTGAAGATATTTTACTATTCTTATATTTTTAAAAGCTTATTATTTAGTTGTGGTGTCTAAATATTATTCTTTGGCCAATTTTCAAAACCATCTTAAGCTTCTGCTGCCTTTTGGCAATTACATGTACTGCAGTATGAGTATAGTGTCTGTAATTTAGTATTTTGTATGAAAGTCAAAATACTACATGTACTTTGTGTACAATTTGCTACTTTTATGATAAATAATTTCACGTTTGGTGCTATTTTCTACAGGTGATAAGCATTTACTATGCTCCATCATTATTCAAACGTTATTAAACTCATATAATGCCTTTTCTTAAGGAAAAATTTATTTGTTTCTAAGCCATAATGTGCCTTTAAGTATTATATAGTCAACATAACTAAATTTGTATCATCATTTATTTCACAGTAATGGCATATTTGTGAACAGTGTTAACATTTGTAAAACATGTAACCAGTGTTAAAATTGAAAAAAATTGACAACTTTTAGTCATACACCTAAAAAATAAACTTTTATGCAAAATATTATAAATCTGTAGATTTAAGATAAAATTACTGCAGGAAGTCACAGTAGTCTGATACAATTTATGCATATGACTGAAACAATCACCATTTTCCAAAATGTTCTTGTTTGTTGGGAAAAAAATTGATTTACAAAGGTAAAGATAGTTTGAATATTCAAAATAGTGCAATATGACATTTTAGAAGTACATATTTACTGAAATATGCAGAAACTAGATTGATTTAAGTGATGGCATAATGTAGTCTGGCACATCAAATCTGTTTTTGATTGAATATGTTGTTGTTTCCTTATGTCATATGGCAGAAAATACTTTTAATGTTACAGCTGATAACAATCTTTTGTACCGTAACTTCCGTAAGTTCATTGTTTGTTTCAAAGCATTTGTAAGAACCGCAAACTCAGAGGATCACACTGAGTATACTTCATTTTTACTTCAGGGGAAAAATAAACATTTATTTTTCCTTATCAGATTCATCTTGATGATATTTACAAAAAATACATTTATTCTATCATCAGGGACATCCATGACAGGTTATAGTAGTTAACTTCAATTTCAAACCCCTCACCACTTTGGGTTCAAGTCATGCCAGGGACTTTGGATTCTTTCCTGTGAGGAAGCTATCCAGCTAGCATAGTTACGAAACGTTGGTGGTTCTACTCAAGTGGCCCTTTGTGCCAGAAAAAAAATGCATGTAAAACACACACACAAAATTCCTTCTTTACTATGCTGACCCTCAAAGAAGGGAAAGACTCTTCAAGTTATAATT